TTGGCGTTTAGATATAGGATTTTTGATTTTTGTTGTTTTATTTGGTGTTTTTAATTGTTTTTGGTTTCGTTTGGTAGTCTCCCTATTAGTCATCGGGGCGGTCTGTGCGTTCTCGAAGATTTTCGCATTTCGAACACGTTGCAAGAATACCGACAATACCCCCTCTAGCACCTCAACGAGAGGGCTGCACACATTAGAGGTGGCGTAAATCGGTTTCTCGCGACGTGTTACCCCTATATCTGATAGAAAATTGACGAGTTTTGATGAAAGATTTCTGCTTAAAAGTTGGTGTGTGTGTATGCATGTATGAATGAATGGAAATATCTGTGTGTGTATGTACGAGTATGTTTAAACTGCTTTATCTTGTTTCGCGAGAGAGGAGGAGGAGGGGAAAAGGAGGGTGTGAGATGGACTGTTTTCTTTCCTTGCATCGTGTTGCTGGTGCTGCTGCTGCTGGTCATCCATCTAACTTCCAACTCAACCAACTCAACCAACCAACCAACCAACCAACCAACCAACCAACCAACCAACCAACTGATCAACCCAATTCACCAGGTAGATAGCAAGATAGCAAGATAACTAGATAGCCAAACAGATAGATAGCACATAGTTCCAACCAAACCATAAGCAGCGCATCAACGCCGCCCTTCGCTACATACATGCCTAAACCAGGGTGCGGGTGTGGGTGAGCTGAGCTGAGCGGAGCTGAGCTGGGAACAAGTCCGTGTCGCACCATATGTATGCAAGTGTATATTCTAGGTGCAAGCGAAGCGCAGAAGAACTTCTCGTGTATGCATGTGCGTGGATAGGAACGAGGTGTAAGCTGGCTAGGTAGATAGCCAGATAGCGGGATTCAGGCACCACGACGGTTGCGGGGGATGGACGAGCGGGGTTTTGCTTTTGGATATGCGGCGCCGTTTTTGGTAATGGTGTGGGTGAGATAACATGGTTTTTTGCGTGCATGTATGCATGTATGCATGGTATCTACGTAGGTACGTTGGGTATCAGGGATTGGGTTTCGGGTGGGGGGACAGTATATGGCAGTTCAACACGGCTTCCCCCGGAATGCTGGCTCCCTTGCTGCTGTGCGGAAGCAAGGATACGGCGATATGGGATGTGCGTATGTGTGTGTAGGATATACGCTTTAGTGCCCTGTACATGGGATGTTTGTATGTAGTTGAGAGAAAAGGGGAAAGAGAGCCAGGATGGGGAGTCTGGGGCAGGATAGGGAGTCTGGAGGGGGGCGTGGGCAGGGGGAGCCGGGGTGTTTTGACTGCGTTGGGGATGTGGATCCCGTGTGTGGCGCGCTTATGTAGATTGTGTATGCTTGCTGCATGGAAGTGTGCGTGGTGGTTCTAGAAGAAGAACTGATACGCGTGTGGTGTGCATGTCGTGTAATGTCGTGTGCGTGTGACAATGGCGTGCGGATGGAGACGAGGATGCGCAAGGGAATGGTTGGTGGATGGGTCTCGGGCGTGGTTGAGTTGTAGCATGTCCCTGCTAGTAGGCGTGGTGTTTAGTCATTGCAAACGTGTCTGTTGATCCCAACGTCTATAACATGGATTGCGTTTGTGGTACATTCTCATGATAACCCGTATAGCTGTGCCATGGCTTCCTGCATGTCAACGTCGTTTCTGGTGATGAGTGGTCGTGGATCTACGGTTGCTCGGAGGAGAAGACGGTAGCCAAAGTGCAACCCCAGAGCGCCAAGAAGGAGAGGGATGAAGAGGCGGCCAAGCAGGCGACCCCACGATATCGCTCTTGTTTCCAAATTGGCGCTGCGTCTATCAGTGGAGCTAGAAGCGTCTGCGTCTGCGTCACTATGCTCTTGGTCGTCTTCTCCGCCCTCGAGTACCGTCAAGTACGTCAGCCTGCCGAGCCACAGGTGCCACCCCACCATGATTATTGCCGCAAACATGATGTTCACCCATGACATGCGGGCATACGGCGACTTTGATCTCCGCCCGACCATCTCGTACATGTCGTCAAAGCCTTGGACTGCACGGTGCATGGTGAGGGGGATGACGAGCATGGCGGCGGCAAGGCCAACGACCTCTAGGCTGTGCATGCCGAGGCGTCGGAAAAAGGTGGTCTCGCGCTTGCGGGCGTGCCAGTGGGATACCAGGTCGGCTGTGCGGGGGTGTGTGGTTGACAGTGTGAGGAGCATGGTGGCGGGGGTGTATGAATAAAGGCTGGGGATTAACAGCGTGGATAATGATGGTGTTCCAGGGACGGGGCGTCCAGCAACGAAAGTGGCCTTTTGGGAGAGCTGATTTAGGGTTGTTTGGGAGACGGAGAGCCGATGTCCGGGATGGCAGCGTGGCCAGTGGCAGCGGCGGAGTGTTTGTTGTGCTGGCGATGTCTGTTCCTATAACACGAGGGCGACCCTTTCTGAGGCCACGCCTGGCTTGACTCAGCGCACGAGCGTTGGACGGCAACGAAGCAGCGACAGTCTCTCGGCATGCAGAACAGGCGCATTCAATGGCCGTTTCCGCGTCGCGCAGGCTGAGAAAAGAACCCCTTTTGCAGCTCGTATCGTCAAACCCTCTTTTGGGTGTCGCGGGAGGGCTAGCTCGGCTTTATTTTTAGGCGTCGTGGCCTGTCAGCTGGATCGTCTTGTTCTTCAGTGTCTGTTCCGTCGTCTCGCTCAGGCTGGGCCTCCCAAGACGCGACTCGGCGGCGACAGCCGTGTGCTCTGGGTGTTCTGTCAGCGGCCAGTGTCGTGACTGTCCGACTCCAGACGAGGGTGGAGCCAAGCCAAGCCGCCTCCCGCAATTCCCACACCGCCTAAACTCTTTTTGCTCGCGCCTCGCACGCCAATCTGGTCGCTGCTCCGCCGCTGGCCCTTTTCACTCTCGACACGATTGTCCAGCGCGCTTCCAACAGTGTCTTTTCGTCGCTACAGCGCTGGGGCGGTGCAACGCATGCGATGGGAGAATGTCGGGCGAGTGAAAGAGAAGGAGAAGGAGAAGGAGAAGGTGAAGAAGAAGAAGGTGCATGAGGCAGCGCTGCAACGACGATGAAGAATAAGCAAAGCTGGTCATGCTCGTCATCACAGGTCGCGCGCCCTGATCCGCAGCGCCCCGGGCTCGTAAGACTGCCACCGCCCCGCATTCGCTGCACTGCCCGCTGATTGGCCGTGGCCTCTTCACACGTACAGGACTGCTAGCGATATTAGCAGTGGAGAAGAAGGATTTGGATTCGGCAATGAGCAAGCGGAAGACGTAATAGAAACGGCCGCAGTGTGGGAGCTGGCACGCCGTTGGATGCGTGGGGCGGTAGCCCATACATCTCCTCATGCCCATCTGCCACAGACGATATTCTTTATTATCGATATTCCTTTTCCAACCAAGTCTACACGGACCGACAAAGCCTCCATGTACGATGCTGAAGCACGTGTATCGCACAGGTCTATTCTTCAGAGCCACCGAGACCACGTTCGAGATTCCAAAAAGAAGGGAAAAACAAACCATGGCGTGTGCATGATGCATGAGAGCGAGACTAACAGCATAGCCAGAGTCTAGAACTAGCACTTCTCGCCTTCGCCTACTGCAACCCACCGTCATCCCTAGGCGTTTCGTAGCCATCCATTTTGTCGGTTACGTAGGTGGCGGGCAACCACTCATACCATGTCATTCTCCGTGGGATTTGTGCAAGTCAAGCTTTTACTCAACACCGCCACACTACATTTGTTCCAGAAAAAACTCATATCAACCCTTTGGCTAGACAATATACATACTGCGACGTATGGTATGTATGCACATTGTATCATCAATATCCAGCATCGGCTTCATTTGCGTTGCAGCCGTACTGGGTTTGTACTGACTGTCCCCTAATCCATGGAATTTCGGTTCCTCTCCCGTGAACATGGTCTATAATTGCATCGGCTTGTGAAAGTAAAAGTCTTTGTTTCTAGTAACTAGAGCATGAATGAACATCTAGATGACTGGTTTTCTGTTTTAATAAAGCATGTAGTATGCAAGATCGATGCTAAAAGAGCTGAGGCTAAGTCATTGGCTAAACTATCGTCATATCATCTCTAGCATTCTGAGAAACCTCTACGACTTCTTTTGCTGTTGATAGACATTGTGCAAACTGTACATGATCCACCGCCACGCTCTGCCATGAGCTAGGCAGTTGTGATTTCGTGTCTTACGAGATACTGCATTTCAAGCTGGGTAAATAGGTATCCATCGTACACTGTTTTCATGCATGAGTGAGATGGCTTTATCTCAGCGACTAACAGACCACGGTGCACGTACTTTTGGCCAATCGAATCTCACTTGTATCCTTTTATTTAAATTGGAAATCCTCAACGCACTAATTACCTAGACATTGCCTTCACCTCTGGAACGAATCTACAACAACATAATAATGCAGTGCTTCATCAGTGCACAACAAGCAAACAGCTACAATACCAATTAGAACTATCATCTTCGAGCTACCTCCACATACTCTCTCTCTCTCTCTCCTTCATCTTCTATCTCCATTCCTCTGCCTCCAAGCATAATCCCTACTTCAGCAGCAAATTAGCCCCTGTCTTGTGCTTTGACGTCGTATAGCACACGCTGAGGGATGCGATGAAAAGGTCAGGACATAAGATGCTGCTTGAAGCGCGCCAGCTTTACTAATAGTCATATTCAGTAGGGACTTTGAATGAATTATATATATATAGCAAGTCACAGCACAGCATGCATGGGCATTTCAAACGTATAATAACCATTCCATTCCGCCATTTCCACCCATATAGAAAGGAAAGAAAAAATAACAACAATCACCATCTATTCTTGATACACTACTTTTTTCTTTCCTCTCTCGTTCCTTTGCTGTTCTGTGCTTTCTTGATCGATACTTGAGATGAGAAAAAAAATGTTTCCAACAACCAACCAACCAACTAACGTATAACTGACGAACGAACTAAGTAAACAAACCAATTAACTAGACTACTCAACCAAACAAGGATGAAAATAATCCCAGAAAAATGTCCAGCCTCGATTTCTGAGTGAGCAGGAACAAACGGTTCAATGGTGGATGCTTATTGCATACCTACCTACGCATGAGTATTAGGATTCGCCTTTGCTGTCGCCCATGCAGATTCCCCTCCTTCTATTCACTTTCTTCCTCCTCTTCCTCCTCCTCCCTGTCTTCTTCTTCTTCTTCTTGAATTCTCTCGAGATTTTACTTAGCACCATCCTTGCCTCGACGCCCCAGGCTATCCTTGCTACATCTCAATCAATCGCATTCACCCAACAGCAGCAGGCTTGCCCGCTCTCCAGTAGACGAAACCTCACACACGGCAGCTGTATTTCCGCAATCAACCCACTCATGTATTTTACACAACAGCACTTGTCACGAAAAGCATGAGAAAACAACACCCAGCTTCCTACACTGCTATCCACAGACACACACTCGCGCACATTCCTTCCTGCATGCTTTACAAAAACTCTCACAGCAGCTAGCATATCTGAATCCAGCAAGGGAAAAACAGCCGTGTTTAGCTCCACCCATGGCATTGTATTGCATTACTACACTGCGCCACACTACGCCACGCCATGCCATGCACAGTCTAAAACGCATGGACTGGGGACTTGGGAGTTTGAGCAATGCAACCCACACCAGACCAGACCGGGCATAAAAAGATAATGGGGGGGTATAGAACGGTCTAGAAGCGTATTTTGGCGTATTTGGCGTATTTGGCGTATTCTCTCTCTCTCTCTGGGGGGGTGGATGGGTGGGTAAGTGGATCCACTAGTTCCCTTTGTAAGGCATAGAATTATCTACCTACCTACCTACCTACCTACCTATTTATCTACACAATGTGAATGGAAGCAGCGTATGGAATAAGTAGGACAGGATAGGTAAGATGAATACAAAACCCGAAAATTTTATTTCCACCATTTACTCACTCTTCTTCGCCGGATTCCTCTCACAGGAATGAATGCTCGTTGTAGAATAGACAATCTCTGAGATGTATACGTAGTTGATTCCTATCTACACGCACATGTATACATAATACACAGCCAAAGTTGCGTCATTGCACTCACTTATCCACCGAGTCTTCTACACATAGATACTAGTGTAGATACAGCAGCTAACTTTGTTCCTCTGCGGGACTTTTCCATCCATCCATTCATCCATCCATCCATCCATCCATCCATAGTCTCACTTACACGAACAATAGCTCCATTCTACACAAGAGAAGTGTGATTTCCCCGCCTAACATAGGAATACGTATGTATATATCTCCTCTACAAGTCAGAACCAAACCGCAAAAGCATCTGTATCAGCCCCGCATGAGCATATCCAGCGCGCGGCAGCAGAAACGCCCGGTTTCACAGCACAGCATGACGTGGCATGGCATGGCATGGCATGGCATAAGTCGGGCATAGGCGGGGGGCATAAATGGTATTTTTTTTTCTTCTTCTTCTCGGTGCGCGCATTTTAACGCAGAGTGGTGGCTTTGGCTGGGGATGGCATGCGGGATTTCCATCGAGAAGCGTGTCAAGCCAGTCAGTGTGGCATGCGTCAAAGGTGACGTTGATGCCGTGTTTAAACGTGTGTCATACTCTAACGCTACTTACAAGCGAGGTATTTACAGCTGCGCGATATGCCTGTGCGCCTGAGGGGCGAGGCTTTGTCGTGGCTGGGTGGCTTGTCATGGGGAGATATAAGGTTTTGGGGAGACATTTTTTTTGTATAGTTGTTGCTCATGTTGCAAGGGGAGAGAAAACATGACAAGTTGAATATGTTTGTTTAGGTCTATATGCTGGGAACCGCGATACGTTAGCGGCAGATGAAGACGGCATAGGTACAATTCAGGGTCCTCTGGATCTCAGGCACATCTGCTGCTTTGTCTGCATTGTACTGAAACATGCGGTTGGGTTGGACCTGGACTGCGTTGGGTGGTGGTGAATCTAGTATTCTCGTCTTGTTTGCAGACATGGCAGTTTTGAATATTAAACACGATTGACAATCATGACAAGCATACTTACTTCTTAAGCGACCATCATGTTTGCTTAATCGTAGAGCTATATTGAACCACACATATGCATAATCATAGAGGCATCTTGTCGTCAGGGTCCAAGAGTTCGTTTCAACGTGTAGGCATGGCCCTGTAAAGTGCAGTCATGGAATTCTGACATGACTTCAAATGCGGCCTTTGTAGCTACACACGTGCTCTTGGGTAGAATCTGACGGAACAAAAGTGTCAGAGTGATGCCGACTTGGGAAAGACGGCGTGTTTCGTTTCTGAAGACGTGTGCGTGGGGTTGCAGTGCGGTGCGAGGTTGAGCTCCAGATGCTGACGTTATCCACTACAGTCGGAAGCCGGCACTGGAGACCGAGTTCGGTTTCGGTTCAACATGTGGGGGGCGGCGAGCACGGGGTGAAGGTCGACACCAAGAGGCGTGAAACCGACGTCGACGCGTTACTCAGCTGGTTAGCGGCGCAGTGAAGCACACTAAGGCGCTCTCTAACGTGCTCTTGGATATGAGGTGTCTTTTGGTCCGTTACATGGGTTCCGTCATGTCGAGTGCATTATCACTTGACCCGTACGCGCTCCTGAAAACGCGGTTCAGGCTGTAGCAGGGCAGCATCACAGCAGCGTCGGTCATGATTGGATATAGACGAGTGTTGGGTTTCAGATGTCGGATGCCACGGTATCTATCTGAGTGTTGTTACGTTTCGGAGGACAAAGGCGGTCCATCGGAATCCGGGAGAAACATTGGTCCAGTCACGTTGGCGGCAGTCGGTCGAGTAGTTTGTCCAGCCCGAGATGCGGCTGCTTCTAGAGCGGCTCGGTCGCTTTGCACTGCCGGGGGCGCATTAGGCCAATGTCGCAGGGTGGGCCGAGCCATGGATGCAATGGCGAGGTTTGCGAGGGCAGCAGCGCGAGTACGGATACGGGCAGAGCTGCGGAGCGAACGAGCAGGCTGTGCCTGGGACGCTCTGGACGATGGTTGTCGTGTTGTCGTGTTGTCGGTCCCGAAGTTGGGCGGACAGGGAGCGGGCAGGACGGGACAAGAATAGCCTGGTCGGACCAGGTGCAGGCACAGGCAGCATTTGGATTTGGCGCTAGTGGGCTGACTAAGCCAGCGCAACGTTGCCTTCTTGGATATGCCTTTTTTTTTCCTCTTTTTTTTTCTTTTTTGCCGCGCAGCTTCTTCGGCGCTCTTGGCGGGGGGAAGGGGGATTCGCCGTGTGTCTGCAGGTCCGTTTATCCGTCATCGAGCCGTCGCGTCGTGGATGTGGCGGTGGGCTGTCGGTGCCATGGTGTCGTGCTGGCAGTACCGTGTTGCTCGCAAGCGCTGCTGACGCACAATGACAGGCACCTGTCCCAACGGTCGCCAGCTCGTATAGGGATCATCGGCGCGATCCAAATTTAACAGGCGTCTAGTCTGACATGGGGCCTTCTGTTTCCTCGGGCGGGCCGGCGGGCGAAGTCTTCTTGGGCTCGGGCTCTATCATGCCGGACATCTCAATGTCTCGTTCCTGCTTGCGAAACCACATGGCGGGCGGGTTGCGGCGGCGTGGCTGCGGGGGGGGAGAGGGCGAGAGTTGGGGGGCCAGCTGGCGCGCGGCGCGAGAGAAGGGGCCAGTCCGGGCGGTGGTGGGTGTCGGGGCGTCGAGGCGGTGGTGTTTTTGCAGCGAGGCGGCAGGAGCAGTCCTGAGGGGGGGAGCGAGGGGGACTTGACTTGTACAGGACAGGCCGTGGGTGGGAGCATGTGGCGCGGGCGAGGAGGGGATGGGGTGGGATAGGATAGGATAGGATGGGATAGGATAGGATAGGGGAGAAGGATGGGGCGTGGGCGCATGTATCAAGGGCTCGGGCATGAAACCGGCATAGCCACATCCGCGTCATCCCCCCACGGGCCAATGGCGACGCGCCGAAACGCTGCTGCGTGAGACACTGGCGCGGGAGATCAGCGCTTGTAAAGACGGGCTTAAAACCTATCAAGCCCTCAAACCCCCGCTGCGCATCACTTGCCTTGGATCCGCGACGCCCGCCGCCCGCCTGCTCCTCTGCCTGTTCGGTTCGTGTCTGGTATGCGTTGCCTCTGCCAGCGCCGCCCAGCACAGCCACACGCGCCCGCTGCAGCCCGCCCGCCGCCCGCCGCTGCAGTACCAAAAGTTCGACTGGAAACGCTTCTTCCTGGCCCCCAAGTACATACGTGCGTCGTGTCGCCCTCCCCGTCCCCCGCCCGCCTCCTTCTGACCCGCTTGCAGCATGGCACATTCTCTTCATCGTCATCGGCATCCTCACCGTCATCATCACCATCAAGCACGACGAAGTGGTCGCGGTACGTCCACCGCCTTTTTGCTTGGACGAGCCCCGTCAACCCATCATGTGACTAACGACCCTCCAGAAACTACGGCCCTGGTCGGAAAAGGTGCGCGACCTGCCAGCAGGATGGTTGATTCCCATTGTTATTCTCGTCATCATTTCATTTCCGCCTCTCTTCGGCCACGAGATCATCGCCCTGTTGTGCGGTGTCGTCTATGGCCTGTGGATCGGTTTTGCCATTGTTGCGGCTGGCACCTTCATCGGCGAAGGTACGCTCTACCACCAACCTCTGCCGTCTGGCGCATGCTAACATACGAACCTTTGTAGTCGGCACATGGTATGCCTTCAAATATGCCTTCCGAAAGAAGGCCCTCAAGCTGGAACGCACCAATCTCAATTACGGCGCCATGGCCCGCCTCACCCGCGACGGCGGCTTCTTCATCGTCCTCGTCATCCGTCTCTCGGCCATTCCCGCGCATTTCTCCACGGCCGTCTTCTCCACGTGCGACGTCAAGTTCTGGCATTTCGTCGTCGCCACGTTCCTCTCGCTCCCCAAGCAAATCTTCCTCGTCTACCTGGGTGTTTTGCTTCTCCAGCAGAGCAACGACGACGTGATCAAAACCGTCATGTTCGGCGCCATTTTCATCATCACCATCGCCATGGGCGTCTGGATCTACCTCAAAATGCGCACAGTGAAGAAGGTGCTTCTCGAAGAGCAGGAAATGAGGCGTGTGCGAAAGGCAGAGGCCGTCGAGCTGGTCCCCAATGCCGAAAGCGCGTACCCGAGACGATATGACGAGGAACCCACGCAATGGACTCCCATGCAGCCCACACAAGTCAGCAGACCGCTGGACAGGAGATACGACGACGATCATGCAGATTGGGCAATGCAACCCACGCAGCCGACTAGGATGGTATGAAGAACCAACATAGCCAGCGCTTTCCCTTTTTTGCGTTCTTGTAATAACAGAGCTTATAGTGAAGAATACTTTTTTCTTTTAAATAGGTAGTCCTAATGCCATAACGACGTTATGACTTTTTTTTCGTCTTCGTTTTTTTTTGAGCTACTTGTATTCGTTTGGAAAGTTCAAGACGGCGTAAAGCTTTTTGTTGTTGTTTGATTCGATTTACATTCGATATATATGTTTTTGGATCGGGCTAGTTATGGCGATTGATAGTGATTCTGATGGCGATGGAGATGGCAATGTAGTGATATAGCAATGTAGCGATAGTGATGGCGATGGCGATGTAGCGATGTAGCGTTATTACAATATAGCGACATGGCGATATGGCGATATGTAACATAATTGCATCAACTGATTCCTTTCCCTCACTTGTTTACTTTTACAACCCACTTCTACTTGGTTACTACTACTTACTTACTTAACTGCATGTTAGACTCCCCTCCCCCCACTCTTTCGCGCAAACAATTTGGATGCTTAAATCACTCTTCCCACACACACACACACCTCTAGACTTTGTACAACACCTCCCCTCTTCTCCTCACATACATACATACATGCATACATATCTACTTACGCGTCATACTATTCCTACCTACTCCACTCGACTCCTTCATCTCCATCCCTCCTCTTCCTCCTTACTCATTAGCTTCTCTCTCTCCTATTTCTCTTTCCCTTGTTCATTTCCCCACATCATTTCGGACGCCTTGGCACTTGTCCTACAGTACCCACACCTACCCCCACACCCACACCTACGTACCCCCAGCAAATTTACCCTTGGCGTTCCCCGAGTCAATGTACTTGTCGCTATTCTCATTTCCTTTCCTTTTCTTTTCTTTGTTGTTTGGAAACTAGGCAGGTATGTTGCTGTTGTTGCTGTTGCTGTTGCTGTTGTTGTTGTTGTTGTTTTTTTCCGGTAAATCCAGACATACATAGACGGAATATATGTAGTTACATACATACATACATACATACGTAATTACAACTAGGGGTGGAGAGATGCGAGATTACGGGAAAGCATAGAACAAGATAAAGCGACAAAGTACACATGTGTGCCTGCGTAGGTGTATCACGTTAGATCCCTTCCCCACTGTATTACTTATATGCCCCTGTTTGCGATTTGGTGTACGTGTATATCCTTTTTTTTCTCCCCCAGCTAAATGAGAAAGGGTGGCAGAGATGTGCGCGCGACGCGTGTGTGGATGGTATTTGTGGGTTTGCTAGGGGTGAATTGTGGGGGTGTTAATACGCATACACATACGCGTAATGATGTGTGTGTGTGGGTGTGTGTGTGTAATTGCGATGCCAGATACGAGATACGAGATGGGAGATGCGATAAGGGATAAGGGATAAGGCATGTTGCTAGACTTGAAGTGTGGTTTAGTCACATATATACATATACACTTACGTACATACATACATATATACGTATACTACTTACTAAGAAGAATCAAAAGCCGAAAAGCAACAAAAAAAAAGGGGGGGGAGGGGGCCCGTGTGGGAAAAACAGAGATCGCGATGAAGATAGACAAGGGGAAGATGTACTTAGTGGGAAGGCTCTGTGTGTGTGTGTGATGAAAGTTTTCCAGCTAAACCCCGCCCCCCCCCTTTCCCAAAAAAAGGGATTAGGATTGGCGAAATTAAAATTAGCGTACTTACATATTACGTACCTTGAAGTGGAACTAGTAGTAGCTCGCAGCCCCTCAGCCACGCAAAGTGTGCCTGGATGAAGTATATGTATGTAGTTTTTTTTGTAGTAGAGTAGATACGCGGATTAATCGAATTTTTGGAAAATAAAAATACAAAGTGAGGGAGGGGGGGGGGGAAGAAGGCGAATACCATGGATAAATGTTATGAGTTGATAGTTATACTGGGCTTGCTGGGACTTGCTGGGACTTGACGTATGGCACAATGTCTCGGCATTCTAATTCTAACATCTAACATCTACTTCTAACCCGTTCGTTGTGTACTATCTACAAGACAACTCTTGATAATACCGCAAATCGTATCTTTTTTTTGCGTGTCTTGCTCGCTGCACAGCGGGTATATCTTACATGGAAAATAGGTGTAAGTAGATGGAGATGGAAACGGACGTGCATCACGCCGTATATCTAAACCACGGGACATGATCTGCGAGTTCGCGTTCCAGCGCCATTTGCGCCTGCGTCGACGCCGCCGTGTGAGCGCTGCTGTTCTCCAGCGCTGCTCGATCGCGCCGCGCGTTCTCGCGGGTAAACCAGGTCGACATGAAGAAGGTGAGGAAAAACGCCATGCTGCGTGTCTAGGTTAACTTGGCCTTCTCAAACATGCACATAGACGGAGTAATGTAGAAACGTACCTGACAAAACCAATCAAGATGCTGTGGCCTGTGATGAAGCGCGGCCCGTCACGCGAAACATAGACGTACGAAGCGATGATGCCGCCGCAGTTCCCGCCCATAACCTGCATGGCGATGCCTGTGCCACGCTTGAGACTGCCGCCAATGTTGCCGCTGTTCCACGCCATGCCGAGCGGGATCTGGGGGTAAATGCCAATGGCAGCCAGCACGGTGCCGGCGTACTGTATGCTCAGGGTGCTTGTGGCCGCGAGCATGGCAAAGCCGGCGATGGCGATGAGCTGGAAGCCCATGAGGAAGATGCCACGTTTCTTGACCCGGTCGGCATACCATGACGCGGCAATGGTGAAGATGCACGCGCACACGTAGGGCGGCACGCTCATGAGCTGCGCGTCGTTGGCCGTGTAGCCCATGTTTTTGATAATGGTAGGCAGGAACAGGGCGAAGGAGTAGATGGGGCAGAAGCCCGCCATGCAGATGAGCATGAAGATGTAGATTTTCCAGTCCGTCAGCGCCTGGTACACGTATTTCATCGAAAAGTCGTTGGAGAGGTGTCCGTGGTCTTGGTCCAGACGGCGTTGCACTTCTGTACGCTCTTTGGGGGTGAGGAAGCGCGCGCTAGACAGCAGTATCAATATGTGCAGAGTAGCGGAAAGGAGAGTGAACCTACGTAGCGGGGTAGTCGTAGATGCACCAGTATGCGATTATGGAGACGAGAATGCTGAGAATGCCTTCTAGGATAAAGATCCACGACCAAGCGGCTCGGCCACCGACTCCAGACATTTCTGCGATGCCGCGAGCGAGGATGCCACCGAATGCGCCGGCAAGCGTTGCAGCCGAGAAGAAAAGAGCCATGCGGAAGCCACATTCATCTCGAACATACCTAGTACGGTAAGCTTGAGCCAGTAATATCCCCTCTTGATAGACTTACCACTGTGATATGTAGTAGTTGACGCCTGGGAACAGGCCGCCTTCAAAGACACCAAGAAACACGCGCGTCGCCATGAGGCCAGAGTAGTTCTTAACGAAACCCTGCAGGATCATGGCCAGTGACCAGAAGAACATGATGAATGTCAGCCAGATAGAAGGCCTGGTACGCTTCATCATGATATTAGAGGGTATCTCAGCCGCAATGTAAAACGGGAAGAGAACGGCGAGACAGTCATTGTACTGAAGCCCATGAAGGTTGAGGTCTTGCTCTAGATGATCGAGACGCGCGTTGCCAATGTTTGTGCGATCGAGAAAACAAAGCCTGGGCGTGTGTGAGAAGATACAAGAGAAGATGTGATTGTCCAACTTACAGATAGATCAGAGACATGAAGGGAATAAGATGCCAGTCTAGCTTCCGCAGTAGCTTCTTCGTCCCCGCCGCATCAAAGCCAGACGTCTCTACATCTTGGACTGAAGTATCAATTTCTACTGGGACGACGGTAGTGTCGTCGATAACCTTCTCTGCCATGGCGATTCAGATATGAGACTGGCTGAAGCCTGAATCTCGTGCGTGGACTTGTTCCCTCAAGTACTCTTGACGTTTCACGCTGACAGCTTCTCAGATGCAGTAGTGACATGGCGCAGGGCATGTGTGCAGTACCAAGACTCCAGACGATTTGTATTTTTGTGAGCGCCTTACAGTAGTGTAGTACGCCTATCTATCTCTTGCCGCGTTTGTGTGCATGCTCCGAGATCAATAGGCTGGTGTAACACTGATTCAGACCTCAGTGGCTAAATGGTGCATACGCGGCCATGGATTAACCGGCGAGGCGGGCAACGGCCAGGGCTTGTTTGATGTAGCCAAGACGTCCTTCTGTATGTTTATCGCGGGGAGACGAGGCTTGTAGCGAACGAGCTCAGTGCCAACGCTTGGTTGGTCAACCGCCGAAGCTTGGGTATGCGGGCGGGCAGTCATGCAGACACCGAGTTGCATAAGCCCGCCGTCTCGCCAGCTCTGTCAGCTGTGCGTCAATTTCATCAAGATACAACTAAGTCAAATAGGTGAGCAGCAGGAAAAGAGGAGTGCATCAGGCGCTGCTTACAGGCTGGTCCAGGCAAACGTGGGATGTAGCCCGATTTGCGCTAACTTGTTCTGGCAACATGGGATCTAGAACGTCTCCTGGATATTAACGAGCGTCGAGATAGGGCTGCCACTCCCATGTCCATCTCAGTGCAGAGGCTCTTTTTCGTTTTCCTGCAGCGCCACTCCTCGTTGGCCTAGACTAGCCAAGCACTTGATGCAGTACGGCGAAGAGACTCTCTTCTCCCGGAGCCTCGGACATGCTCTGGACAACGAAGCCTGTGTTACCAAGGGCTTGCCTTCATGCTGCATCGATCGAAAGTGGCAATGCATAAAGATTGTCTCGGAGGCACATGGGTGGCAGTCATAATTATAGTGGAAAAGGAAGCACATGGCCGAACGAGTCAGCGTGTACTCTGCACTGAATGGATACTGGCTTTATGGTAATGTTTCGCGCAGGGTTGGAGGTGAAGATTAGCAAGTGGAATGGAAGCCCGGAACCAGGCATCGGTGTTGCTTTATCTTTGTTGGTTTGAGGTTCACTCCCGTTCGTTTTCCAGCCGCTGCTGAGTTGCGACCTGGGCGAGCTCATCACGAGTACCAGCGTGTGTTTCCAAAAGAGGCCACAATCTATATCCGCGTCGCTAATCTGTCAAGACTGCCCAATCACCGAACTAGATCCTTGACTAATTCATCGAACCGTGACCACGGGAGGCTATTGTTGGCTCCCAAGTGCGTTTCCCTCCGCACGGCCAGTGAATCTTGGACCAAGTGACGACCAAGGTCATGCGTTGGCCGTGCGTTGTGCAGACACTGGTCGACTGGATTAAATAGGCTTCGTCTATCTCTAAACGGCCTGCAAACCGCGGGAGGCCGGTATTCCGTCGTTGACAGGCTGGTAATAGGCGCGTGGAACAACGCTAGTGTAATAGCGTCGTGCCCTGTGTACCATTCGTATTGCTACAGCAAACATTGCCGACTTCTGCTGAAACCGATCGTCATAGTCATGCTCCACAGGTAGCAGCAATGGAAGAGGCAAGGCGTGAACATCTCGACTGGATTGAGGTAGAATATACAATCAAAGCGGCTACGTGCGTATTGAGACTGTGCAAAACCTAAGAATCGCAAAACATTTAGTATCTGAATTGTCGCTCATTCATTAGATAGAAGTCATCAAAGTCGTTTTCGTCGTCGTCATCATCGTCGTCGTCGTCATCGTTGTAGTCGCAAGGATCTTGGAAATTGTAACCCCATCTTGATCTCTCTGGAGCTCGATATGCCTGCCCCGGATGGTGGAAGCCTTCTCTTCTCTGCCTCGAAGGCTTAAACCCCCATGACATGTTGAAGTCGCTTTCATTGTCTTCATCGTCATCACCAAACAACTGGCCCACAAAAGGGCGCCGTTGGCTATGGAGCCACGGTCTTTGACTGCAACAACGCCGACTGCTAAGGTCAGAGTGTCTCCGCCGGGAAGTGGCCAGGTTGAAAGCTGGATTTCGAGAGTCTGTGGGTGCGCTGGTAAAGAAAGAAGGGCGACTTGGCCCCTGCCGGTCGCCGCTCATATCCAGGCCCATGTTGGTAGTTCTATCTCTAAAAGGCCGCATTCCCATTATGCCGACTCTAGATGCCATGAAGCCCATTCCCAGAGCGATTCCTGATTGTGTAGGGAAACCGTATTGGGGGCTGCTCATTACGGGGTGGCATTCCGTATAAGCCGAGAATGGAGATTGGAAGCTGGGCCCGCTGTCGAGTCGCGATTGTCGGGCGTTGAGCGCACGTATATATGCTTCTCTTTCTGCGCGTGCAACCCCTCTTGACCGACAGTCTTGAGCATCACCGCCATAGTTGTCGCTGCATCCACTGTAAAGATGATTGTAAGAGTAGCCGCGACGGAAGCCGCATTCGGGGGAGCGTGCACATGCACGCATGGGCAGTGATTGGAGAGAATTCGATCAGAGGCCGTCTGTGTGGCGGTGATTGATAGGCTTGTGGTGCGATTTGGTTCTTCTGCTGAGAATGCAAGGTAGGTCAAGCAGGTCGACCAAGGCCCGGCTGCATCAGACGGAAAGCAGGAGCATCGAGGCTCCGAGGGCTCCCGAGAACTTTGTAGTTGGAATGCGTGCAAGAAAAACAGCGCTTTTGTTGGCAAGGGGGACACGGTGCTTGTGGCAGGCCGTCGCAACCAAGGACGTGGGCGATTGGCGCCATGGTGTCACGACGGCGTACGAGGGCGAGACGAGCTGAAGCAAACTCGGGTTGCGGGCAGAGCAGCAAACACGGCGGTTGAGACGGCGAGCTGGCGAGCTGGCGAGGGGGAGACGGGAGGATTGGGCAGCAGTGGCAGTGGCCAGGAGGCTATAGTAGAAACACGAACCATATGGCCAGAGCCGACAGGGAAGTGGCGACACGCGATGAGGGGCGTCAAAGGCTATTCGCGCCTGCCCTGGCTGGCAACGTCACCGGGCGTGCCTTGCAGAGAAGGCTTGGCACTTGCAGCTGAGGGCGAGTCAGCCGCCATTGGCAGCCCGCAACAGGCTGGCACTTGGATGGCGGTGCACTGGCGCAACGGCGACGGCGACAGCGACAGCGACAGCGACAGCGACGGCGACAGCGACAGCGACGGCGACAACAGCAACAGGAGCGCGACGCGTTGACGCGCTGGGGGTGGCGGGACGTTGCAAGCACACGCACACGCACACGCAGACATGGGCAGAAAACACGGCTGTCCCCACCGGTGCGGCGGGGTCACGTGCGCCCCGTCTCGGCTGCCGCCAACCTCAAATGTTCGCCGGGCGCTGTAGCTCTTCTTCTGTCGCCGCATACGACTGCATCCCCCACCCACCGACTCCGTGCCTCTACACACCGTCTCCCGCCCCTCCGCGCCTCGCTGCAACCCGCTGCCCGCGTCCCCCGCCGCCTGCAACCCGCCGAGACCAACGCCCTGCAACCTGCAACCCGCAACCTGCAACCCGTCCCCACACCAAATCTTCTGGCTTCGACCACGACAGCACGCTCCGCCCTCGACAGCCCCTCCCACACAATGGCCCCTGCTTCATTTGCCTCGGCGGCTGCCGGAAACAACGCCAATTCAGCGCGCGCAGAAGCGAGCGGCGACTGGTGAGTCCGTCCTGCTGCTGTCTCTGCGGCCACTCGCATTACTACCACGGCCATGTCGCTGGGCAATGGCTCTGATACTCACGCCGGCCACAGGGCGAGACGCACCAACGGTGCCACGCAGACGTTCCGCCGACCCTCACACGCGACCAGCCTGTCCGGCTCAACAAGCCAACCCGCCCCACGAGACGCCCCTGCCCCACAGACGCCTTCGACGAGTGCCGGCGTATATGTCCCTCCACATGCACAGCCCGGCCGCAATGGCGCTTCGTTCGAGGGCCGGTACTCGCGAGACCAACTGACGCAGCTCTTCCGGATACAGCAACAGGCCGGCGACCTCAACCATGGACTCTCAGATCTGTACATGGGCGCATGGGAGCCGCACGCCACCAACGGCGCCGCGAGCGCTTCCTGGGGCCGCAAGGATGATCATGGTGGTGGCAGGGAGGCGCCGAGCGGGGTCGACCAGTGCTGGGACAAGGACGGCGCCATACTGCCACTGAGCCTGACCGACATGACCGACGACGAGAGAGAGGTATGCTCTTTGCCCCATTGCGCCCTGCCGCAGCGCCCTCCTCCGGCTAACATGCGCGTGCTCGCTTAGATGTTCGTTTCGTCTGTAAACTCGCCGCTGAAACCCCCCACGCAGAACACCACCAAGGACGGCACCCCCAAAGAAGGTCTTTCGCTGCGCAAGACGTCGGTGTCGCAAGGCCCAGGCACCCCGTACGGCCTGTCGTCGCCCACGGCCGCGCGACCGGGTGCTCGACGCCGCGATACCGGCGACGCCTATCCGTTCCCTTCGTCGCCCGCCACGTCGCGATTCGTGCGCGAAGAGGGTAGTGCCGTTACCCCGCCGCCTGCTCTGGTACGTCGTCGGACAGACTACAAGGAATCCGCAGAGGGTCGCCAGGGCGAAGAACGCGATCGGGAAAAGGGCGCTGCCGAGGGCGCAGGTGCGTTTGGCTCGGCCAAGCGCAGCACGACGGCGCCCTTCAGCCCAGGTGTCGGTGCATCGCCCTGGTCTGCAACGCCGGGTGGTGGCTTTGGTGTATTCGGAAGCTTTGCCAATCCGCAATCAGATAAGAAGTCTGGCTACGGCAGTCTGCGCGGTGAGAGCCGCTTCAAGGGCCTGATGGGTAAGCCCAGCGTCGAGGACTTGGCCAACGGCCCGAAAGACAAGTCGTCGGCCAACAGCCTGGGCAAGCTTAGCGAGGGGGAGGCGTCGAAAAATGATGCATCGTGGATGGAGGCCCGCACTAACCGGCCAATGAGCAGCGACACTGATCCTTTTCCTGACCATGACCACCCAACGGGCAGTGCTGCGCTTCGCGGCGAAGATGTTAGTCCGCCCCGATCTCAAGGCTTCGGTAATTTTGCAACGCCCCACCGCCCAGACCACCGTGACGACTCTGGATTATCTGCTTTCGGAATGACTACCGACAACATGTATGCAAAGAACAATTTTGCAGACCAGTCGCCCCTTCGCGCAGGTGGGAATGAGCCCATGAGCCCGACGGACACCAATCCCTACCAGAGCCCGCACCATGCACGGGATCAGCACGACGACTCGGACGACTCGGGCGATCCAAATGCCCACTTTCCTGGCATGAGCAGCTTTCATATTGACCAGTCTGTCCACTCGAGCATTCACAATGCCTTTGGCGGCCTGGGAGGCCTTGGGAAGCCGGTACCGTTCGAGACGGCAGCAAGCGATCGCAGCCAGACGTCTAGCGTGGGACCCAATCGAGGCTTCCCGACTTTGCCTGGCCTTGGTGGGGGTCTGCCTGGCCTGGGAGGCTCTTCAGCCTGGCCCTCGCACACGCTGGGCACTCCCACCCGCGAGCGTGGCGGCCTGGGGGGCTTTGAGGCTGCCTTTGGAAACGTAGCTGAGGCTCAGTCACCTTCTCTTGCCGGCCTGGGCAACAGCTCGCTGTTTGGCCATGGCCACAACACGGTAGGCCGCTCCAGCAGACTCGGCTCTCTGTTCCCCGCTTCGATGCAAGAGCAAATGCGCTCCAACGATCCGAATCGAGCTCCCGTTGATGACAGCTCTTCGCACGGTGACCGCCAGTACAGCATGACTGGCACGTTTGGAAGAACTGCTTTTGGTGGCCAGGCACCGGCACGTGATACCGACAGTCCCTTCCGCGCAAACCGCAATCTCTTCGATGATTTCTCCAACGCCCACCATGACGACCACGGCTCTGCGGGGCAACCCCAGAACATGGCTACCACGTCGCTTTCCATGGCTGCCTTGAACCCGACCAGGACCGCGCAGCCCTCGACTCCAGGCGTCGGCAGTCCTGCTTCCAGCCAGCCTCCGGTGCCCCAGCAACGCATGATGGTCATGCCTGACAGGATGAGGTGGATCTACCGTGACCCCTCAGGCAATGTCCAAGGTCCATTTTCTGGTCTCGAGATGCACGACTGGTACAAGGCTGGCTTCTTCTCGCCCGAGCTGCTGGTGAAGAAGGCAGAAGAGCCAGACTATGAGCCTCTTGCCCAGCTCATCCGTCGCATTGGCAACTCACGTGAGCCTTTCCTGGTGCCCCAGATTGGCATTCCTCACGGCCCTGCCACCACTCAGCCCGGCAACTCTTGGGCTGGTGCTGGTCCCAGCGCTGTCAATGCTCCGGGAGCTCAGCCTCCATTTGCAAACAGCTTCCCGAGCTTCGGGACCACGCTTACTGCCGAGCAGCAGAATGCCCTCGAGCGTCGGAAACAAGAAGAGCAGTACCTGATGGCTCGTCAAAAGGAACATCTAGCCGCCCAGCAACAAGCGCTTGCCCGCCAAGTTCAGATGGGTGTACTGCCAAACCAGCTCAATCACCACTCGAGTGCGCATAGTCTGCATAGCCAGCCCAGTTTTGGTAGCATCACATCGCCTGGCGGATACCAGCCATCGCCTCCTCAGGGAGCTGCGCCCGGGGCTTCTGTTCCTGGTCTCATAGACGGTGCCTTTAGGCCTGGCCCTGGCCCTGTGCCCGGTTTAGGTCCCATTGGACCAGGCATGGACATGCTGAATAACCGCAGAGATCAAGATGTCCCTGCTATGATGGAGCGTCTCAACTTGGGACGCAACAATCAGCCGCAGTATGCCTTTGGACAGCAACAGGACCCTGATGCGCACGCCCAATACGTAGCCTCAGTGATTGGTGACCGGGCTCGCCTTAAGCGCGAACAAGCTGAGCACGACGCCATGATTCGTCAAGGCAGCGCTGAAGACATGCAAGCTGCTCGCAACTTTGCTGAGCGCTATGCCGAGTTCAACGAGTTGCGCGTCCAGACAGACATGGAGCAGTCCAACGCAGTGCCTCCGCCAGAGGGTGTCATTGGAAAGCCTTCCTCTTCGTCGGCTCAGCAATCGCAACCAGCTTCTGAGCCTACATCCCCTGAGCGCGCAGACGCCGAGGAACAGCAGCCTGAGAACAAGGAAGAAGTGGAGGACGAGTCTTCTACTGCGCAAGAGCCGCTGTCCCTCACTGAACAGGTGCAAAAGGCTGCTTCTGCTAAGCAGTCTCCTCAGCCTCCGACCGCATGGAACAAGGTCGAGCCCGCCATCTTCCCATTCCCACCAGCGCCATCTCAGTCCCCTCTTCCTGCACCTGCAGCCCAGAGGAAGCCAATTGTTGCTGAGAATCTCAACGCCGAGTCTCGCTCGGGCGCCGCAACTCCAGCTGCCGACACCCCAAGCGTCTCGATTGCACCCTGGGCCAAAGAACCCGTCAATGCATCCCACGGACCGTCTCTTAGGGAAATCCAGGAGATGGAGGCCAAGAAGGCAGCCGAGCGCGAGGCTGTTGCAACGGCAGCCCGCCGTGAAGCTTTTGAGAAGGAACTCCAAGCTCAGAACCAGTCGCCTGCAACACAGCCTGGCCTGCCTTCCAGCTCGACTTGGGCAAGTGGTGCTTCGCCTGTCACGCCTAATGCAGCCAATGCGTCTGTATGGACCAAGCCTGCGGCAAGCAAGGCTACTCCACAGCCAACCCCGAGTTCAAAGAAGACGCTCCAGCAAATTCAAAAGGAAGAGGAGGCTCGAAAGCAACGTGCCGCCGCTCAGAATGTCGCTGCAGCCAGCGCATTCGCAACTCCCGCCCCACCTCCATCTGGTGGAAAGCGGTATGCTGACTTGGCGGGCAAGAGCACTCCCACGCTGCCTGCCGGACCTGTGGGACCTCCTGGTAGTAGTCCATGGACTACTGTCGGCGCAAGTGGCAAGGTCAAGGCACTAGGTGGTACAACGACGCCCGTTCCCGGTGCCGTTCGCTCAGCCAGTTCTACTATAGTGCCTTCTCTTGCCAAGAAGCCCATTGTCACCCGCAGCACTACTGTGGGTGCACCACCAGGAAAGCCCAATGCTGAGGAGGAGTTCCGAAAGTGGGCCGTCAATGAGCTCCGACATGATCTCAACAAGAACATTAATGGTATGTTTGATTTCCCTTGTACTAACCATGCTTACTAACACTTGTGCAGCCGAGGATTTCGTCTCATCCCTCCTGAGCTTCCCCGCTGATGCAGAACTCATTACTGAGTCGGTTCACTCTGCCTCTAGCACGCTCGACTCTCGTCATTTCGCCGAAGAGTTCCTTCGTCGCCGCAAGCTCGCTGAGAAAGGCATCATTGATGAGCGCAACACTTCCTCTCCTGCCGAGAACAAGGCCGCGGGCAGCGGTTGGTCTGAAGTTGCCAAGAAGGGCGGCGCCAACACGGCCCAGCAGCAGCCTCTAGACTCTAGCAACTTCAAGGTTGTTGCTCCCAAGAAGAAGACCAAGCGGTAGATGTGTTGGGATTTATCGTCTTGACGCATTGGAAAGACTTTCTTTCAAGTTTATGGTTGGTCGTGCAGGTATGCGAGGGAGGCGTGATTCGCAAGAGACAGAAAAGCCAAAAGTTGTAAGGGGACGAAAGAAAATCGTGTGACATGACAGGACAATGTTGTGAGCAGTTATCGAGCTGGTTCGTTGCTTGTATGGTGCTCACGACTTTGTTCTCTCGTATGGGGCACTATGCGCGTGTGTCAATATTACTTTTTCAAAGTTAGTAGTTACCACTCATTCGTTCTAGAAATACTACTTTGTTCACACACACACTCTCTCTCTTGTTCATTTACTCTTTGTGTCGCAGAATATCACGTATCCCGGCACATTAAGTACAGATATCCCAACACTGGGTGGGTCGCTCTTCTTGTTCTTCTTCCATAGTATGAGATGTTGATATGTGAGGGGAAAAAAAAGTTCCATCTCCCTTACTTCTTCCAGTCTTTGTACACATGTATTCATTTATACATGCGTAAATATACGTGCAATTAAAAATGTGCAGGTGAAAAAGACAGAATCCTCAGGTCCATTGATTCAGTCGTATAACCCTCGATATGACATGGCATGTCTACATGCATAGCATATATTTGTTTCTCCGATTCCCTTTGATACGGCTATTTGTATTTCCTTTGCATATTCCTGTTCGTATTTCCTTTTTGCCTTTGCCATTTATGTTACAGACACACGAGACACAGTAGATACATAGTACACAGCACATGGCACACACACATAGCACAACACGTAGATGCAGTTCGTACACCAGATTATCGTGTCCCTTTTTTCCTCTTTCTTTCTGCTTATCTATCTCTTCAGCATGCGTTATCCGTCATTCCATTCATTTACTCATCACTCCATCCATCCATGTATCTGTCCATCCATATCCCTGCTAATATATAAGTAGTACTAGCATTTCACTGCTGCTTAGCTCTCTCCCTCCCTCTCTCTCTCTCTCTCTTTCTCTCTCTCCCTTTTTCTCTTTTTCTTTTAGCCCAACCAACTACCAGCCTAGCTGACCAGCAAGTAGAAACGAGAAACGAGAAACGAGAAACGAGAAACGAGAAACGAGACACGAGAAACGAGAAACGAGACACGAGAGAGAGCGAAACTGAAGAAAGTGATAGATAGATAGATAGATAGATAGATGGAGAAACCGGGACAAGGAACTAACTAGTAGAACAAAAAACAACAACAAACTAGGATAGAAAAGATGGAGGTGTGAGTGAGTGAGTGAGTGAGGTATGAAGAGTAAGAACAAGACAAACCAAACCAAACCAAACCAAGGTGAATGAAAAAACAAAACAAAGCAAAGAACCAAAAGAAGGACAAGGGAAGAGTGAGATATCACAGTTCTCTCTTTCTTTTTTCTTTCTTCTTTTTTCTTTTCTGTTCTTTTCTTTTCTTTTCTTCTTTTTATTATTCTGGATCAGTCCAAAAGGTTAAGAAAAAAAAAACCCCCCCAACCTTATTGCGTGCATGCATGCATGCATGGTTCTCTGTTCATTATTCACATGTACGATCGACTTATTGATGCAAGACACACATACACACACACACACATATATATATATATATAGAGCGAGAGAGAGGACACAGGGGGGAGCATGATTTAGGAGTTAGGAGTTAGGAGGTGGGAGGCGTGACATGATTGCTCCTAACAATCATAGGAGAAAAGAAAAAGCATAAGTACTTAGGTCAATGAAAGACATGAGTTGAGAGGGAGCAACATCACACTACACACCACACACACCACACACCACAAGACAGCACAGCACACGACAGCATGTAAAAAGATTGACTTTGTTTGTTTGTGTATCCATAAGAGAAAGTTGGAAAAAAGAAAGAAAGAAGCAGCAAATTGGTATATTTCTTTTTTGCGCCGATCAGACGAGGAGGTGTTGGAGGGAGAGGGGGGGGAGGGGGGAATCATTCAGAAATCCACAGCAAAACACATTCAAACGAGGTTAAAGGTGATGAAGAAAAAAAACGCCCTTCGGAATAAGACAAACAATTGCAGGAAGGGACAGGATATAAATCAAACGCGTTAAAAACAGCAACAAAAAACAGGGACGACAGGTTAAAAAAAACCGACAAAAAAACAAGACAACCAGCCACGCCAGGCTTATACGTGATTTCGCCGTAGAGTGGGAGGATTTGGGGGTATAATTCTTTTGTCGTCGCACACGTACAAGAGGCAATGAACGCGTAGCGGGGTATTCTTCGTTAAGGCCGGTTACAGTAGTGGTATCAAATAAATGGTTCGAGATTGTGGTGTATCATTTAACGAGGAGGCCCAATAGGGGCCGGGTATCCAGATGCAGAATGAGAAGTACTGGGGCGCCCGCTGTCCACGGAGCCCCGCGGGTCGTACCGGGGGGTCACATCCCCAGGCGCCGCGGAAGAGGAACCAAAAGGAAACTTGGACTCGAAACGAGGTGCTGGCATGGGCCAGCCGTTGGTGTGGTGCTCATCGTCTGCAAGGTTGATGCCGCTGTCGTTCCACGGGTTGCGGTAGCTACCGGTGGATTCCAGGCTGGCCAGGGACGCCTTGGAAGCGTTGCTCGAAGCATGCTTGAAGAGGGATCCTGGTGAGTTGGTGTTCTTGCGTCCGTTGAAGATGGACGTAAACGACGACATGCTACCTGGCTTGCGAAGGCGGTCCAGCATGCCACGAGGCTCATCATCACCACCAAAGTGAGAGCGAGTGGGAGAGTCTGTGCTTTCGACAGCAGGCTCAGCACGCTGTAGAAGCTTCGACTCGAAGAAAGGCAGAGAGTCTTCGAAAGAGTCCGACTTGGGACGTGGCAGGGCGCCACGAACTGTGCTAGTGTCGAGGCCGTGCATGACGAGGCGGTTGAGTAAGAAGTCAATGGCGTCTTTCAAGCCACCGGCATTGTTGCGAGTGAAAACAATGTGGAAAGCTTCGATTTGCTCTTCTTTGCCATCAATGGTTTCGGTCTGAGGCTGTTGAAGCTGGGCATCGACTTCATGCTGAGTCTTGAGCTTGTCGAGTATCTCAGCCTTGAATTCGGCAGAGCGAATGTGCTCGCTAAGCTCCGTGGTTGAGGGGAAGGCTAGATCGTGAGATTCTGGTACCATACCCTGAGATTGATTAGTGAAATGCCTTTGAAGCGTAGTCAGATGAACGTACCAAAAACTCATCGACTGCAAATGGCACCTGATACTCAGGACCAGACACCGTGACGATGTCGCTCGCCTCCTCAGTGCTAGGGAAGGTGATCTTGCAGTTGAACTTCTTCTCCAGTTCGTCAATCTTGTCCAAACGGGCAATAAGCTCACGGTGGTAAAGGCGATTGATGTTGATAGTCTCAGAGACAAACTCTGCATCGGCCTTCTCAACCATGTCCATGATCTCTTGCTTGACGAGGTCAAGGTTCTGAGCGTTGCGTGCAGGCGTGCGGCAGATGACATTGTCGACCTTGATGTCATCCTCTTCCTTGCCGAAACCACCACGGTCCATGGCATTGGAGAACTTGACAAAGACGGAGTACTTCTTCATGATGCGTTGGATGTGCTGGCCGCCGATACCAATGATGCGCTTGTGGTACTGGTCAGGGACGTGGAACGAGATGGATGCGGGCATCTCCTGCTCTACGAGATCGAGGCCGTTCTTGGTAGCTTCGTACTGGGCGCCACGGACTACAATGTAGAAGTTGTACTCGTTGAAGCCATCAAAGACAATCTGAACACTGCTGTGGCTCATGATTTTGTTGATCTTGCCGTTCTTCTTGCCGCTGACAAACTCCTTGTGCTCGTTTGCAAGCTCAATCTTGACGCTCATGTTGTACTGCGACTTCTTCACAAACGGAATGTTGCTGATGACCATTAGCGCGGCTCGCACTGCGTCGTCAGAGCCGTAGATGTGAAAGTTGAGCTTCTCGAAGCTGACTTCGGCACCAGAGTTGATGCAAATGTCTGAGAGCATGGCCCGGACGTCCGCCGGGGTAGGAGGGCGCTGCGTGGGGTCGGGGTGTGTGATGAACCACGATGCACTGTAGAATTGCCCAGCCTAACCACTGTCAGTACATGGATAATGGGTTTCTGAACATGCTGACACTTACAAGCTGCATGAGTTCGCGTACAGTGCGCTCAACGTGCAAGACGTCGGTGCCCTGTACGCGCACGACACCACGCTGGACACCGAGGGGCGGCAGCAGAATGTAGGACCCATTGTTCTCGATGATCTTGCGGACTTTGTCGAGACGCTCCAGCAGAATGGCGTCGAGCTTGGTGTCAGTGACCATGACGGGCTTCACAAAGACCTTGGTGGACATGACCAGGTCATGCAGACGTTGCTTGGCGCGAAGTATGTTCTCGGAGTTTTCTCCCGTTATGTAGACTAGATCATCGGGGCGGCGTTGGGCGCCCGGTGGCGTATAGCCAAACAAGCGGGGAAACGGCGGCGGGAAGTAAATGGCGGTGCCTGTGACCGACTCGATCATCTTGATGTTCTTGCGTCCACGGCCGCAAATCAGTGTGTGCATGGTCAGCTCCAGCTTCATGGTATCAACACATCGCTTAAGCTGTGACGGCATCGAGTTAGCACGGGAGCGCTAACGGGCATCAGTGGGGCATCAAGGAAACTCACAATCTGGTCGATCATAATCAGCACTCGCGTCTTTGCGTGCTCCATTGTCTCGAGATCTCCGTAGATGGCGCACCGAAGGCGCGGGTCGGCTCCCGTGTCGATGTTGCCGTGGAAGCTGGCCGTCTCGATGTCGGGCTGCTTGGGCATGAGGAGGAAGATGTCGGCCTTTGTCGCCTTGGCAATGAGGTCGAGCTGGTTCAGGACGGCGCCGCGGACGTTTTGCGTGGGCGGGTCGATGATGAGCTGCGAGTCAATGTCGACAAAGGACGAGCGCTGCGCCAGAAAATACGTCAGCAACGGGGGGACACTCATTTAAAAAAAAAAAAAGGGCCAACGAGGCGAAGCGGATGCGCCTACCAGAGAAATGGGCGTCGAGTTGAGGATCCGGCAGCGCATCGAGTTGACAATCTCGAGCTCGCCCGACAGGCACACGTTGGTGACGAGCGCCCGCAGCGGGCCCCGCTGCAGGCCCGGCAGCGGCTTGGACTCTGCTGACGTGACGACGGCCGAGACGCGTCCGTCCGTCTGGTCGCTCACGTCTCGACACAGGGTGCGCAGGTTCTCGACGTTTTGGGCGTGGACAGGCAGTTTGTGCGTGGGCGTGGCCTCTACCGTGCCTTCCGGATGGGTCCATCTCGCCTTTGCCCCGGGGCTGGCCCACATGATGTCGTCGGGGTCGGGGCCGGCGAGGTTGGAGGAGAAGGGCACGTTGAAGGACAGATTGACCTGGGTGCCGGGCGGGATGACGGGCGGGGCGGACGTGGCCGTCGAGGGCCGCTTGATGGGAGCTGTGACGGGCATGTCGTGGTTGGAGCGCGAGAAGGAGAAGCCGGTCGAGGGCGCCATCTTCTCCCAGCCATGGCGGGCCTGGGCCGGGAAGTTGGAGAGCTTGTGCATCGTGGTCGAGGAAACGCCCTAGGAGCTGGCGGGCGGGCGTGGGTGGGTGGGAGGGAGCAGAGGGAAGAAGGTCGAGGAAGATCGGAGCGCAGCAGCTGGCGGGCGAGCGTCGACGAGGCGGCGCGGGCGCGTGATTGGCTGCGCTTGCGAGCGTGGGCCCACTCCCCCCCCCCCCAGCGAGCAGCGAGCGGCGAGCGGCGAGCGGCGTGCGGCGTGCGGCGTGCCCTCGCAGCGCAAAAGCAACCGCAACCGCAACCGCAGCCGCAACCACGCCCGCCGCGCCCTCGACACTGGCCACACTGGCCACACGCCGCCAAGCGCCCGCGCCCGCCCGCGCCCGCCTGCCCATCGTGTGGCCGCCGCGGGCACTGCCTCTGGTCCTGCGCCAGCATGCGACCCTCACCGCCCTTGTTTTTGCTCGCCGCGTGTCGTGGGCTGCACCGCTTGTTGAGCTGGCCTGCGTCGCCGTGCACCGAGAGCCTGCACATGGCACCACGGCACTGCCAGCGAGAAACAAGCACGCTGCATGAGAAACCCACGCCCGTGCCATGTCCCCTACATGTACTTGCGATACTGCGACTGCTACCTACACTACACCTCCACACCCGGTGCGAGTCGGCTCCCGCTCCCGGCCTGCGTCACCCTGTGCCCTGTGGCGCTGAAACACTCGTCGCCTGTCCTGCCCAGCCCCCCGCCAGAGCACTCGACGCCTCGACACTCGACGCCTACGCCTACACCTACACACACGCCTACACCACAGCACATGCACCCACGTCCACCCACTCGGCAAACAATCCCACAAACGAAGCGAATATATTACGTCAGCAGGCCGCCAACCACAACTACCGCTACTACACCCACAGCCTGCCCGTTGCTTTTCCATGCTGTGCCCGCTTACCCAACAGAAGTATCCTACACCCAAACACGCCCCTGCCCTATTCCAGCTAGCCCCAAAGCCAAATCGCTGCCCTCCCCCAGCCCTTACTCCCACTCCTAGTACCGCGCATACACATGACGCCCCTCGCCCGCGTAGCCCTCAGGCCCTGCCTCCATTCCAGGCCCTTCCTCAATGTAACGCCGCCCCTGCACCGCGCTCATGTACCGCCGCTCGTCAAACCCCTCTGCATGCACAACACTAACCTCGCGGTACCGACTTGGAGGCGCCCGCACCCCCGCCGGCTGGATGCTCTCGTGACGAATGTACCCTTCGGGTATTTCTCGCCGAACGCCCTCCGGCCGCATGCTGTAGGCCCGCACTGACGGGTACTCTCGCCGTGCGCCCATGTCTTCAAACTGTGGCCCTGCTCGGTATTCCACCTCGACTGGCCGCCGAGACGCCTCGCGCTGACGATACGCACTCTCAATCATCTCCCCCTCTGGCGCTTCAACATAGCGCCGGGGTGGCGGCGGCATCCTCTGTATAGCCTCGTCCTCGTACACCTCCGCCCGGACAGGCGCCCGCATCGTAGGCTCTCGGGTAACGGCGCGCTCGTAAAAAGGGTCCACTTCTATGCGTCTGCTCGGCGGTGCCATCGACTCCCGAGCATCCACTGGCGCAGCGTAGTACTTGTTTCCGTACTGGTCCACCACAATTCGGCGCGGTGGCGGTGCCATGTACATTGGTGACTGCCCATGTGAAATGTACTCGTGGACAGGCGACCGCGACCGGTCGCCAACATATCTCGGTGCTGCTGACGGCCTGACAGACGCTTCTCGAAACACGGGCACCTCGGGACGGTCGATGAAGGCGTGCGACGCTGCACGCATCTGGCGAGGCTCTGGCGCCGCATACATTTCCCCACCTGCACTCGGAGAGTACGGTCTTCGCGCATACTGCAGGCTCGCAACCCGCCTAAGATCTTGATCGTCGCGCTGTGGTTTGCGTTGTGGCGTCCGTACCACGGTAGGAGATGAAGGCTCATCAAACTCGCGGTACCGCACCAGAGGTTCCTGCTCGCGGTAGTACACGGGCTGTGTCCTGGGACTTTCCTGTGCCGACACTAGCTCTACATCGTCGGCATGCGCCTGTACTGCACGACGCTTGTTTGGCTGAGAGTCGGGGTACGCTGCAAACGGAGGCGGCGACTGCGGTTCTTCTTTGATATAAGGTTCTGGCGATTGGGGCACTCGTTTGGCTTGTTGCTGGCGCCTCTTTTCTTCGCGCTCGCGCTTTTCTTCTCTTCTCCGCTTTCGAGGGTTCTGTACAGATGTCGCCGGGCCAGCCGGGCTTTGTCGGCGCGATCTATACACGTATTAGTATGTAATCTTGACAACCAAAGAAATGAATAAATCAAGTGAATGAGTTAGGTCCACATCTCCACGCTGCGAGGCACTCGGCAACAGAATCATGCCAGTCCGGGTATGCCAGTCCAGCTTGGAGCGTCGCAATGTTGGAAAGCCAGGGAAACAGGCATGGAGGAAAGATTGCAATATCATACCCGTTGGTTCCGCCATTACGGTTGCGCGCCCGGCCTCTTGAAGGCTCACTGGGGCCGACGTCGGCTGGCGGCGGCGAATAGTCTTCTTCTTCGTCACCATCCTCATGCACTTGCGCTGGCTCAGGCTCATAGATTTCTATGTCATCAGCCGGCTCATAGGCCTCCTCGTCCAGATCGATCAGTGGGGGCTGAGAATCAACAGTCACTTGTTGGGCAGTTTGCTGGGCCTGCGGGGTCAGTGGAGTTGCAGCAGCATGCCTGTGGTCAGCGCCATCCGCCTCGGGCGACCAGCTGTCTGCTTTGCTAGAATAGTACGAGTTTTCGTCAAACGACTCGGCACCGTCGCTGTTGTTAGCCGTGCATGGTAAGCCAGAAACAGGCGGAACCAGTTGGTGAGCCTTGATCAAACACTGCTCCACGTCGAGGAGAGCCTCTCGCTCATCACCATCGTTGCCGCGGCCCTTGCGGTCAAACTGGTCCTTGAGAGCGCGCTCTATCTGCTGCCGCTTGAGCTGCTGCTCGGCCTTGACTAGGTGTTCCGACTTTGTGAGCAAGACGGGATCGATGCTCGACGACGACGACTTGGCCGAATAGGGTCGCTGTGTAGGGGGGAGGGGGGACGTGGGAGGTCGCGCTGAAGACGCTGGGCGCGGCGGTAGCAGCTGTGCTGAGGATCCGTTGGACGTGCCGTTGGTCGAGGGTCTGCCCAAGGCAGCCTGGGGCAGACGCGGCGCAACCTGTTCAATTACTTTGGCTGGGAGGTGTATACGCGGGTGTTTGCTAGCGAGCACATCATCGCGTATCTGCAGAATCTTCTGGAGGAAGTCGGCCTCGCGAAGCACCTCTGCAGATACCGCGCTGCCACCGTTCAGATGCAGCGACGGCGCAGCGGCTGCCGAAGACATTGAAGCGATTTGGGGCGCTGCGATTACAACAGACGGGAAAGCTGCAGCTTAGTACCAACACCAACGTGCGAGCGCAAGTCTGGCGATTATACAAATACAGGCGACACCCGCAGTCGAGCTGGGCGCGGGGAGTGGTGAAGGGGAAGGGGGAGACGCCAGGAGCGTCGGTGCAGCGTGCGCGTTTTGGTTTTCAGCCATGCACACACCAGCCCCGGCGCTAGTCCCGAACAGGCCAGCCACTTCCTCATGTCTCCATCGTTCCTTCCATGACTGCAAAGGGACGCTCCGAGTTCGATCCGACACAAGGGCCTCGAGTTCTGCTTATTTGCCGTCTGCGCCACAGGTATGACGCCATCACCGCCGTCAGAGTTGCGCCTCACATTGCTCAGCATACCCAGCACACTACTCATTCGAGCACCGATATTGGACCATCTTTGACCGCTACTACAACCAGACAAAACATTCCAGCCATACGCCCTCTTTTTTGTTCAGGCCAACACCATGCACTTCAACACTGCCGCGCCGTCAGAGACCATGAACTATCGGTCGCACCCTGCACATGACTCACCCAAGACCAACGGAGCCACTGCCGACGAAAACGAGAAGCCCGTCTTCTTTTTCGATATCGACAACTGTGTTTGTAGTACCTCGAGAGCTGGTGAATACTGCTGACTATCTGTAGCTTTACCCCAAGAGTGTGTAGGCCACTGGATCGTCGTGCCAGTACTAACCCGGTGATAGGTCTTGAAATCCACCGCATGATGTCTGAGCTGATTGGTAAGTGGGTATTAGTTGTACCAGCCTTGATGGACAACCACTGTAGCCCTCTAACACTCCCTAAACGACATGAACATCCCAGAAACTCCAGCTCACTCCCGCAGATGAATTCTTCCAAAGCCACCTGAGTCTATCGCAAAAAGACGCCAACGAACTGCACTTCCGGTACTACCGTGAATACGGGCTTGCGATTGAAGGCCTCGTGCGCCACCACAAGGTCGACGGGCTAGAGTACAACAGCAAAGTCGACGACGCACTGCCTCTCGAAGACGTCATCAAGCCGGACCCCAGCCTGCGGAAGCTGATTGAAGACATTGATACGAGCAAGGTGCGCCTATGGCTCTTCACTAATGCCTACATCACCCACGGCAAGCGCGTCGTCAAACTGCTGCAAATCGAGGATTTGTTCGAGGGCATTACCTACTGCGACTACGGCTCGGAAAAGTTCTACTGCAAGCCGCATGTCGAGATGTTTGACAAGGCCATGGCTGAAGCTGGAATCGGTTCAAACGAGAAATGCTACTTTGTTGGTGAGTAATGAAGACATGTTACCTATCCCAGCCTTCCTAACTGCATATCCAGACGACTCGTATATCAACTGTAAAGCCGCGGCAGAACGAGGCTGGAAAACCGCACACTTGCTCGACGAAAGCGACCCAGCGCCTGCTGAGCCAGCCAGCCAGCACCAAATCCGGAGTCTGCAAGAGCTGCGCAACATCTTCCCTGAAGTATTTAAAACCTCGTGAGAAACCGGATGTAGAAATAGACAGTAGGCGTAGAGTAGACAGTACTTTAGCGTACGGACATAGACGGGGATAAGTAACACAAGACCAACACAACATGTTAGAAGTTAAGTTACGCACCTAGTTCGCAAATCCCCACCGCAACAACGCCTCAAGCCCCCAAACATAGACAAACGTCCCGGTAACAAGAAAAAAAAAACAAGGGCTCCCAATATGAAGATCGCCAATAGAGTTTCAGCAACTGCTTATGCTCAGGTACCGCGTGGCACAGCATAAAATAGGTTCGACCTCGGCCTTTGCATTGCTGCTCACCGTCTCCCATCCCCTGATCTGTGCAACGACCCCCAAGACGGGGGCGGTTACACATGCAAGAAACACGCAATAACAACAACAACAACGCCGCTTTTGATCTAACGCTGTAGAGATATCCCGCATATAGAAGCGCCCCCACCCCCGGCTCATTCACACACCTCATGTCTCCCCAACCCTCCAAACAATACCAAACCATGTCCACCGCTACCGATGCGTCCGCCGCGCAGCCCTCGTCCGTAGCACCGGCCGCCTCCAGCTTGCAGCACACGCACAGTGTGGAGCTGCCGGCCATTGTACCCTCGCACAGCGTCACACCAGCACGGGAACCGGTGCTCCGGCTGGAACTGCGCGACCTGTCGTCGTCGGGCACACGCGCCTTCTTGCGCCTGGTCCACGCGTCGCACGCCCTCGACTCGGCCGTGCACACGGTCCTGACGTCGCTGTACAAGAAGCTGCCGCAAACATGCATCCCGGGCACGCGCTCCGTCACCCTCGTGCTGCGCGACATGGACGGCGTCGCTTACACGACGGGACTCGAGCTCGATGACGACCACAAGGAAATCCACTTCAACACAAGCTACATTGCAAAGATACCCGAGGCGCGCCAGAAGGAAGAGATACTGGGCGTGCTGGTGCATGAAATGGTGCATTGCTGGCAGCACAGTGCCATGGGGACGGCGCCCACAGGGCTGACCGAGGGCGTGGCCGACTGGGTAAGGCTGAAGGCTGGTTTGTGTCCTCCGCATTGGAAGAGGCATGTGGACTGTGATTGGGATGCGGGATATGAGCGCACAGCCTACTTTTTGGAGTGGTTGGAGAAGGAGCATGGCGAGGATATCGTGAGAACGATTAATGAAGCCTTGAGGGCATGCAAGTATGATGAGAAGAAGCTGTGGATGGATTGCTGTGGCAAGACTGTCGAGGATCTGTGGAAGGAGTATAAGAAGAGTGTTGAAGAGTGCGAGTAGATAACCCATGAAGACGCACTTTTTCGAAGCTCCCACCAAACATTACTATCTAGCCTTTGGCCCAATCGCATCTGCGGGAAGAAGAGAGTTCTTGTCCTTCATGCCGCTGGGCTTGGACTTGCGCTCCCAAATGCATTTCCAAATCTCCAAGACTCTATCCACCCCCTCCACATTTGCCCTTCCCTCCAAATGTGCCAAAAATTCTTGTGCTTGGAAGTCGACAGTGCCTCCAAGGCCCCGGAAATTCCGAAGCCGATATGGCCGAATTTCGTCAAAGACCTTTTTCCATCTGGAAGACGATTTGGGCGTCTTTGCCCTCGTTGATGACCATTGTGAGGAAACCGCCAAAGTCTTCCTCAATGCATGTCAAACCATCAATTGCCCTGATAACAATTGTGATCTTCTTTTCACCAATTTGCTGGATCCTCGACCGGATATCGTGCACCATAGCAGAAGGACGAACCACTTCATGCCAATTTGTCCATTTATACGACTTTTGCTCAAAGCACGTAGACCAAACTGTGCTAAAACGCACAGGCCGAGGGCAATTTCTTGCCAAACGGCGAGCAATCTCGTATCCTTCTTGAACCCGAAGGTTCATGTACTCTTGGTACCGCACTGCCTTGGTAAGGTTGCGGCCATTATCAGGGGTGTATTTGGGCGAGGAGATTCGGCAAATTACCAAGCAAGCCTCCCCAGTTGGCTGCATTGGGCCGTCTATAACTAACAGTCAGTTCAAGGTAATCAATATCTAGGAGGAAGTGGCAATTCCAACTGAGATTGTGACATAGCATTGATTTCCTCGTCCTCGCCCTCGTCTCCTGTTGCTGCTGCTGCTTCTGCTGCTTCCGCCATTGCTGCTGCTTTCTCTGCTTCAGCGGCGGCAACAGCAGCAGCTTCAGCGGCAGCGATTTCTGCTTCCATTGCTGCTTCTTGAGCAGCATCTTGCATAGCCATGCGAACGCGCTTAGGCGGTTTGGACTTTCTAGGGCCGCGCTTTCGTTTCGACATTGTGAATGAGCGAAAAAGAAGGAAAGAGAGGGGGGAGAGACGGATGCAAGAATTGGAAACGGATGATGATGTGAGGAAGTCTTTGAAAGAAAGAAACTGAATGAAGATCATCGTCTGAGTAGTATGAGTGGAGCCGCCGACGCTCCCTCATTCCTCACTGTGCCTTCACCGGGCCCCAATGACGCCACAACCTGGCACTGAGGGCGCACCGACCTTCGCGAACGTTCTATGCCCTGTATATTATTCTGAACAAGAGAAAATCTACTATAACTCGAGGAAGTGAAGTAGAGGATGTTGTTTAGTTGCATGGAAAAGCGACATGGCTCGAGCAGCATGTAGTGAAACCGTTAATCACGTGATTGGAGTCACTGGGCATCAGATCCAGCGCTGCACTCGTGCCAGCAGTCTGGCAGCTGTCAGTAGTGCGTGGGAATTTCTAGTATCAAAGTCTGAGGTACTAGATGTAGAGATGACACGGATTAATTTCTATTTCCTCTTATTGCTCGTTGCTGCAGCATTACTCGTGTACTCTACCAGCTGGCACTTGCTGCTGAATGTTATGTAATTGTAACAGCAAAGAGGTTTAATTGCTATATTCACTTCACACCAGTTAAGAATTTTGTGGGCAATAGACTCTATTGTACACAGTCCTATGAGCCAATCGATACATCTACTATATTTCTCTCATAATCATGTTCACCCAAGTATCAATATTGCTTGAGAAAAGCTAAAACTCACAGCTTACAAAAACAAATTCAGAACAGATACATCACAAAACAAATCAGTAAGAGACGTTACAAATACATGTTAAGATAGTCAACACCAAGTTTTGCAACAATCGACCTTGCAACATGTTGCCAGGCATCACAACCACATAGCAAACATCAAGTAAAGGGTGACGGAAATCTATTTCTATCCTGTGAGGCGAAATCACTCGCCAACAGACATCCATGCTAATCTTTTTATGTCCAGACGCCGGGTATGAACGAACCATAAAAACTACCACATTATGTCATGAAAAGCCGACACCAGTCAGCATGCAAACCAGGAGACCGAAGAAAGAAGACTCATGCCGAAGGCGCACACGTCTAGTCGTCTTCGTCAGAGAAGACCTCCTCACCGCGCTTGCGGCGGGCCATGCGCTCCTTCTTCTTCTTGCGCATCTCGCTGGAGGAAAGCTTGACCTTCTTCTTCGCCGTCTCGATTTTGTTGCCTAGTAAGAGTTAGCATGAATTTCAAAAGAAAAGCAGGACTTGTTTTTACCCATTGCATCAAACGTCACTTGGTCAGGGTCCTCGTCTTTACCTAGACGAGGTCCTGAGCCTTGACCCTGGACCCAGTTGTGTCCAGAGGGGGTCATGCGTCCGTCCATGACAGCCCAGACTTCTTCGGTGAGGTTCTCGGTGAACTCGGCAGAGTGAGTGATGATGATGACACCACCCTCAAAGGTCTTGATGGCCTTGGACAGGGCACCAAGAGAGTCACGGTCCAAGTAGTTAGTAGGCTCGTCAAGGACGATCAAGTGGGGGCGTTGCCACGAGCAGGCAGCAAGGACGACCTTGACACGCTGGCCACCAGAGAGACCACGCATGCGGGAGTGGGAGACGAGCTCGGCGTCAAGACCAAAGTTGGAGCAGTGGGCCTCAATCTCCTTGCGGACCAGAGGACGGAACTGACCGCTGGCAAGAGCCTCCTTCTGATCAACCTCGGCGACCATCTTGGCGTGGGAAGCCATGATCTCGGAACGAGGAATCCAGGCGTTGTCAGCAGACATCATGGGAGTCCAGCGCTCGTTCTTCATGCCAATGTTCTCACCAAGAGCGAACGAACACTCGTACTCGTAAGAGTTCTTGAACTTCCTGCGGGAGTTGATGCCAATGACGCGACGCTCGGTACCTTCAATCTTGTAGATCTTGTCCATGGCCTTCTCGTCCTCCTCGGTGACGATCTTGTTGGCACGGTCCATGGTCTCACGGTCCTCACCAGTCTGGAAACGCCATTGAATGTACTCGGAAGGAGTCTTGTCGAGGTGGTGGTCAATGTGGGCGAAAGCGTGCTGCTTGATGTAGGCGATACGGATGTTCTCGTGGTGGTAGATCTCACCCTTGGTGGGGACAAGCTCACCAGTCAGGACGTTGACAAGGGTGGACTTTCCGGCACCGTTGGGACCAATGACGGCAATACGAGATCCGAGAGAGCACTGGAAGGTAACGTCCTCAATCTGGGGCTTGGAGGTACCCTCGTACTGGAAGCTCATGTTGGTGGCACGAAGGATGGCCTTGGCCTTGGTCTTGACACCCTCGAGGAAACCGGGCTCAGGGAACTTGAACTCCATGTCGGAAGCGGACAGCTCGTGGTACGACTTGGCAGAGGGCACGCGCTTGACGAAGTCGTCGAGGTTACCCTTGTAACGCTTGAGCTTGAAGCGCTCGTAGTGGATGACGTGCTGGATGACGTTGTTCAAGAACTTGCTGTCGTGGGAAATGACAATGGATGTGCAAGGCGAGCTGGTGAGGTAGTCCTCGAGCCACTTGACGTTCTTGACGTCCAAGTGGTTGGTGGGCTCGTCGAGCAGCAGAATGTCGGGCTCCTCGAAGACGGCACGAGCGAGCGCAAGCTTCATCTTCCATCCACCGGAGAGCGCGGTAATGGGTCCGTTGTACATGGCGTCGGTGAAACCGAACTCGTTGAGGGTCTTCTTGACGTCGTCCTCGGGCTTGTCGATGCCGACAGACTTGAGCTTGTTCATAGTCCAGCCAATGACAGTCATCTCAGTGTCAGCAGAGTCCAAGTCGTGCTCGACGTAGACAGTCTTGACCTCATTCTGCTTGGGGAAACCCTCGACCTGCTCGTTGTTGATGGCGCGCATGAGGGTGGTCTTTCCAGAACCGTTGGGTCCGAGAAGACCGTAACGCTGACCACGCTTCAGACGAAGGTGAGTCTGGTTGAGCAGAATCTTGGCACCGTAGGCCAAGTTGAATGTGCAGTTGCAGAGGTCCTCGCCCTCCTCCTCGTCGGGCTCGGTGGCCTCCTCGGCGGCAGCACCGGGAAGAGACCTCTTGCGGAGGTCCTCAGTGACAGCCTTGGCCTTCTCGTCGCCAACCAGGACGGCAACAAAGGGGCCGGCGTTGGCCTGCCAGTTGAGGGGCTCGTAGTCCTTCTCGTCAATCAATTGACCACCAATGGCGCCAATGTAGTTGACAACAGGGTTGAAGCGCTCGTCAAGCTTGAGAGACGAGGGGAGGACAGCCTTGAGGTGGCCGGCAATGGTGGCAATGTCACCGGACTTCTCGAGCTCAGGGATCTTTCCGTTCTGGACGGCACCGACGCGGATGAGGGTGTCGAGACCCTGGCGGGTCTTCTCACGGGCCTCGGGGTCAGCCAAGTTGTCAAAGTTCTTCTCAAGCGCGGGCATGAGACGGGGCAAGAAAGCGGCGACAATCTGGGGGTCCTCGACGAGCTTGCACATGTTGTCGATAATGACGGCAGACTTGCGCTTGATGGCAGTCTCGCGCTCAACGAGACCACGCTCAAGAAGAGGGACCATAATGGCAAGAGTGGGCTCGTGGACGTCAGTGACGAAGGTGGTGGCACCGAGCAAGTGAACAGTCTCGGGGACGTTCTCGGGCTTGGCGATACACTTGATGAGCTCGGGAATGAAGCGCTCGATATCCTTGTTGGAGATGAGGGAGCAGAGAATCTCCATGGTGGTGTAGGCAGCCTTCTTGACTTCAGGCTTGGTGTCCCACATGGCTCCAGAGATGACGGGAATCAGGTCGGGGACACGGAAGGCCATCTGGGCAGGGGCACTCTTGGTGAGGACCTCGATGCACTTGAGGTCCATCATCTTTTCTGGCCATTTTTGTGCGTTCTCGAGAGAGCTGATGATGTGAGGGATAATAGCCTTGACGGCGTTGGGGTTTGCGGCTGAGACAATGGCCTCGGCGGCAGTCTGGGCAGCGACCTTGACGGCAGTGATCTTGTCACCGACCGCGGCCAGCACGTCGGGGAGGAGGGATACGAGGTAGGGCTCGACGGCGGCGGAGACGTGAGAGTGCTGGGCGATGGCGCGGATGGCATCGAGGGCACGCTCACGGGCGACGGCATCCTTCTTGCTGGCGAGTTGCTTCTTCAGCACCTGGACAGCCCTAGGGTCTTGTTAGCAAAATGTCGCGGGTCGGCCACAGTGAGGACGTACTTGGTGGGGGCGTCAGCCTCCTCAATGTCGCCGTTGATGAAGGTGGCGATGGCCTGGGCAGAGGCGTTGATCTCGTCCTGGGCCTTGGAGACGGTCAACTTCTGCATCATCTCCTCGAGCGCCTTGAGCGACTTGGAGTTCTCGGACTTGATGTCCTTGGCATCGTGCGAGGCAGCAGGCGCCATGGTGTCGGTGAGGGGGTTAGAGGGGGAGAGAAGGTGGGTGTAGGAGCAACGAGAGGATGAGGGGCGGTGGTCCTTTTATGGACAAAGGCGGCGGGGCCTAAAAAACTTTTGGCGTGAAAAGATAGAGGGAATCTATCCGGGGGTATCAAACGCGGGCGCGAGGAAAATGACTCGCAACCTCTATGCTAGCCTGAACGACACAAAGAAGAGAAAGCACTTTGGGTCAGCCCAGAGGGAGAGTGAGGGGAGAGAGGGCGCAAAAAGGAGAGTGTCGAGGGGCCTTTTTAACTGTTGGTGGGCTGTCTCGCTATGAGAAATTTTTGGGGCGTAAGCCGATAAGATTAGCGTGCGCGCTGGCCCCTGCACCAAACAAGACAGCCGGCCGCCTTCGCCTTTGCCTTGGCCTTGGCCTCTCTGCCTTCACCCTCTGCCCTCGCTCGACACGGCCATGATTTCATCCCATTCTCCGCCATGGCCAGCCTCGCGGTTTTTTTTTCTTCGCCGTCGCCGCAATTTCCCCAGTTGTTCGCCACTGCCGCCCACCGGCCCCTCCACTGCTGCTGGCGACCGAGGGGCACAACAGGCTTTTTGCCGCCGCTCCTAGTCATGTTACAGCCCACGTTGCAAAGAGCCATCGTCTATTTGTGGCGAAGTCTGGCACAGGCATGCTGACCGCCTTCTCAGGATCAGCCCATGGCTCAGGACAAGCCCCCCAGCGGTTGAGAGCCGCCGGACATGCAGGCCCGAAGATCAGGGACTCGCACTAAAACCCAAGCTGCCACAGCCTGTAAACTGTACACTTGTCCGGTCTCGCGCCTGCGGGCCTCTGCTGCTCGCCTACGAACAAAGTTCTTCCGTCTGAATGCCCTGGCCTGTTCTGCCGTGTATGGCGGGACTGCCACTCCTTCTGGCCACATGCTGCGGGCGGTCCCTTTCTGATACGGTACGCTTGCCGGTCGCTTGTCGTCGAGCCCTGCCAAGTCCTTGCGCTACGGCCAACAGCGGACGCTCCAGATTGGATGTACCTCACCGATACGTCTCAGGCCGACACGACGTGGTTTACTTTACGCAAAGTCGCCACACGTCTGCCATACACCCACACCTCCGGCCATACATTTACGCTTGTTACCAATCCGTTTCCTTGCACTTGTGCTTGCAAACTCCATCTCGAGATCCGCTGAAAATGCTGTGCGTTGTGGGTATAGCCAGTTCGTCCCGACTACTTTTGCCACCCGTCCAGAGCTGCACTCGGCGGGATCGACATGTGTACTAACCCGGCAGTTGGGTGTATACGGGAGACCCTGCAGGGGACCTTCTCCAAGCCGTTAGCCTCAGGCATCAACTCACCTCTGCATACATCTACAACAGACGTCTCTGGTCTCGCTGCCCTTTCTCATGACTTCCAGCAGCACATGAAATGTTTATCAAAAAAAAGCCCCTCCGTCATAGCGCTCGGATCATGCCCCGCTTCTTATCGATACCCCGGATTTTTGTGGTTTGGCCGTCTGTAGAGCGCCCGTGCCAGCGCGCCAAACCTATTCCTGACCATATCGAGAATCTCGACAACTTGAGAATCAGGCTAACTTGACATGGAACAACACAGAGTCAAGTAAAGACCAGATAGGGATTCTGAGAACAACGCTAGTACTCATGACTATGAGAGTGAGGGTGATGGTGATGATGAAACCCCACCCTACCGCTTCTGTGGATACCACTTCACGTTTAGCACAAAGCCTCCCATATGCAAAGTCACATCGTCCCTCTGCTCACAGCCTGGTTTCAAGTCTGAGCGCAATACCTCGTCTAGGTAGAGAGAAGGGCATAGCATAAACTAGTTTTATAGAGTAATGCTTATATCTCCTTAAAACTCTTTAGGCATAACGTGGTTCATAAGCGAGTCGGCCACCCAAGCGAGTCGGCCACTTTGTACCGGCGCGTCGACGTTAACACTATAACGCGTTATGTCTCAACCACACAATCATTTGTTAATCTATTCTAAATCTGATCTTCAACTTGTTCTTTTTAACGTCCAATCTCAACGTGTTCAAAGCCAAAGACGTGCTGCTTCTATCTATAACGTGCCTCGAACTACTCTCTAAGACCGACGCGCTGGAAAGCGCTTTCGACGCGACTGCGAACCGAATTCAAAGCGCCTAAATAAGCTAAAAGAGGAGGCTATTATTAGGCGTATTCTTGAAGAGTCTACGCGAGGATTTGCCCCTATAAAGGCTGAGGTTCGAGCAATAGCTGATAAACTGTTAGAGGAGCGTGGTGGCAACCCTGTTGGCAAGAACTAGGTTGACAACTTTGTTAAGCGGACTCCTGAGCTCCGTACGCGCTGGAGCCGTCCCTATGATCACCAGCGAGCCGCCTGCGAGGATCCAGTAGCTATCCAGCGCTAGTTTGACTTAGTCCAGGCGACAAAGCAGAAGTGGGGTATTGTGGACGATGATATCTACAACTTTGACGAAACTGGCTTTATGATAGGCAAGATTTTATCACAGTTAGTTATCACAGGCTTAGAAGGATATGGGAAAAAGAAGCGGGTACAGCCAGGCAACCGTGAGTGGGTTACTGTGATCCAAGGCGTGGGCGCGTTGGGTCGCTGAATACCACCCTTTGTTGTCTTTGCGGGCAAGGTGCTTATCAACGTCTGGTTTGAGGATTTGCCTGCTAACTGGGTTCTTGAAGTCAGTCCTAATGGCTGGACGAATAATTAGCTTGGTCTTGCCTGGTTAGAGCACTTTGATACCCATACAAAGAGGCATACTGTAGGTGGGTATCGACTGCTTATTATTGACGGCCCGGGAGCCACTGCTCTATCGATTTTCAAGATCTTTGCAAGGAGAAGAATATTATTCTTCTCTGCATGCCTCCACACTCGTCTCACCTGTTGCAGCCCCTTGACGTCGCCTGCTTCTCGCCGTTGAAGCGTAAGTATGGCGACGCTGTTTCAGGCTTGGCACGTAACCGCACCTACTATATTAGCAAGGAGACCTTCCTACCAGCCTTTAAGGCTGCTTTTGAGCAGTCTATCACGAAGGAGAATATCCAAGCTGGCTTCAGAGGCGCTGGACTAGTCCCACACGACCCACAGGCTGTGCTATCTAAGCTTGATGTGGTGGTGCAGACGCCAGTACAATCACCGCGACAGGCAGCCGCCTGGGAGGCGCAGACACCACGCAACGCGCGCGAGGTTGAGGCTTAAAGTACTCTTATTCGACAGAGAGTAAGAAACCGCCCTAGGTCTTCTACAAATTCTCTTAACGAGAAGGTTGTGCAGCTAAGTAAAGGGGCTCAGCAAATAGCACATGAGATGACGCTTATGAGGGAGGAAGTAGCTGCTCTTCGAGAGGCTCTAGACACAGCAAATAAGCGTAAGAACCGCAAGCGGCGATACGTACGGACAGAAGAGACTCTTACTGTAGGCGAAGTACAAGAAGTATTAGCTGAACAGGCGGGTAGTAGTCGTGGTGATAGTGAGAGTGCGTCGAAGAGGGTGCGAGGAGAGCGGCGGTGCGGGCGTTGTAAGCAGACTGGACACAACGCTCGTACCTGCGTAGTTGAGATAGATAGTGCAAGTGATAGTAGTGATTCTAATAATTAATTTGGTATATTGCAATAGTTTATTGACTGTGATAAAAGACAGTGATAACGTGTTGAAGTTGACGCGACGGTACAAAGTGGCCGACTCGCTTATGAACCACGTTAATACCTGCTTTTAGTAGATACTAAGATTCTTACATAGCTAATAAATTAAAGGCTACTTTGCTATCTAGTAGTGCAATGATGGTTCAATCGCTGTAGAATATACTTTGTGCTTTTGTATTTGAGTACTTCCATCATATTATACGATACATACTCGTGGTATTGCACTCGTAGTAGAGTACTTGTAGTGTTGCACTCAAGATATCGCATACGCTCATGCTGTCACATACGCTCATTTGTGAGTCACTTGAATCTTTCCACATATCTCATTCCCAATGCGGCTTGCAAGATGAATTGTTCCCGTAGACCTGATGCAGCTTACTCACAACACATTTCATTTTCCATGAATCCACCACACACACCGCCGCCTACACCGCTTTCTCGTCGAACAGCTTATGACGCAACACCTTATCTCCTCTAAATCTCTCTTCAATCATGATGGCAATATTCAAAATAACGCCATATGACATATGTTCGGATTCTCACTTAATCTATGCATCCAAAACATTCAACATCTCCTCTACGCTCTGAAACTTCTCCCTCTCCTTCCCCCTCGCCCTCCCTCTTTCTCGCTCCGCGCCATCAATCTTCTTCCAGTCAGCCCAACTAAGCGGCCGTACGCCTTTACTCTCGACCGCGTCCTTGATGGCATCCCAGCCCAGCCCCGTGCTTCTATTGTCATTTAAAAACGGGACGCCGGCTTCCCAGTCTTGAGCGATGATTTCCGCCGAAGCAAACGCGTCTTGCATTGTGCTGGCAATGACTCCGGTTGGTCCACGCTTGACCCATCCTGCGCAGTATAATCCAGGAACATGGCCGGCTGTTAGGTTTCCAGGGCCAGCTGATGGGGTCATGACACGCCCGTGCATATCGTTTGGAATGATGCCTAGCCTGTCATCAAAGGGAACACCGAGATCCGAGAGACCAGGAAGTGCAGTCGACTTGTAGCCCACCGACCTGAAAGCCAGAGATGCTTCCATAGTGCTCTCTTCAGCTGTAGGCACAACGCGGGTTTTCTGATCAAAAGGATCACCGTCTGGTACAAAGTTTTGCTTTGTAAATGTTATCGAGGAGAGGTGGTCGCCGTCGGCATGCATGGCCTTGGGAGCCTGCATGAACTCGAGTGCCCATGACCGCGGAGCATCCTGCAGAGAAGCCTTGGAGCCCTTGAGAAGTACTTCTGCGATGCGTTTCTGGACGCGCGGGAGCTTTTTGATGTCGGGGGGATACAAAGAGCGGTCAATAGGCTCGAACGCGACAGAGGGTATTTGCATGAGCTCGCGCGCTTCCTTCACCGTAAAAGCTGCCTAGATGACCGTTAGACGTGCCATACAAATTCCTAAACACGCTACGTACTTGTATTGGTCCACGTCTGCCTACGACCCGCACAGACCGGACTCTGCTCTCGGACAGTGCTTGTATAGCCTGATCGGCAATGTCTGTACCACGTAGCGCGTCTACAGGGCTCAACAGTATGCGCGCGACATCTAGTGCAACATTCCCTTGCCCGATGACAACCGCCTGCTCGCCAGCGTGGAGGTTAGGCCTCAAGTCGCGAAATTGCGGTAGGCCATTGTACCACCCAACAAACGATCTAGCAGAGTAGACGCCTGGAAGATCCTCGCCCGGTATGCCCAGCTGCCTGTCTTCGCTCGCGCCGTACGAGAACAGCATGGCATCGTAGTGGGGTTTCATCTTGACCAGGTCCACGTCAAAGCCAACCCTGACATTGCCAATATAGTTGAAGCGCGGCGACTGGGCGACCTCTTCAAACGTGTCCTGGCAGTTCTTGACCTCGGGGTGGTCTGGCGCCACACCGTAGCGGACGAGGCCATAGGGCACGGGGAGCTGCTCGTACATGTCGACAATGGCATCATGGTTCTTGTTCATAAGACGGTACGCTGTGTAGAAGCCCGCGGGACCAGAGCCAATGATGGCGATACGAAGACGCCCGCGCGTACTGGTTGCTGTGCTGTATCCATGGCGGGGAGATGGTAGCGAGGCCGCAAAAGAGGGTGTGTGCGTTACCGCCGGGCGGAATGGCGCAGCGCCAAAGCTTCTGACATGACGATGGGTAAGGCGAGTTTGGTACGATCGAACGGCTGTATTTGTTATTCGTCGCGTGCAGCTCGCGCAGACGTAGGGTGTTTTGCCCAGCTGTCGTGAAGGAAACATGATGTCGACGTCGTGCAGCCGGTAGCGGCAGTGACGGGACCGCGAGGATTGGCGATGACTAAGAAGCACGAGGCAGACACAGGCTTCGCTCTCCACCACCACACACAGTACTCTCGCTACTGCTACCGCCAACTCTCGCGCCGGCCTCGCATCCTCTTCCAGCAAGCAACCGCTCCGTTTGGCGTTGATGGCGCCGCCAAATGCCGAGACCCGGCTGCGACAACAGCTCGGCGTCTGCAGCCGATGGGGTGCCACGTACAAGGACGGACACCGCGATGCTTTTGTGCACACGCTATGCCGCCCCCACATGTTCCCAGCCTGATCAGGTTTCAGCAGCCCGTCCATGTCGCTAGTCACTGCATTGGCCCGTCCCAGCCGGGCAGCCTCACGTCATGCGAGTACGGGATTTGCATTGGTCGAGTATTGATTGTTGTCATAGCAACCCCGTATTTACCTACATACATATCTCCCCAGATCCTCGCGCGGGCCCCACGGAACTCATCCGCTGGCAATTGCATTTCTCTGTCCATCCATAGGCGAAAGACTCTTCTCACCTTCTGCTCTGCCGGTCGTGTGCTGAAGACCTTGTCGCATATCCGCTCTTTACAGCAACCATGGCGGGCCGCTGGCAGCCCTACAACCACAACTATGCATATGCAACTCACCCCGCCGACATCGACCCCAGCCAGCCCATCTTCGACCCCAAGGCCGTCACCAGAGCCAGTCGCATGCCGCCACCCCCACCCAAGAAGAAGCCACAGGGCCCTTTGGTCGACTTCAACCAGCATCCAGACAGCTATCTCATCCTTCCCTATGGCAACACAAAGTCAAAGCCCATGAGCCCCAAGACCAAGTTGTTCATCAACATTGCACGATGGATTCAGCTCGGCTTGAAGGTACTTACACTGCTAGCTGCCGTCGGTGTGCTGCTATGTGGCATCTTCATCCGGGGCGCAGTCGACACTGAAGGCTACATCATGAGGATACCAGTAAGTGCCTGCAATGGGTAGACAGAGATATCGCTAACCAATCAGCCTGGTGTGGACCTCGTCATCTGTCTGTACTCCATGTACCACTTGATTCGCAACCCCAAGAACAGGCCAGCAGGCAGCTCTACCAGCTACCACTTTTTTGCCCTCATCACGGATGGTGGTTTCATTCCGCTCTACGTCTTCACCGTCTTGATGGCCCGACGGAATGCCGACATGACTGCCGGAGACAATGGGCGTTGGCGCACCATGTTTCCAACCGATGCCGATACGGACAAAGTTCTTATGTCGACGTGGATTGTCGGCATAGCGGCCGGCTCCTTGCATCTGCTGTCAACCTTTTTGGACATGTACATGGCTCTAGTGTTCCGCAAGATTTCCAAACTGCCACCAGATATGAACCCGCTCGAGGACAACCTCACGTCGCGCAGAAAGTCCAAGCACAAACACAAGAACTCGTCCATTTCCGTTACCACGCCCCTCACGGAGAAGCAGGAGAAGCACCTCAGCGACCAAACCACCATCTTTGGAGACCGAAACTCCAAAGCTGAGTCGTACATTTACTCTGACATCTCGAGCCCGACCAAGGATCAAATCGAGTTTTTGCACACACGCAACAATTCCGACACCATCTACTCGCCACATACCCCAACCTCGGCCCGCGAGTCCAGGGAGCGTTTCTCCATGTACCAGCAGTCTGCTTCGGCTCGCCAGTCCCGAAAGAGTCTTAACCACCGCAACGATCTGCTCGACGATGACGATGGCCTAACTCTAGCCCAACGCAAGGCGATGCTCTCCAGCCAGGCAAACATCAAGCGCCACTCGCGCGCCGGCTCTCAAATTACCTATTCCAGCAAGAACGACTTTTACACTCCGCCTTCGACGAGCCGCAACGATAGCCAAGAAGCAACCGGCGATCTCTCTCTGCAGCGCAACTCGCAGCAAAGCCTCAAGGACGACAACTGGTTTGTTCAGCCAGAACTAGACGACGGCCACGACGATCATGACCACGACCACGAAGACGATGGCCACACCGCCCCCACAGCTAAGCAATCCATGTTCGCATCCGCCACCGCCAACAAAGGCTACAGCCACGTGACCACGTGCGAAGAAGTCTCAGACTACGAAGACGAGGCCAACGAGCCCATGATGCCGCAACCCCTCCGCATGAACCCCCCGTCTCCCGCCCCCTCGTCGACATACTCTGAGCCGCCCAAAGCCGACCCTGCAACATCACCCTCGCCAGCCCCAGAAGGTGAAACTCTCCGTACGCAACCCTCGTCTGTCTCGTCCATGTCCAACGGCGACAACCCGGAGCATTCTGGAACTCTCGAGCGCCGCAAATCGCGATACTACGGTAACCTGGAAGCAGCTACTGCAGGTGTCCGCAACAGCCGCTCACGCTCACCTCTTTCACCGTCGCCGACCAAGGAACCTGCCAGTCCTGTTCCACCCCAATCCTCATTCCGACGCTACCCACAGCAACAGCAACAGCAACAGCCGAACCACTTCCCCAGCGCCACAAGACAATACGCAACCAACAATACCCTTTCTCCGAGCAACAACGCCAGCAGCCCCGTCCCCACCACACCGCCCTTTTCCCTCCACAAGAAAAGCTACACGTCCATCAAGCGCACAGGCGAAGCAAACTATACGCCCGTAAAACGGCAGTCGCCCCGCGTCATCAGCAGAAGCGGCGTCGACTACGCAGCCCCATTCAACCCCTACGACGATGCTGACGCTGCTCGCATGCCGGGTATGATGGGTCGCCGACGCGATGTCAGTGGCAAGATTGCTGAAGAAGGGCGCGGTGGTGCTTGGGGTGCTAGCGGTATTGTTCAAAGAAAGGTTAGTGGTGTTGCGCAGGCTTATTGATAGTCTTGCGATTATGGTGTATTTGTGAGTAAGTGACTTTAAAAAACGGTGGGTTATAATTGTTGCTGTTGTCATCCATGTAGGTTCAGCGACCTTTTTTTCGTTCTTGTTTACTCGAGAGATATCTTTGCTTGGGACTGCCTTTTTTTTTGTATTCGAGGCACTGGCGTTTTTTCCTTTGAAATGGGTGGGTTATCAGAATATCAGTGTATCATGGTAAGTTTCCTCTTCTTTTTTCAACAACAAACGCATGGGTGGGCATATGGGGGTCACGTATGTGTGGATGATGGGTCATGGTCATGGTCATGTAGTTTATGTATGTCTGTATGGTATGTATGGATGTGTGTATGATGGATGGGCGGATGGATGGGCGGATGGACGGGCGGATGGACGGGCGGATGGCTGCATCAAGAGAGACGAATACGAAATAATGGCATTGGAAAAGTTCTTGGTGTATAATGACGAACTATGAACTGTTGAAGTGAGTGCGTATAATTGCAGCTCAAGCTGTGCCTTAAGCTAGGTCTTGCCGTGAGTGATAGCCATTGTTACAGCTTAGTAGAGTACTCCGCAGCCTCTGTTGTAATAAACATCTATAGTAATAATAATAAGACACAAGTATCATACCACTACCTCACTAAAAGCAAACCCTATAATACTCCGACTCCTGTACAGATACCAAACACACAACACACAATTGCAACTAAAGCGTGATATACATACCTACTCATTCCAACTACCTAGTCTCTACTCCAACTCTTACTTTTACTATGAAATCTCTTCTTCTTCTTCTTCTTCTTCTTCTTCTTCTTCTTCTTCTTCTTCTTCTTCTTCTTCTTCTTTCAACATACATACATACCAGCCCCAAATGATTTTCTAGTACCTGCTATACGTAGAAAACACACATCATACCCATGCAAATTCAGCGTCCAGCGTCCAGCGTCTAGCATCCAGCATCAAGCATCAAGCGTAAAACGTGTACGTAATCATTTTGAAAACTTACAGTGTAATTCTCCATGTACATGATAACAGCATGAAATAGCAATAATGAGAAATGAAGAGTATTAGGAGAAGGAGGAGAAGGAGAAGAAGAAGGAGGAGGAAAGGCACGAATACGAATAATAAGATAGCATGTTAGAAAAAAAAGGAGGAAAAAGAGTAAAAAGGGAGATTGACGGTATTTACACATCATCTTCATGACTTATTGACAAAGAGTGTGTGTGCTGGGAAACGGCATCTTTGCCTACATTGTGGTATATGTATTGTATCGTTATGGTATTGTATTGTTATTGTGTTGTATGTATGTACATAAATATATAACTATATATATATATATATAAGTACTGTAAGTCCTATATAATAACCTACTTGGCTTTTATATTTTTTTTCAGCATTTCATTTCATTTCATGGTACTCGTTTTTTTTTTACATACATCCATTCATTCATTCATTCATACAGCCAGTGTAGTAGTAGTAGTAGTCTACTGAGAAACCACTACAAACCACACATCAATCATAAGCCCACTATATATATCTGCACGCTTTTTTCTTCTCTCTCTCTCTCTCTTTCTCTCTTCCTCTCTTTTATGCACAAAAAAAAAGTGGGAGAATTTGTACACACAGACAGACACACACAGACAGATCCATAAAGATAAAGATAAGAAGAAGAAGAAGAAGCAGTAGAAGACCACGAGGAAGAAAAAAAGAAAGAGAAAAAAAAGGAACAACATGAAAAATATTGTATACGTGCATGCATGCATGCAAGTGTTGAATCTTGTTACTGCTGTTTGCTGTCGATATCCATATCGATATCGATGTTGTTGTTGTTTCCCCCCGCACAACGCCAAGTGTGATGCAAATGCAAGGTAAAATGCAAAATGCCATGCCATGCCTCCTCCATCATCAATCAATCAAGCTGTGGAAAAGAAGAGAAGAAGAAAAAAGAAATTTGTATCGAGTTTCGAAGATGAAGAAGATGAGAAAATAGAGGCAATTCCTCCCAAGTCATATCATAACATAACATAACATAACATAACACAAGACAACATAACACAACACAAATCATTTCTCCCAATCACTATCTTGCTGGATACGCTGGATAGGGGCCGTGTTGGTGGTGGTGGGGTGGAGCGGGCATGGAAGAATGGTATACAACATGTTTATCCTGTGGAGGATAGGCCTCGAACATGACTCGTCTCTGGGGAGCTTCAGGTCTGAGCGGACTTGGCTCGGGAGGTGCTCCTGTGGGAAAGCGCTGTGAGTTGTTTGGACTGCTCATGAAGAGTAGCGTGTCGACGGCGTCCTTTTCGGCTTGCTGACTAGGCATGCGAAGGATTCCTGCTCGGGGAGTGGCTGGCGATCGCATGTCTGCACTCAGGTCACTGTTATATTTCCTTTGGTGTGCTCCTAGCAGAGGCGGCGGAACATGCGAGACACTGGACCGACGTCTTCGTCCCGTTTGGAATGTGGGGGCTGGAGCAAGACCAGGGCCATGTTGAGCGCCGGTGATGGAAATGAGATTTGCGGCAGCATGCATCGTCGGGCGAGTGGCTGGTCTCCAATATACTGTAAAACGTCAGCCGTTTCCTTGGCACAAGGCACACCAGACTAACCAGCAGGTGTTCCCGCAAGCGATCGTGTCGGGTCAGAGGCCGGCGACATGATCATGTGGTCGGATATGTCTGAGACTCCGCTGGGTCTCCGTCGCCGATCCATGTCAGCAGGCGAGTCGAATGCGAGAGAGTCGCCTCTGCCCGGAGCAGAGTTGGGCGATCCGCGCTGCGAATGGCCTTCTTCCAGCTCGTCGAGCGACTGCTTCTCCCAGCCGTTCTGGACCTTGACCATGGCGTAGGAAAGACGCGTCTTGAGCTGAGCAGAGAGCTGGGTCGCGTCAGTATTCAGCAATGTCGGCTTGGCGGCGCAGGACACACCTCTCCAATGCGAGTAACCGAGTGTGTATCCATGCTCTTGTTCCGCTTGTGGGCAGCCATGGGCCTGTAGGTCGACGGGGTGGGGAGCGGCGCACCGGCACTCTTGAGCGAGCCATCGGCGCTGCGCTTGGAGCCGTGGGTTGCGGAAGACTCTTGGTGTTTAGGGCTGACTGCGGTGTCGCTAGCTGGCGGCGCTTTGGCGGCAGCAGTGTCGAGGCGCGGTGCAGCTGGCGCGTCGCCGGGGCAGGATTGGAGGGGCGGGCCCAGCATTGGCGGGTCGGCGGGCTTGCTGTCAGTGTCGGTAGTGGTGGTGATGGTGGTGCATGTGGAAAGGGTGCTCGACGACTCGGCCAAGGCCGGGGCGGAAAAGGTGCTGGAGACGGGCGACTGGACGGATTCCTGCGAGGCCCGCAGGTCTTGCTTGTGCAGGGCGTCGGGGGCTTCTGATGGCGCAATCGACATGTGAGTACCATGGCCAGAGGGGGCGGCCTGGGGGGGGGGGGGACGCGACACTTACGCATCATGGGCCGGACGTGGCGGCGGGGTAGGCTCGAGACAGCAGCCGGCGACGGGCAACGGGCGTGCAGACTTTGGGGGGGCACGAGGGCGCAATTCGGAGAGGGCAGAATAATGCTCGCGGGGGGGCTAGGATGGAGGGGAGCAGCGAGAGGCAGCGCAATGGCGAGGGGCGGGCGGAAAGCCCCGAAGCCTCGCCGCTCCCACGTCTGCCCTGCCCGTGAGCCTCGCGCGCGTGTCGCAGGATCCTCTTTTTGGCTTCCCAACTCGGAACACTTCCCGCCCGTTCGCGCGTCTACCCGCTGCCATTTCGCGTATTGCTGCTAGCAGAGCGAGCGCACCAACACCAACACGTCTGCCGCCGCCGCCAGAGTCGCGTCCTGGTCGGGGGTGAGGGACGAGGGGGGGGGAGATGACGAGCAGGATCGGGGAGGGGAATGGGCTCGACAACTCTGAAGCCATTCGGGAGCCGCGCGATCATGTGCTCGCCGCCGACGCGTGCCCTCTTTTAGTGGGCGGCCTGTCACGCCAACACGCCCCAATAAGTAGTCGGCGGCAAAGGCGCCCCCATGCCCCCCCAACACTTTTGCACCCGAACGGCTGGTCTAAGCAGAATTTTCGACTGCAGGCCTGACGTGCTCCTAAATCAGGTGCTGTCCTCTCACCGCGTACCGTCGCGCTGCACTACACATTGGGCGATCCAATTCATGTCCATTCCCCTGTACATTTGCCCTATACATCGGCCATGTCCGTTACTGCACATCTACACGACATCTACCATGACTATGCCATAACATCTACCATGCTCCTCTCCCTCTAATCAAATACTCTTGCTATAGTCCCACTTGGGTAGCTTCATCGTCCCGTGCTCGTTCAGGTGCCGGTGCATGTCGAAGCTGTTCCACAGCAGATGTGGCTCGTGGCCCCAGCCCTTCCTCAGGCACTCAAACTCGGCCTTGTTGAAGTAGTCCTCCAGGATCGGCTGGTAGTCGGGGTGAGCGCACTTCTTGATAATCACCCGCGCGCGCTCCTTGGGCGAAAGCCCGCGAACATCGGCAAGGCCCTGCTCTGTGACAATCACGTCGAGATCGTGCTCCGTCTGGTCAACATGTGTGCACATGGGCACAATGCATGAAACACCAGTCGGGTCCGTCTTCGAGGGCCGCGTCGACGGCGTATGCATGATCGAGTACTTGGCTGAGCGGAGGAAGTCGGCAGATCCTCCAAGCCCGTTGAGCATACGGCTGCCCATGACACACGTAGAGTTGGCGTGCGCATAAATGTCAACCTCGACCGGAGTGTTCATACCAATCACACCCAGTCGTCGGATAATCTCAGGGCTGTTGGATACTTGCTGCGAGCGCAGCAGGAGCTTGTGTGCATACTGGTCCCAGCCCTTGTAGAAGCGGTCGAAACCATCCGGCGAGAAACGGATAGAAGTAGCCGTTGCAAAGTCGAGGTTGCCAGAGTCAAAGAGATCCAGGAACGAGTCCTGCAGAACCTCGGTCCATACCTTGAGGTTCTTGAAGTTTGCGCCGCCAGACTGCCTTTGTTAGAAACCAACCCATAGCACATGTCATCATGTACTTACAGCAAGTCCACCAACAACAGCATTGGCAATGTTTCCAATACCAGACTGGATTGGCAACAGGTTCTGCGGCAGACGCCCGTGGCTGACCTCGTGCTGCAAAAACTCAATCAGGTTGCCAGCAATCGCCCGAGACGTTTCATCCTCGGCCGCGTTGGGCTGTGTCTGATCGGGATAGTCGCTTTCCACAATGGCAACAACCTTTTCGGGGTCAACAGGAATGTGAGGTGTGCCGATGCGGTCCTCCGGCCTCATGATGAGGTACGGCTTGCGGTTGGGCGGGAGGTCAGTCATGGTAATGTCGTGTAGACCCTCAAACGACGGGGCAGCAGTGTTGACTTCAATGATAATCTTGTCCGCCATTTGAACCAGCTCGGGCGAGGCACCAACACTAGCTCCAGGGATGATGCCACCATCCTCTGTAATCGCAGAAGCTTCTACAATCGTCACATCCAGCTTGTTCTGAGGCTTGTTGAGTGTATAGTAGCTTCTCCAGTCAGCACTGTCGATTCTGCAGACTTTGCATTCTCTACTTACCCGTACATCAAGTCGACCGGGAACATACTCAGATGCTTGTCGAAGAACTTGATGTTGCCGTTGTTGATACCTTTGGCAATCTCCTTGCCTACCTGATGCGGAGACCGCCGCTCAATCATGTTCAGCCGCGCCCATCGGTTCTCGGTTTCAGCACCTGAGGATGCACCGACAAAGAGATTGTACTTCATCTGGCCCTGAAGATTGTTCTTCTCGACATGGTCTGCCATGGCAGTGGGGATCTTTCTGCCATTATGTTAGTCTGTCCAACCAGAGCGATTTCTGCACCCAGAATGTCATGTTGATTCCAGGAATCACGTCCAGGATCAACGCCATGAGCACCTGTCTTGACATGATCCATGCGTAGGGCAAACGGTAGACTCGGAGATGGCTCGGATTTTGTCCGCATGCCAAACTTCCGTTCCACCTCGGAACCACGGCTCAACGTCTTGATCCTCCCAACACGATGCACAATCCTTGGGATATCGTGGACAGCTTTGGGAGACTCACAGTATGGCTAATATGGTGATTGAAGAGAGAATTCACTTACTTTGGGTATCCCACGCCGGTGAAGCCACTCCAACCAACATACGCTCCATTGGGAAAGTGGTGCAGTAAATCCTCAGCTTTGGCAAGCTTCTTGAGGTAACTCGGCCTCCGGACTCGACTCTTCAAAGCCGCTGAGACCGACATGTTGGACAATGTCTTGTTCCTGTGTGGATGTGATTACGATGCTAGCAAAAAAAAGCCTATCGATAGTGCCTTTGGAGGGCTGTACGAGAAGTAACCAACTCAGCGCGAGCGACAAACGAGACAACAAGGAGAGTGGAGAGGGGCCGTGATGGCAAGTCTGTTGAAATTAAGGATTCTGGGCCACTTTGGAGAATTTATATCATCCAGAGGCCAAGACTAACTCGTTTCGAGCTCACGGGCGTCGAGTTGTTGCTGTGGGCTGATGCTCAACCCGACCCACCCAAGCATGACGTCTGCCGTAAACCCCCCGGTCCGGGGAGAGGCGCACAAGCACAAGCAGCCACAAGGAACCATTGGCGCGCCCATTGCTTTTTTATGTATGTCATGCACCGGTGCAGACTCTGGCCAAGGACATTCAGCACTGGATAGCCTGCAAAGGCTTCTGCTAACTTTGTGAGCGTCGAGGGCCTAATGTCTTGTGTACAGCATCTATACTAATCAGAGGGGAGCCCTCATTTCTGACTTCACCATGTTGTAACCACAAACCCGTGCCAAACAGTGCAACCAACAGTCCACATGCGACAGTACACTGCGTCTGAGAATCAATAAGCTAAATCTGCCCTTTGTCGGTGACTTCGGACAAACACATATAATAAGCTTTACTACTCGAATGATTTATTATCCCTGCGTCACGTCTGCACCCCACGACTTTAAAGTTCCATTACGTCGTGTGCATTCTCCATAGCACCACTCCATTCTGTCCCCTTGGGAGAGAAATAAGTCTTAAAGACATCCCTCAACACCTTGTCGCCCAACTGCATATGCCCGCCCTTGGTCGTCTTGAAATGCAGGCCACCCTTCTCATCCAGCTTCTTCAAGCCAATCCAGTCCTCTCTGTAAATGTCACGGTCTCTCAGATCTGTCACCTCGTTGCTCGTCAGGTTGGTGTATGCGAACCAGCCGCTCTCCTTGGGTATGACGGTAGTGTCATCCTCAAACATGTACATGACAAAGTTGTCCAGCGCAGCGAGATTCTTCGCATACGTGACGTTCTTCAGCTTTCGCTCGTTGTTGATGTCGGCAAGGAAGTTGGACGCCTCGAGGTATTCGTCCGTGGGCTCGCCCGTGGTTTCGTTTGTCGCTTTGAAGTACTGCGCAGGGACCAGATGGCCTTGCACCCATGTGCCCCATGTGTTTGCCTTCAAAAGCCCAATGTAACCCTTGCAAAGCCAGTCGCCGTCTTTGCAGATTTGGTACTTGGCGATGCCGTTGTGCTGGCTTCCAAAGGTGACCAGGTTCTTGATGTTTACGCGGTCGCCGCATCTTTCTACCAGGCCCCGAAGAAATTGCCCGCCCTGTGAGAAGCCCAGCGCGTTAAGACCTGGCGCTTGCGACAGAATCTCATGTTCTGAGATGTCGTCGCAGACTTGGGCAATCTGCTCCGTCACATTACCCAAAAACGTCGCTGTTCGGTCGCTTCCGGCATCTTCATCAAGTCGGATATAGTATACATAGGTGCCCGGGTTGGTCTCATTCGCAAGATCGCCGACGCTGTGCAGACCATCTGCAGCGTAGTTGTCGCCTAGCCCATGCCATATGAGCAGCGGAAGAGGTTTGGATTCGCCATGTGCGAGTGGTGACGCCAAAGTTTGCGTCACCAGCAACAGGGTAGAGATGGGAAGTAGGCGCAACATGATGGAGGGTGTGGGGGATCTGTGGTGGTTCTGGTGTTGCGAGGCGCAACTTGGAAATGCGAGAGGCGTGCGGCGGATCTAGGACGCGTTTCATGACGTTAGCAGGCCGAGGCGGCTCAACCGAGCATGGTCCAAGCGTTGCTTTGCTCCAAACTCTAAGATGGCGCTTGTGGCAGATTAGCATTGCACGTTGAAATCACAAATAGAACAAAAACACTCGACATTGCTGCGTTCCGCCTGTGGTATATGGCTGCGCCTTTAAACACATGTTTTGAACACCTCAACGCCAACACCAGATGCGCCGTGCCATGCATTGATGTTTGCAGATATTAGCCAGCAATCAGAGGCGTCTGTACCGACTTCAGTGCCTCTTGCTTCAACGCCTTCCTCTTTTCTTTGCTGATTGAGGCCTTCTTCTCGACCTTCTTGGCCTTCTTGGCCTCTCTCCTTGCCTGTTTCGCCGCAAAATCTTCACCGTCCAGCAGCTCCTCCTCCCACTCCTCCCACTTTCGCTTGCGCTCTGCAGACTTGCCCTTGGCGGCACCGTCTGTGAGTGCGCCTTGGTATGGTCCGTCGCGCACTTGGCTGTCGTCGACCCACAACTCTTCGGCGAGCCAGATAGGCAGCGCCTTGGTGGCTGGGCCCTTGACGTGCAGGCTGCGGATGTTGCGCCATCCCTGACCAACGTGCTTGTTTACAACTTCAGACACCACGGCGGCAGTGTTCTCAACCATTTGCTGGGGCGTCATTGAGAGGTTGGCGACCTTGATGGACGTGTTCGCCGACGGGCTCATGCTGAGGTAAGTCGAGTTCAGGGCGGACTCGATTTCCTTTGCTACCCCCTGCGGTGTGCCCACAATGTTTTGCGGCTCCTTGGCGTCCTTCTTCGCGCTCTTATCGACGTATGCGCCGGCAGTGAGGCGGATGGGAATCGGGCGCTTGGACTTGCTCTTGTAGAAAACCTTGCCTAGACACTCTGCGACAATCTTGATGACGCGATCGTCGACCATGAATACATCGTACTCTGCAAGCAGGGCGCGCTTTTGCTCGAATGCCTTGTATCGCTTCTTGAGCTTCTCCACGCCCAGCACGCGCTGCACCTTTCCGCGAAGCGCAGCAGGAAAGTCGTCGGACGCCACAAGGTCCTTGTATGCCCTCTGGGGGTCTTTGGTGAAGATGCATATCCGGACATCGTTGGTGATGATGGGGTGGGGGAGTTTGCTGCCGACTGTCAGTAATGCGCTGCGTTGTACAGAATGTGCGACGGTACATGGCGACGGGCTTGAGGCTCTTGGTGTTGCCAATCTGCTTCTTGGTCGACAGGCTGAGAAAGATGGGCTCATCGACCTCCTCGGCCTCGTCCTCGTCGGCAGCCAGACTCTTTTTTGGCGCCTTCTCCTGCTTCTGCTCGACGTGCTGCTTCATGTGCGCAACGAGCGCCTTGGCCGCGCGCTCGACTTGGGCCGGGTCCAGCTGGTAGGGAGTGCCATTTGCCGGCTTGGTGGTGAGTGGCGCCTCGGGGGCCTTGTCGGCCTTCTTGGTGACAGCTTTTGATTTGGCCATTGTTGAGGGTTGGTTGCGCTGTTGCTCGTCGCTGCAAATTCCAGCCTAGACCCTTGCTCTAACTTTCGAGCTTTTTGCCCCGGAGGAACGATTATCCGAAGCCCCGTAGTACTTGCGGGGCACGGCTATCCCGTTCGGGGATATGTATGAATTGCTGCAGCCAATCATTACGCCGCAAACTCTACGGGCACACGACAAGCCATCCGTCGTGGCAACATGGCCAGCCGTCGCATCTCAATTAAAAGCTTTCGTTTCGCAAAAGCAGGCCGCGTTCCAAGAAGGTTGCCGGCTATTTTCGGAAGTGCAGGCATCCCGGATGGGGGTAATATGCCAGGTATCAGGCAGGTGAGTTGAGGATACACGCACCCCGCCAGAAAGTGGGCGATGCGCAAATCCCAGGCCAAGCTCGAGGACAGAGGGCTGGCGGGCTCGGTGGCAGAGAGAGAGAGAAAGACAGGCTTCCAGGTTATCGATTGATGGATAGACGCATCTGGCCCTGGTTCAGCCGAAAGCCTGTCACCGTGCGCTCGCCTGGCCACCTTTTTCACCCCGAACGCGTCGATACGCCATGTCGCGTCGTCGCCCGCTCCACTTTGGGCGCAAAAAAGGGTTGCAGCCGCGTTTAGGTGCGTCAATTGCTGCACCGAGATTTTCTTTTCCCTCGCGTGACGGTGGTTTGCATGTGCCCTGCAAGGCTGCGTGGGTGCATGGCTCGACTGGCGCAGACGCGTACGGCGTATACATGTACATTACGGCTGTTCCTGCTGGCTTGCTGGCTTGCTGGCTTACTGGCACGGGGAGCATTGGCATTGGCGTGTCAGAAGACTGGGCCGGAATGGCTTGGACGGCGCAGTCGCAGTTGCAACAGGCAGTGGGAGCGTAGGCCGCATCCATCCTACTCGCAGCCCCAGCCACATAAGTAGTCGGCAGCCATTACTGACCCATGACTGCATATTCAGGTGGCATGTGCAGCACGGCGAGGGGCTGGCACGGCAGACACGCCTCCAGTACAGCCGAGGGTGCAAGAATCATGGCATCCGTCTGCTCGCACAGGCTCGTCGGTCGACGCCGCCGCTGCTGTGATATAGACCAAGGACACGGCGTTTGGCGAGCCTGGACAAACAAAGGCCGGCCGACTCGAGCTCCCAGTCGACGCCGAGCGGCGACAAGATACGTCGGGTGTCGCAGATGTCCATTGCAAGACGCACGAGGCCCTGCACTGCGTTGGGAACGCCGTGGTGAATGCCAATTCCGGTTGGTTCGTCACGGCAGGCCACGGTCCGAGCTCCTTCACGCTACCACAACCGCGACCGCGACGTCTTCCAGCACCCGTGTCGTGACCGCGTAGCCTCGTAATCTAATCGAATCGAATGGCTTTTTCCTCGTCCTGACCAGCGTCTTTCTTTTTCCTCCACCCACCCTCGACGCCCCCTCGCCGTCGTCGACTACCGCTGCTGCTCCCGCCTGCCCCTGCTGTACGCCGCCCGCCAGACACGTCTATATCACCTCACAGGTAGCCGTCTCGACTCTCTGTGCCTCGCGTCCTAGGCGCCCTGCACACGACGCCATGCACCCGTCTCCCACCAAGGCGTTGCCGTCGTCGCTCGTCCAGTCGACCGAGTCTCATCCGGAGCGGGCGAGAAAGGCCACGCCGACGCTTCTGCCGGCCTTCGGCGATGATGGCCCCTTCTCCTCCTCGCCCTTCCCACGCCCCTCGCCCTCAAAACGCAAGTTTGAACAAGACTCGCCCACCTTCCCCAAGCAGCTCAAGTACTACCCCACTCCGCAGCCCACGTCGTCGACCAACATTATTTCCTCGTCCCCCCGCCATGCCCGGCCGGGCTATGAACGCTCCTTCTCTGCCCTGTCCGAGCGGACACCCCTCGGCGCTGTGCCCACGGTACACCTCCCTGCCGACGGCGACATCCTGCGCATGGGACGCAGTTCGAACACTTCCGACTACCAGCTCTCTACCAACCGCCTCATCTCGCGTGTTCATGTGCAGGCTGCTTACCACGCCCCAAGCCCGCTATACCCCCATGGCTACATCGAAGTCGAGTGTCTGGGCTGGAACGGAGCAAAGATTCACTGCAAGGGCCGCATCTTCGAGCTGACCAAGGGCGACACGTACATGTCGGAGAACCCCGAGACGGCCATTATGCTCGATGTCCAGGATACCCGCGTCATGATTGCCTGGCCATCCGTCCCCACTCCCAAGCTGTCATGGGAGTCAGAAGAGGAGGGCATGCTTACGCCTACCCGTCGCCGTGCTCCCGAAAACTTCGACTCCAGTCCTCCCGTCGCTCCACGGTCGCCCGTGTCCCAAAGCCCTATTCGCCGCTCCGCTTTCCCCGGTCTTGGCGCCAACGGCCAGCCCGGGCCCGTCCAAGTATTCGAAGATGCCGATGTCAGCGAACGCAGCCCCAGCCTCATCACTCCCAACTCTGCAGACCAAACCTTTATCCGCCCTTCTCTTCCCGACCTCAAGTCGAGTTGTGAAGCAGACACTGCTGTCGACCTCAAAGCCAGCGTCAACTACGCTGCGGACGATTTCTCCGACAACGATGAAGAAAATGATCCGGTCGTGCACTCTTTCGGTCCTTTTGGCCAGAACCTCCTCAGCGGCCTTGCGTCATTCGAAGCAGCCACGCCGGCACAGTCCAACAACCCTCGTGTACGTGCGCCATTGGTATCGCCTTCTCCGAAACGCCGCTGCGCAGAGCCCATCCGCTTCAAAGAGTCGCCCATCAGGAATCACGTCATCAACCAGCTAGCCTTCTCTCGCATCCATTCCCAGCCCCTGTCCGCCATCCACACTAACCTTCCAGCTGAGCTGAAGGCATGCATCACAAAAGGCACAGAAGACCAAGACGCAAAGAGCAGCGGAGCCTCGACGCCCCTTCCTCAACTAACCCCACAGGACCTCAAGAGGATCCTGGATGAAACTCCCTGTGTTGGAGAGATTCCTCGTGCTGGCAAGGACGCTGCTGGCCAGCCCCTTGAGAACGAGTTTTATTATGTCCCAGAGATGGACACTAATCAGATGAGACGTGAGACCATCACTGCCGGTACCCGCAGCACTGGCCTGCGATCCGTGAGAAAGACGCACAAGGTAAGCACTGATCCCATATACTTGCTTATATATTGCTGACTGTGCACAGCAATACTACTGGAAAAAGCCTCGCGTGTGAGCTGCCCTCGATTCCAACCGCGTCATTCTCAATGCCTCACGATCAACTCGCAAGTTGAGTTTTGCATATTCGTGCTCTCGCAGCCAACACCTTCAGTATTATACTACAGCACAATACGCTGTCCCCCACCCTTCACATATCCCACACTTGTTTTATTACTTGCATAGCGAGGCGTTACGATACCATTCACACGCTTCTCGTTGTTATACCGGAGTCTGGTGCATTTTTTTTCCCCACTTTTCTTGTTGCTTTACATGCATCATCGTCTCCAACATCACAATCACAAAAATCAGGTTCTCACTTCTCTTCGTCTCAAGTCGCTTTTTCACACCGACATATTTAGGGCCGGTACCATTTACCCTTTCGACTTTGCTACTTGTTACACTTTTTTTTCTCTTATACTACCGCGCTTGGTTGTTAACTACGCGCCGTGGGCGGAACAAACTCATGCGGAACGACGACATCTTGGCTAGAAACGAAAAAGAATGAAGGGCGTTGTCTACCCATTGTCTGCGAGAGGATGAAGGGAAGTATTGGGGGGGGGGAGTTGATGTATTTTCTGGCTTTTTTATTTTCTTCTTTCCATCTCTGCATGAGCACACACCACTTGTTTTGCCCTTTTTTTTCCTTTTCTACCCTTGGATCTGTTTTTTAAAAAAAAGAGAGAATGTTTTCCCCCCTTACCATGTATCCTGTCCCGTACGAGCTTGGAATCTTTTTTTTTCCAACAATTAAAAAGAAAAAAGAAAGTTTTTATCAAACGTTGTCCGAGTGCTTGACATTGAGGGCTACTGCTGCTGTGTACACACATGAGTTGCCGTTGACTTGAGGTCTTACCCCTCCTTTTTTTTTGCTCCCTCTTCTTTTGACCTCCCGCCAGTAACCTGGATTTAGCTAAACGGCACAATTTCTCTGATATAGGGCATAACTCGGGTCTGACAAGTTTGCTCGCAGCTATTTCAGCCTGTTTTCACCAAACTTCAGCACTTCTCACCAATGACGTAATCATTGTACGATCATGACACGTCATCACGTGATCATGGCTAGCATCTGGTCAGAGCGCAAAAGCACAGCAAACCAACCAACGCAGCAGGGTTCTTACACCTCCGAAAGAGACTGAAGAATCAAAGCTGGTGGGTGTTTTTGAATTTGAATCGATTCACTCTACATGCCCGGTTCCCTTCATGAAGTCTCAAATCGGAGACGAGACAAGACAAGACAAGCACGCCGCTGAGGGTGGCAAGGGCCGCCAAAGAAGTAGTAGTAGTGACCTTGCCCTCATATCCATCGCATGCAATCGTTTCAATTCGTTTCCACCGACCCCGATACTCTCTCTTCGCCAGACGCCGATAGGAGCGAATCGTCTATTTGAGCTTCTTCTTGGGGCGGAGCTGGTTGGTGTGGCCGCACTTCTTCTTGCGCTGCTGGTCGTTAGCCCAGTGTGCGCCATGACTTCTCATGGGGGCAGCATCATGAAACGTACGCAGTTGACAGCCCTCGGTGGTAGGCGTGCGTAGCACTTGCGGCAGATCATCTTGTCGCAGTTGTACTTGGAGGCAAGGGCCTTGAGCGAGGGCTCAATGATACCACCACGGAGACGGAGTACAAGGTGGAGTGTCGACTCCTTCTGGATGTTGTAGTCGGCCAGGGTGCGGCCATCCTCGAGTTGCTTTCCGGCGAAGATCAGACGCTGTTGGTCTGGGGGAATGCCCTCCTTGTCCTGAATCTTGGACTTGACGTTGTCTGCCCATCGTTGTCAGCCCGCCGTTCCTTTTTCCGAGCTTAACGCCCGACGAGCGCTGCGGTGCGATGCGATGCTAGGCGTGGCGTTGCGGCCGTCTATCGATGAAGGGGGTATGCGTACCGATGGTGTCAGAGGACTCCACCTCGAGGGTGATAGTCTTGCCCGTCACTGCAGCGGCATTAGTAGGGTTCCAGCCAGACTGTAGAGCGCATGCGACATACGGGTCTTCACGAAGATCTGCATGTTTGCGGTGTTGCTGGATCTTGGTGTCGAAGTTCGTCGATTGATGGCGAGGCGAAGTGGAAGACGAATTGGCAGTGTGGGCGTCCGAGCTTTGCGCCCTAACGTCTAAGCGACTAGCGCCCGGGCTTGCCCCTCACGTGCGACGCCCTTCATCCTCACCCGAGGAATGTCAGACAGGAATTACCTGCATTTGCAAGAAACATGTTTCTGTATGGTGAATGCAGTTTCCCTTCTGTCGTTAGTAACCTGTCAAAATCTCGGCTTATACTGAATTGACGGCACATTAAAGCAAAGTTTGCTTGCAAGAGATACAGGATTCCAATGTTTATGGAGTAGATTCTGGAGGTCTACTTCCTAATAGTCTATTTGAGCTGCTGCTGATTCTGGCTGCCTTCAGGCTCTAGCTAACAAAACCGCATCCTATCCGTCAGTTGTCTGTCTCTGCAACCTTTTCCACTGCTCGATTCTCGCCTCGGTAAATCCCACTGCTAGTATCAACATGTTCATTGATAGCCCTGCCAGTCTCCTGGCCTTTTCAAATAGTAATCTTGCTGCCTCGGGGAGCTCGCCTCGTGTCCTCCATCGTGGATACGCCTGTCCAGCTCTTAAAGTTTGCCCGTCTTCATCTGCTACGTTTGGCACTGGCTCCATGGCACTATGAACTGCTTTGACGACGTCGAATTCATGATGTAAAGGTAGCTTTTGATACGTCGGCTTTGTTGGGTGCTTGGTTTCACTGTCCACCGGAAACATGTTGTACAGCGCGTTTCTGAAATCGTCCGTATCCTTGGTGCGTTGTATCTCTGCATCGTCCAGATATGTGTCGGCATAGTAGTCAAGATATTGATCCATCTCAGCAGTATCCATTGCGAATACGTCCTTCTCTTGTAGTTTCGCCATCTCTTCGCTTGTGAAACCCACAGAAGCGACCTCTTTGCCGTCGTCTGCCACACGCATTTCTTTGCACCATACATCCCAGTTCATCGCTGTCATAGTGTGCTGTGTCGACAGCCCCCATTGCCGCTGTTCTTGGTCGAATGGATAAAGAATCTTGATGCAGACAATAATACAACTGACTAGTTGCGCTTCGGGAAGATGGCGTATGCCTAACCGTTTCTTTCCTTCATAGTGCGGAGCAAAGTCATAGCCTAGCAGGTCTCCCAGTCGCTTTGTTGCTGCGTACAACTCCAATGGCAACGCGAGCTCTCTCAGGTAGCGATATGAAAGTAGCGAGAAATTTAGAGGTGGCCACAAGATACCGTGGTCTGCATCATAGCTTGTTTGCAAATCTGTCAGTGTTCTGTAGAAGCGTGTATAGGTAAGCGGAGCAATCGGATCGAGATTGGCGCGGTAGGTCGGTGGCAGCCGGTCTCTCATAGCAAGTGGTAGTAACTTGATAGCCCTGCAATAAGCCAACTTGCCATCAGCGACCCAGGCGTAAAGATCTCCTGGTGTAAAGGGCAATCTTAGTGTCGTGATGCCAAGGTAGCACAGCAAGACACAGTCGTTGAGATTGGGTGCGGTGGATAATCTCCTGTCTCTTTTCCTCATCATGCTGCTGACATGACCTTTTTCGGTGTCTGTAGCGTCATCTCCGCTTTCCAGGGTGTTGAAAACTTGTGACTGAGACTGTGGATTTGAAGACGGGTCCTCGTTGGACGCAATCTTGTCTTCAAGTTGAGCGATACGTAGTGACCAAAGATCGTAGACGAGAGCCTCGAGCTCGGCAGGCAGCCCCTTGTCGCGCACCAAAAACCATAGTTGATGGCGTAGTACGAGTTGCAGGCACTTCAAGTAGAGGTCAAACGCCTGCGGTCCCTTGAAGATCTTGTCTGATGTCTTGTCCTCCTCCTCCGCTGTCTTCTTTTTCCGCGTGACTGTCCGGGCGGCTGATATATAGTCGTCATCGTCCTCCCCACGCACAACAGCAGCCTGTTGGTGTCCGTTCTGGCAATAGAGGCGGCCATCGTCGCCTTCTTCGTAGCGTCTAGACCGGCAGTTTTCGACGCCACACACGGGACCTTTTGTGGCCATGAGATGGTCGGTCTATCTTGGGCTAACCCAACTGGCCAGCGCCGACGCACCCCAAATGTCGTCTAAGCTGCAACACTACTCGGCCTCCCTGTAGCGTGGGCGGCTAAAAACGAGTGTGTGTGGGACCGATTTCCAGCATGGGGAGATGCAGCTCTGCAGTCGCACGCCGTTGCGAGCAGCCACTTTTGGGGCAAGCAAAAAGATTGTTTTTGACTAGCGCGAAAATGAAAATTACCGTCACCAAGTTCAAACAGCCAATGAGAAGGTCGACAAGTTGCCGTAACATCATCACCTTTTATTCATTGCCCGGAGCATAAGGGATATATATCTAGATAGGGAAATGATTTGTGATATGTTTCCCACACATGGCAATTCAAAGAAGCCAAAACCCTTCGCAGAACGTCCAGCACTGGTCGCCCAGCGCAAATCGCACAGGAGAATGCTACACTTGCCACCGGGCTGCAACTTTGCACAAGGCATGCAAAGAGGGTCACAGCCCTCACCGTAGGCTGTTCGAATTCGGCGCCTCGCTTCCTGTCAAACAGTCTACATAACCAACGAGTCATTTATTTGGGAGCCTCCTTGGCGTCAATGGCAGCCTCCTCACCCATGGCAGTGAGAATGATAACGTCTGCGTTTCAGTCAGCATGGGGCCCTCATCGGCGCTCGGCGGTGTGCACTCACTGGTGTCCTTGCCCTCGTCGACAAACAGCTTCCTGATCTTGTCGCCGATTTCGCCATCGGGGATCTTGACGTCGTCCTTGGTGGCACCATCATCGGTCATGAGGGAAAGGAAGTCGTCGTCGGTAACGTCGAGCTGCGTGGCGAATTAGCCAAGGGCTGGCGTGCGGCCTGTGGGTGGGGGAGGGCTACTTACGAGCTGGTACTCGCGGCGCGAGACGTTGGGCACGTCCATGTTGTGGGTCGAAGGGCACAGTTCTTCGAGCTTCTTGCCGGTGAAGAGGTCAATGGCGACGAGATGGACCTTGGCGTGGCCGTGCTTTCCGGTCTTGGAGGTGCTCATGTCGACGATCTTGCAGGGACGGCTCTTGATGCACACGAAGCCGTTCTTCCTCAGCGCAGAGCACTGCATGGGGAAGGTGAGCGAGGCACCGGCATCGGCGCTCTCAAACGTGTGCTCATGCTGCAGCCATCCGTCAGTACACGACGCAGTCAAGGGATGGTGCAGGGACGCGGGACGGCCAGGCGCAACTGGCGACGATGCTCGGCAGGGTGGGGTAACGAGCACATGCGGGGCTGGGGTCCGAGGCAACGTACCTGCGCGTCGTCCGCCATGGTGGTGAGTGGGAGTTGGATGCGACGGGGAGGGAGGGAGAAGCTGAAGTCGGGGGCTGCTGGGCGAAGAGCAGTGGGGAGTGGGCGGCGGTGCTTTAATGGAGACGGAGAGAGAAGTCTTCGTGTCTGGATTTTGATTTTGGGCAGGCGCGAGGGGCAAGGCGGCGCTAGCACATCCCTGCCTAGCCTAGCGCCGGATTAACCCAGCCGCCGGCCTGCCTCGCGTGCCAGGTGAATGCTTGCCGCGGGCCTGCGACTGCGCCTGCGACTGTGTCCTCCCTCCCTCGCCCGCCGCCGCCTTCTCTGCCTCCGCCCTCCTCTGGATGCGCCCCCCGCCGCATCGCCATGTGGGGCCTGGATAGGCTCTCTTCGTACTCGACGCCCGCGGGCACGCCCCCTCCGCGCCGCGACTCGCGCTCGCCAGCTCCCCGTCGCGGCTATCCCGCCCCGGCCCAGCCCGTCAGGCCTGGCCTCAACCCGCGCTCCTCGTCGCTGACGCCCCTCGTCTCGCCCAGCTCCTCGACCCCGAGCCTGCCGCTGTCGACGCGCATGCCCAATGGCGGGCTGCGCAGGCGCCAGACGGCCGGCGTGCCCCCCAACGTCCCCGATCCGATACACGTGCTCGAGGCCATCATGGGAGCCCCGCCGCGCAGTGCGCCTGCAGCAAGCGGGGAGGGCGGCGGCGTGCTGGGCAGGCCGGAGCAGCTGGACGAGCATGTCGACTTCGGGGGGCTGAGCCTGCAGGATTTCGTGGCTGAGAAGACTGCTGGGCGGCAGCCACCCACTTCTGTACATACATATAGCGCACAGTCGGTCGAAGAATGTACGTGCCTGTGCCCCGCATTGCCAGTCTTTGCTCATTGTGCCTCTAGATGACAAGGACAAGGACAAGTTCGAGGACCTGCACCGGTCCATATTGGCGTGCGATCAAGTGCTCAAGTCGGTCGAGGCCAACCTCACAAACTTCCAGTCAGACCTCGAGGCCGTTTCCGCAGAGATAGAGTCCCTGCAGAAGCGCTCCATTGCCCTGAACACCAAGCTGGAAAACCGCAAGGTGGTCGAGAAGCTGCTGGGGCCCGCGGTAGAAGACATCAGCATCTCTCCGGCCGTCGTGCGCAAGATTGCCGAAGGCCCCGTCGACGAAGGCTTTGTGCGCGCCCTTGCCGACGTCGAGAAGCGGTCCAAGACGATCCAAGAAAAAGCCCGAAACCATCCAGACTTGATGGCTGTAAAGGACGTGAAGCCCCTGCTGGACGACCTGACCCATCGCGCAGTCGAACGAGTACGAGACTACATAGTGGCACAGATCAAGGCTATTCGGTCACCCTCCATCAATGCACAAGTTATCCAAGAGCAGGCATTCTTGAAATACAAAGATTTGTACGCCTTTCTTGCGCGGCATCACGCAGACCTGGCGCAGCAGATTGCCCAAGCATACATTAACACAATGCGCTGGTACTATCTCAACCACTTCACCCGCTACCGAGCAGCACTCGAGAAGATCAAGATACACGCCATGGACAAGTACGACGTCTTGGGCGAAGACCCAAGCGCCAGAAGAGGGGGTACACTGCTTGGCCAATCGCGAAGTGCACCCGCCACTTATGATGCCTTTTCGCTTGGACGACGCCGCGATGCCCTGAAGAACTCGTCGGCCAATGCCCTGCCGGCGAATGTTGCTGAGGACGAAAAAGCGGCCCACTATCTCGAGGTACCCTTTCGCAGCTTCAACCTGGCCCTCATCGACAATGCTTGTTTCGAGTACACCTTTATATCTTCCTACTTTGCTCCTTCCCAGAACTTCCACGCCATCTCGCGGACGTTCAACTCTATATTCGAGCCTACGCTGGCAGTGGGACAAGCAGTCACCAAATCGCTCGTCGATTCCACCACCGACACGCTGGGCATCCTGCTCTGTGTGCGGCTGAACCAGCACTTTGCATTTGAGCTTCAACGAAGAAAAGTGCCAACGGTAGAGGGCTATATCAACGCCACAAACATGCTGTTGTGGCCGCGTTTCCAGCAGGTTCTGGACATGCACTGCACTTCGCTTCAGAAAGTCACGACTTCACTGCCCGGCCGGCCCTCGACGGGCGCCGCGCTATTATCTTCTGGCACCTCGAATGCTGCTTCTACGGCACCAACGGCCCTGACGCAAAAGTTTGCCAACCTGCTGCAAGGCATACTGGTGCTGTCGTCGGAAGCCGGCGATGACGAGCCCGTCAGCGTGTCGGTGGCACGGCTCCGGAGCGAGTACGAAGCCTATCTCACCAAACTCAGCAAGGGAATCGGCGATGCCAGGAAAAAGGACAGGTTCCTCTGCAACAACTACAGCTTGGTGTGCACGATACTGGCTGACGTCGAGGGCAAGCTCGGAGAGGAAATGAGAGAGCGCTTCGAGAAGCTTAGAGATTCTTTTGATAAATAGATCTAAACTCGCCTCGTTTGAACGGGGATGAGAGAGAGAGAGAGAGAGTGCACTGCTCGCTCGTCCTGAATCAATGGCATTAATAAATGAACAGGCAAAAAAAAACATGTGTCATGACTTTTGGTACTTTGTCCCAATAACGGATCATGGATTGGTATTCATTGGTCTCGTAAAGCTTTTCTTCTAGTCTACGCAGTGAGGCTATATCCTATGTTTTTTTCATTTCTTTTAGGTAACCCTGATTTTCATTCCAAACCGGCCACGTGACTTAAGCCGAGGCCCTCATGGCAGCCCAGTCCTTCTGCGAGGTCTCGCCCATGAAGGCACCAATGTAGGAGGGCTTGCCGAGGTTGAAGCCCTTGCCTCTCAGCAGCATGTACATGGCATTGAGGTGGAAGAAGCTGTTGGGGATGACGAAGTCGCCGATGAAGCTAGTCAGGGAGCTGGCATTGAGGGTCTTGGGGCCGACGCTGACTTGGAAGGACTTTTCGGCGCTCTCGTTGTACGTCTTGGCGTCAATGGCGTCGTAGACGGTCAGCATCTGCTTGAAGAAGTTGATGATGTCGTCGAGCGAGGAAAAGGACGCGGGGTCCAGGGCGGGTGTTGTGGCGGATCCGTTGAGCTGGAGGGCATTGATAGCGCCGACTGGGAAGCTGGCGACTAAGATGGGCTGCATGCGGAAAGGCAGCATGTCGCCGATCTTTGCGTCGAGGAGCTCCTGCTCGGATGGCAGAGAGCTGTTCTTGGAGATCTCCTCTTTGGCTGCGGTGAGGAAGCTGATGGCGCTCTTGGAGATGTTACGCAACACAGGGACGGTGACGTCGTAGAAAGAGTAGGAAGCCATTTTGGATATGTGCGGGTTTGGAGATGTGAAGGTGTGGAGTGTGGTTTTGGTTGGGTGGTTGCGTTGGTTGTTGTTGAATGTGAGAAAGAAGTATGTTTAGAGAAGCCAAAAGGGCGGGAGCGGCCATAGATATATATCTACTACGACTGACCCAGACACCATCTCCACTAGGGAGTACCGGTCCACTTGGTTTTCAGATTTCGGCAGCTAGACACGCTAGCATGCTGCCTTGATACTCGGTCCCGGGGCGGCTATGGTCTGATGTGTTTTTTTCTTTCCTGGATACCTGGTCGATGCATCTATCTGTGCAGCATGCAACCGGAGGAACGGAATTATCGACTAAATCCGACCGTATTGGACCGATTCTGGCGTTTTCTGTCTCTTCGACCCTGCCAGGACGCGGTGGGCGTGAATTCTATGCGAGTCTTTTCGGATCGTCGGGAAGATACCATGATCGACACTTGCAGGCCAATGGCCGAAGCCGAAGTGTAAAGGGTAGACTACGATAGTTTAGCATGGTGCGTGGAACCGCCACAATAGGTCAGAGCATCTCTCGTTGTGGCATAGGACGTACGGCAGCAGTGGGCACTACGTTTTAACTTTAGTCATGCAACCTTCCAGAACGCGGGACGTGGCAAACAGGCTCTTGAAAGGCAATAGCGCTGGCCCAATGTTGGTACAGTCATGATATCAACCCACAAAAAACAAACAATTGGGTTTGGGCAAATGACACGGATAGCTGGACTTGGCTTTGTTGAACATGCAACGTACCCAGGATGCGTTGGAGGAGCACAAAGTCCACGCTGAGCTGGAGCGTATCTACCGACACTGCCCCGCCTGAGGCACGGACCGCACAATTGCAGACTCGCCACGGCACAATTCGGCCCTACTTCACTCTGGGCAGGGTGCCATAGCCACTGACCTGCCCTGCTCAAGTCCTCCACAATCGACCTGTCGACGGAAAACTGCAACTGACTTCAGACGGACACGGTTTCCGGTCAAACCACTCAAAATGGCGAAGCGCAAGCGCACCACGGCAGCGGCCGCGCACGCCAATGCCGTCAAGAAGCAAGCAAACGGCATCCCCAGTCCTCCCCAAGATGCAGCCCCGTTTGAGCCCGCAAGCGTCCATTCCGTCATCTCCCAAGAAGAGATCGAGGTGGCCGTGGACACGCTCCGCACGCTTTCCGAGCACCCTCTGCTGATCAAGTCAAAGGCATGCAAAGACCTGAGGACAGCCGTGTTCGACTTCCGTCAAGCATGCACCACGGGTCTAAACTCAGCTGGTACGTCCAAGGCGGGTGGTCTCAATGCCAAAGGCTAAGCGAAACCTCAGACGGCAGCAATCTGACGGCGCGGATATCGGGAGCGCTTACGGATTCCAAATACAGAGATACTCTCATTCTGTTGGCTGAGATGCGCATCAGGAACGAGACTCCAACACTAGGTGCTCTGTGCCGCTGGGTGCGCACGTTGGACGTTGTGTCCGGACTAAGCATTCACGTCCAAGTGCCAAGCCACAGTGTATTCGGCGCCAATGCTCACAACGACGAGCTTATCCAAGTGCTGGACTCGATACTCCGAGTCACAGGCCCAACTGATGTTACTACCCACGGTGCAGACGCGTCTCCGGGTATCTCGCTGCAGGAAACATGGAGCCTGAGAAACAGCAGTACCCCCACCCGCCAGATACGCAGTAGCGTTCAAGACAAGTCCATCTTCACATCGTGTCCCTCTGATCTCAAGCAGCGCTTCCGAATCATCGAGACTACAGAAGGTCTGCAGCGTAAGCCACCGAATCTCCACCCCGCTGTCTTGTACGCCTCACAAGACGATGCGGTGCTGCTCGGCCAAGGCCCCAAGACCGAATGCTTCAAGCACCCGATAGTGCCCAATCTGCGATTAATCAAGGATGTACTCTCACCGGACGAATGCTCTGCCATTATCGCCGCGGGAGAAGCCATTGAATTCATACCGGATGCCCCACTACGGCCCCAAGGCGAAGACACCAGTGTCCTAGCCCACAACTTCTACTGGATTGTCGACCAAGCCTTCCACGATAAGCTTTGGGAAAGAGTGAAATCTTTTGTCCCAGACAGCGTCGCAGGAAAGAAAGTCCGCGGCATCAACCGTCGCTTCAGAGTATACCGTTATGTGCCTGGAGCCGAGTACCGTTGCCACATTGGTGGGTTCTCTTTTCCAGTATTTAACAATCCTTTCTTACTAACTTTATTTGTAATTGCTAGACGGTGCATGGCCCCCCTCAGGCATCGACCCCAAAACAGACTCTTACCAGTACGACGCCTCGCCCCCAACCGCCCGCCAATCCTCCCTCTTCACCTTCCTCATCTACCTCAACGACGACTTTATCGGCGGCGAAACCACCTTCTTCATCCCCAGCGTCAAGCAAGGCGTCATCAATGCTTACCCCGTTAAGCCCATCATGGGCAGTGTCGCCGTGTTTCCCCATGGCGAAGCCCAGGGCGCCTTGTTGCATGAAGGTACGGGTGTGGTCGAAGGTGCAAAGTATGTTATTAGAACTGATGTCGAGTATGACGTTGATGCTACAATTGAGAAGTGAAGAAATCAATCCAAGAGAGAAAAGAATGTAACTTGTAGATTGTACCTGAGTTGATGAAAAGAGGGGAAAATTGGGCTGTAAATCGGAGTTTTCTGGGTCCCCCCCCCTTGAACCTCCCAAAAGTGATATTATTCTTTACCTGCTATTTACTATGCTTTGTTGGCGCTTTCTCTCTCTCTCTCTCTTTTCGCTAAGAGCACATACACCTGTAAAACAAAAGCCAGAGTTCCATAATCAAACGTTGACAGAAATCAAATATAGCGATATTCTGACCAATTCAAGTAGTGATACTTTATGTTAAAACAAGAGCACCATCCTCCCTGTGCTACAACAAATACGTAAGAAGCGCAAGTCCCGAACTAAGCGAAAACTCAAGTGTCGAGTAAATGCAAGAAGAAGAAGAAGAAGAAGAAGAAGAAGAAGAAGAAGAAGAAGAAGAAGAGGTAACGTGGCCATGAATATTACATATTTCGATATGTTGCGCGAGTCACAGAAAAGAAGGAAAAAAAGGGGGGAGAGGGAGAAACAAGGTGAAAAGTACATGTGTGTATTCTCTATGTAGCATATGCGCATATACATGTGGGGAAGAAGAGAAGAAAAAAAAGAAGGGGGAGAAAAGAAATGAAGGAGGAGGAGGAGGAGGAGGAGAAAATAAAGATCAAGCTGGTTGAAAAGACGAAAAGACTAAGAGGAAGAGAGAGACAGACAGAGAGAGACAAGGTAGAAGCCAGACGAAGACGAAAAGACGAAGACGAAGACTAAAAAGAAGACTAAAAAGAAGACTAAAAAGAAGACTAAAAAGAAGGAGGAGAAGCAAGAGGAAACATTCAAAACCAAAACTAAATTACTAAACCGAACCTAGTTTTTTCTCTTTTGCAGAAATATAAAATGAATAAAATGAATAAAATAAAATAGAAATAAAATAAAAATAAAATAAACCAGAATAAAGCGATATTGTATGGGGCAGGAAGGTGTGTGTTCTTCTAGTACAACGCATATACGAGAGGGACGCATGGTCTACATGGGGGTAATGTGGGGGGGGAGAAGAAGCATGGCTGCCTATTTGTTTCGCACTCTTTCCCTGTTTTTTTTTGAGGGGAGTGCGGAAGGAGAGGTTGGGGGGGAGTCACTCACTTACTCACTCGCTCACTGACATGGGAAGAGGACAGACATTACATTGGGGGGGGTTTTTTTTTGGGGGGGGGTTTGGGTTTTGGGACTTTTTAGGGGGAGGGGGCGCTGGTGTGAAAGGCTGGGACTTTAACTACCTACAGGCGGTGATGGAATGGAATGGAATGGTTATGGAATGGTCATGGGATTATTTACAGGGTCCTTTTTTCTTGTTCTTCTTCTTCTTCTTCATCATCTTCATCATCTGCTTTCTTCGTCTTCTTGTTTCTCTCTTGTTCTTGCCTCACCCCACCCCCCCCCCTCCCTTTTTTTTCCAAAAAAAACTCTCTTTCATAGTTTTTTTGGGGGGGGGAGCGGGAGGAGGCTTGGAAGGTGGGGGCGTTTTTTCTTTCCCTTTTCTTCTTTCTTCTTTTTTTCCAAGATCGCGTCCCCCAACTCCACGAGGGAAGAAAGAAGAAAGAAGAAAGAAGAAAGAAGAAAGAAGAAAGAAGAAAGAAGAAAGAAGAAAGAAGAAGAAGAGGAAGAGGAAGAGGAAGAAGAAGAAACCAACTAAGCCTTACCCCTCTTGGCGAGGTAATAAGTCAGCAGATTGAGATGCTGTTCGCGGGCGCCAGCCACGACCTTCCAGAAGCCAGCGTCCTCCTTTGCGCCATCTGCTCCGTTGATGCGTTCGTGGAGGGCGACGCAGAATTCAATGTCTGCTTTGCGGACGTCGGCGTCCTGGTCGTCCATGCAGCGCACGGCTAGCCTGCCTAGGCGGGACGTTTGCTCTGGCGATAGACTCATCTTCTTTTCGCCGCTGATGTGCACAAGTGAGGCTAATGTGGTGAGCGCCATTGTGATTGTCCTGGTGGGCACTTGGCCGGGGAGAGAGGAGACGGAGGCTTTTGAGTTGGGCGAAGATGCGGGAGTCGATCCAGCGGAGTCTTCAATGAGCGCAAGGACGGCGTCGAGGCAGTCTAGTGTTGACCCGTACTTGACAATCTCATCTGCCGTTGTCTCAAGATCAACGGCCATGTGTGATGTGTTCTCATACTGTGCCTTGGTTTGTAGTATAGTTCGAAGCACACGAGCAGAGTACCTAGCCGTTTCCTTGCGGTAGAGAGAAAGCAACGCACGTGTCAACGCAAGCGATTGTACTTTGAGGTTGATGACCTTGGGCTGGGGTGCCTTCAGCTCCTGGATTGGTGCCTCCAGGAAGTCGAGACACGCTAGGAGCAATTTGCCAAAGTTCTCGTCATCAGGTCCCCAAAGTGCTTGGTTGGACTTGACCATGTCCTGCATGCGCCGGAACATGTGAGCTTCGACGGTGCGCCCCTCAATCTTCCTGATGCCGCTTGCGATTAGCTGTCGGTTTTTGAGTACCTCTGGGTTGTTCGGATCGTAGGTTTCGGTGTGCAAGATGCTTCCGTTGCTGTTTGTCTTGTGGTGGCCCCGCGGGCGCTCCTCGTTCTTGTTGTTCCCCATCATGACATCGCTTGACACACTCCCGCTGCTATGTCTACGCTGGTTGCTCTTCTCATTGATAGGAAGCTCCTCGAGAACAGACTTGCCTGATTCACTCTCCAAGCGCGATGGCTCCTCGCCAACAAACGGGTCTTCGTACACTCTGACTTCATCACCACCATCTGTTCCTCGAGTGCTAGGCCGATCCGGTGTCCTGGCCTGCAGACTTCGTGTCGAAGAGCGCAAACTAGAAACATCAAGATGGCCCATGGATTTGGGACTCCTCAACATGGATGCACGGGGGCTCGGTACTGGTAGTCGGCCTCCAGAAGGTCGGGGCTTTGGCGGTGTTCGATGCACGGCCGGTGCTGCGGGTTTTGCTAGATCTGGAATAACCATTGTGAAGTTGTCGTCGTCACCCATATCTACCGCCTCGTTATCTAGGACCACACTGCTCCCTAGTCCGCTCCTTTGTCGGGATGGGCCTGGATCGTGATGACTCTGCGACCGTACCCAGGGCTTCACCATGGTCAGGTCCTCCTCCTTGGCCGGGCTTCCATGGCGAGAGCCAGTGTTGGAAGTTTTGCTATGCGCAATGGGTTGACCAATCCTTGATTTAGACCGGGCAGGACTGACCGTCGGGCTGTTGTGTGTTTGAGATCGCGGTCGGCTGCCGCTCTTTGGCACGGCTGGCTTCTTTGCAGTCGCAGCTGGCGTCTTCTCCGGTGTCATGTTGGGTGTTGACTTGCCCGGCTGCCGGACAGCGTATGGATCAGCTGTTGCCGGCCTGTTGAGCTCGGGTCGAGGGCGGATCGGACGTCGGACGGTTCCTGACATGAGCGAGCCGGTGCCTGTCGAGTTCTTCAGTGCTGATTTCGTCGACTCTCCCGACATGCCTGAAGGGGGGCGCGCTGGTCCAGAAGATGACGCAGACGCAGACATGGTAGAAGCTGTTCTTGAACCCATTGGCTTGCTGAGCTGCGGTTTTGCCGGTGTAGTATAACTTGCTGCAGCAGAGTTGGGACGCTCGGGCATGTTCTTTGCGGCCGCCAACTTGGCTCTCCTTTGCTCAGCAATCTTTTCTTTGAGCGCACTCCGCGAAGCACCAGGACCGATAGATTTCGAAAAGGATGCCGAGTTGTTGGGTGCAGCAGGAAGCCCACCGTTGGGGTTGTTCGGGTCTTTCTCAAGAGCGGTTCTTTCGCGCTTGTCGAATGTGTCGAGCATCTTCGCGGCCCTGATAGGCCATACCAAGGCAAAGGTCCAATAGGTGCTTCGGTAAGCCTCGCGTACCTTTGGGTTAGCGTCTGTCACGCCCTTCTTAATCAATCCATCGAGAGAGTCGAGGCCACCGGAATGCTCAATGTGTGATGTATGCCGGCGAATCAATGTCTTGATCCAAGTGGCGGAAAATGTGCGTGGCTGTACGTTCTTGTCCTGCGAAGCAAAGTGAACATGCTGCAGCAGGCGACTGGTGTACGAGACGTTTTGGAAAATGGTGTCCACCGTCACGTTTCCGTTCTGGGCGGCAATGTTCTTGGTCGCAGCGCACATCTTGATGAAGCACTGCAGAAGGATCTCGGACCAGGGGTCAATGGCAGAACCGAGTGTCTTGGCAAGCTCCTGAACCAGCAGGCAGCCGTTGGTGGACATTGTTGTTCGGAGCGAGTTTGCGACTTTGAGGATGCCGTCCAAAAGCGACTTGATGCCGGCGACGAAAGCAGCGTGAAACTCGTGCGGCGCGTTGCCCTTCAGAATGCGCCTCAGCTTAGTACAGTTCTTGTCACGCGCCAACCAGTTCTGCTCGCTTTCTTTTCCTTCATACCAAGGCGCCATATCGCGGAAGATGTCATCGAGCTCGCGCTGGGTGTAGATGTGGATGGGGTCCATGATGACAACCTCGGCGGGAGGAGGCTGCTCGGATGCATAGCTGTCTGCAAAACTCATGTCAGGCTGCAATTGCTCGGCGCGCTTCGCAGAAATGGATCGTGCGACGGGAGCCGGCGGCGGCGGCTGTGGCTGCGGTTGCAGTTGTGGTTGCGGGGGCAATTCGCCGCTCTTGGACATGGCGGCTTCGTCGAGGTGTGATGTAATGTATGCGGCAATGGCTTTTCGGACGTTCATCGCAACGAGCTGCTTCTTGAGGTTCGCCTTTGCGTGTTCCGGTGCGTGCCTGCCCGTGTGTCAGTCGTCTGCCCGTGTGCTCAATCGCCATCAGCCCAACCACACATACCCAAAGAGGTCGACGACGGCCTTCTTGGCAGCGTCGCGCACGCCAGCATCTGCATCCTCGAGATTGGCCACGAGCTGGTTGGAGTAGCTCTTGAAGGGCAGGCCTTTGGTCTGGTTCATCTGTGGTCACCACGGCATTAGACATGTCCTTTTTGTTTTTTGCTTGTTTCGGCTTGCGCGCCCGGCTCGGACAAAGCCTACCTTGACTACCCAGGCCATGGACGTCTCCTTAGCGCGCGGATTGGTGCTCTTGACCGCATCGTGGATCAGCGCGTCAATCTCGGCCGGGAACAATTCGTGCAAGTCGGCGAGAATCTGCGAGGCGGCGATGCGATGGCTCTCGCGCGCATCGCCCAGCTTGTCGGCGAGAATGGAGCAGAGGACCGACGACTGCGAGGTGAGGATGTGTGTTTCCTTTTGCAGTTGCAGGCGCTTGATGAAATGGCTGAGCGTCGAGAAGCCCGTCGAGACGAGGGCGGCCGAGGTGGCGGCGGTGCAGGCGATGCGGATGCACTCGAAGATGGGAGCCTGGCAGTTTTCAGGGACTCTGTTGTGTTTGATGCTCGACTTGAGGGCGCTGAAGAGGGCCAGGCGCGACTGGACGTCTGTCGACGGCTTCTGGAGGGCCTTGAGCAGATCCGACGTCTCTTTCTCCATGGTGGGCGCGAAGTAGGCCCTGGTGGTGGGAAATGGTCCTGCAATGTGAGTAGTGGCGGGGGTGGTAATGTGTTGTGAGCGTTGTTTATGACCCGCACAGCGCTGCCGTAGTTGCGTTCGCGCTAAGCCAGTCGCTCAGCAACCCGTGCGCCCTCCCTAACGCACAATCCTGGCGCCTCCAATGCCGCTCCACCTTTGCAACGCCCGCGAGAACAAAGCCCGCACCCCGCTGCCGCTACCACCACCACCACCACCACTACAGAGCCTGCTGTGGGCTGCATGCCCCATGCCCGTCCATGGCGCCTCATGTCCAGCAGACTCTTCGCCCGGCCGAGCTTGCCACGTCAGACCGAGACGGCGACTCCAACGTCCATCCATGTGCTCCGCCCTCTGCTTCGGCGTGGCAACGTCATTGTCACTTGCATTAGGAATTGCTAGGGCGACCAGCTGGGGGACGCCCGTCAGGCTGTTGTCCCGTTGCGGAATGATGTTCACTGCCATCTACATTAAACCCGCAAACAGCTGCGCATGACTGAGAACAAATGCTTTCTCAAGAGCGAATGACGTATTGAATTTATGCCAACACTACAGACAGTCTTTGCTGGGCTGGCTGGACTTGTTCGACTACGGACAGCTACAAAGACTCGACGTTCTGAGCATGCCTCTCTTCCCACACGTTCATGGCCTCCTCCGCAGCCTTGACTCCGCTGAGAGCCATGGCACCAAACGTGGGGCCCATACGGTTGGCCCCATCTACCTCGCTCAGCTCCATGCCACCGACAATCAGCCCAGGGACAATCTCGCGCGTGCGCTTGACAATGGCATCCTCGGCGGTGCGCATGTCCAGTCCGCGCATGCCGCCAAGCTTCTCGATCTGCTGCATCGAGACGAGACGCTTGACGCAAAAGGCGCCAAAGGGGCCGTCATGGCCCGTTGTAGAGATCACGAGGGGAGCATTGATGGTGTTTGGGTCCATGCAAGACTGGTCTACAAAAGCATTAGTGTGAGGCGTGGAGAAACGAATCGCTCAACTTGCCGTCGTGATGCATCGACACAAGAGTCCAGTTGGTGACCACGCCGGCAATGCGAACTGCATTGGGGTCGTTGGCGGTAGGTGCCGGGCGCGTGATGAGGTCCTCGACAGCCGTGGCGTTGAACAGCTTGACGTTGGGGAACTGCAGGACCTTGGACAGCAGAGTCGACGTAAAGAGGGCGGCGTGCTTGACGACAACAAAGTCGCCCTCGTCCTCGTATGGCACACCAACCTCATTCAAGAAGAGCTCAGCAGGCTTACGCATGACCATGGCGCTGAAGAGCTGACCACCGAGCCAGGCACCGCCACCGGGAGCCACGCCAGACTCAATGATGGCAATCTTGAGATCGGGGCGCTTGGTCGCCAGCGTGAAGGCGGTCGAGAGACCACAAGAGCCGGCACCGACAATGACAACGTCAGACTCGGCATAGGTGTCGAGGTCGGCAAAGTAGCGGCGGGTCATGGCACGAGAGACCTGAGACTCGCGAATGGGGGCAAAGGCGAAGCTGTCCCAGTTGTGCTCGAGCTCAGCAACAGTCTTGGCCTGGCCGCTGGCAGCAGCCTTGACAGCAAGATCTTTCTTCAAACCCACGTCTTTGGTGGCGCCATTGCCGTCGGCGGCAGTAGGTCTTTCGAACATGGCAGCAGGGGGAGACATGGTGGAGCTTGTTCAGGGGCTATTGTAATCTGGGAACTGTTAAAGCTGTTCTACGGTGGTAGAGACAGAGCAGAGCAGAGCATGATCCTTTTCGCAGGTATTATCCTGATCAAGTTCGAAACCGTATAATCTCAGAACGAATCCAGCCATGTCGGGCGCAAGACGAACATGGCTAGAGACGAACACCGGTTCATGCAGTATACTTAGCTGTAGAAAGTACCTAGGTGACTTGAGGACAACACCCGCGTGGGGAAAACACAGTCTGCACCGTGGCCGCCATACTTGAGCCGAGTATCTACATGCTGGTCAGTGTCTAGCGCAAGACTCGGAATAGGTGGATGAGTACGAATGCTAAACCGAGCTTTGGATTGGTATACACGGTTGATGCCGATATGAGGAGAAAGGAGCAAGAAAGGGCAATGGAGCAAGACTGGAGGAAGAAGAGGTTAAATATCGCAGAAAACCCCCCCCCCCCCACGTGCCGTCGCACATGTCGGTCCTCAAGTTCAACCGTTGGGGCGGGGTAGCTGTAGCTATCCACGTCGTGGACTGCATTAGACCCACAAGACTTGCCATTTCGGGGATATTGAGTGAGCACCGCGGACACTGTGATTTGCGAGAGTGGCACGCAGTGGCCGGACGCTTACGCTAAATGGTTGGACGTGTCGACGTAACTTTGAGCAAGAAAAAAAACCATTGCCGAAACGAAGGGCCGGACCAAACCATGGGCAATGGTACGATTCTGCTCATGCGTGTGCAATTGGTCAATGGTGCATGCTGTGTGATGTGCAAATGGATTGAGATGTGTGATTGGCGCGTTAGGAGCAGCTGTTTGATAGAATGACCGTATTGGTATACTTGTAATGCCATGCCAATCGGTATCCTCGGCTATAGGCACAGGTCGAGACCACGGGAATTTGTAAGTGTGCTGTAGCATTCCCTTGGTACAGTCGGAGTCAGAAAAGATCTGTATACGCCAACTAAACGGCATAAACATGTGTGTGTGTGTGTGAGATAAATTGTTCTTGTCATAACCGTCCTTGGTCTCTTGGCAGAAATTTTAATGGTAATGTTTCGCGGTTGAGGGCGTGTCTGGGCGCACGTACGGCATGGGAACATGCGGAGAGTGTCTACTATGGTAAATGCCATGTCCACTTGGGAATGCAATGCTGAAACTGGAAGGCGTCTAGAACCCGTCAGGGTGGTGGAATATCAGAGACGGTTGGCTATAGTGGTGTAGGCAAGGCTGCCAATACCCCTGGCGTAGCCCACACAGTGGCTCGGGGACCCAAACACTGCATGTCCGCATATGTCATTAGCCCATGCGGCGATAAATGTGGTATTATCAATCTGGATCAGGCGCCACAGATGGGGCAGTATGATTACCAGATGGCCATGGGCCGATGCGGCAGGTGGAATGGGGATTACGAGCGGTCAAGCACGGGGATTCATGGGCTTGGGCAGACATGGGTGCAAGGCGCAGCGTGTGGACCAAAGAGACGTGGTGTGATTGTCAGATGCCATGACACGGCTGGGGCCGCTCATAGGGCAGAGAGGATGCAGGCACTAGCAATGCAAGCAGCCATGACAGACGTTCAAACGTCGTGAGCATTGCGGAGGGAGCGGCTGAGACAAAAGTGCGGCAATGGGCCCCGGCGACGTGGTACGCGGTCTGGTTGTTGTTTGACAGTGGGCGTGGTACCACCAAGGCGAGGGCGTGGGTTGGCTGCGCGCAAATCGTGGTCGGGACCTGACTCTTGCGGCGGGCAGATCAGCAGGGACCGTTCGGCTGGATGAAACGAGTCTGTGTTGGCGTCGTTATTCCCGTTTGTTTCAGAAGTTGGGTGGGCGAGGATGACAAAGTGCCGAGGGGGCAGGGCAGGGCAGGGCAGGGCATTTGCATTTGCGGTAGTTGAGGCGACACGTGACCTGGGGCGGACGCGGTGCAGGTGCAGGCGTCATGGGGCGGGCGGCGGTGGTAGAGCAGCGGTAAGCCTGGGGATGCGCAAGAACAAACCACGCGTGGCGCCAGCTACGGGCTGTGCAGCAGGTTATTTTTTTAGTAGTCAGTTGGCTAAGTTGTTTTGGGCAGACTGGATGATTGTGCACGCTGCAAATAAAAAGGTCGGATATTTTACGGGGAGGAGGCGGGTCCTCCAATCTCGTGAGAGGCTGCGAGCCTTTTCCGCCGGCAAGATGGATGCGTGTACATGTACTGTATTCAGCCAGGCAGGCAGCGCTGAAACGGGCTCTTGTGCATGGCTGTTGGGCAGCGGCAGCGGCGGCGGCGGGGAGAGGCGATGTGTGTGTGTGTGTGTGTAGGCGTGTGTCGGGCAGACATAGTTGGGTTGATAAGAAAAGCGGACGCGTACCTGCATGAGGGAGCGGTGCAGCAGAGCCAGAGCCAGCGCCAGCGCCAGCGCCAGTGCGGGTGCGGTGAGCGGCGATTTGGCCTCTCGTATCGAGCACGTGACCGACACACCGACACCGACACCGACCAGCGATGAGATGAGACGAGATGGCGGTGGGCATGCAGCGACAGCGACGCAGACAGGAGGTTTGACGGGCGGCGCTGCAGTCTAGGCTCGACAAAGCCGTGGGAGCAGAGGGCGTATGGGCGGCCCAGCAGACGGCGATCTGCGATGGCGTGTGGTCTTGGCAGGGCCTTTACGCCCTTGGTGATAGCGCCGTGGAGCGCGTGTCGAGGGCTGACGGCCGGGCCTGCCATGATGTGAGGCATGCATGCGAAGCCGGCAGCAGCAGGGCGGACCAGGCCTCCCGGGGCGCGCGAGAGAAAGAGAGAAATACAGTATATGCGAGAAGACGGGAGCGAGGGGGCGCGAGGCCAAGTGCGTGCGTGTGAGTGTGGGTGGATGCATCGTGTCCATGGCGGGCTGGGCTGTCTGTTGCGAGTGCGAGCAGCACGAGAGGAGTGGTAGTAGCAGTAGTAAGAGAGACCCTGCCCAGCAGCCAAGCAAGGCGCACCGACCGTCGAGCGCGCGCCCCGCTCATTGGCCCGCTGCCTTGTGCCCGCCGCCTCCTCCACACACTGCCAGTGCCAGTGCCAGCGCCAGTGCCAGCGCCTGTTGGTATTGCTGCCACGGCTGCTCTCCCCCCCCCCAACTCTATGTACGTACCCTCGTCGCGCACAGAGGCCGTTCGCTCGCCAGTGCACCGACGCTCCCTGTTACCGCCGCCCGCCGCCGTCGATTCTGCGACGCTGCCCACGACTGCTGGCTCTGGCTCTGGCGCTGGGGACCGGCTGCCCAGACGACCCGCTCCCGCTCCATACCCCCCTCCACGCCCCGTGTGCTGGCTTAGAATTGCCTCGTCCCTCCCGACACGCTGCCCACCGGCGGCCCTCCGAGTCCTCGCGCGTCCCAGCAGCCTGTCTCCCTTGACTTGAGCCTTCCTGTCCCTCGCTCCCCCTGCCGCCACCATGGATAGTCCAGGAGCCTATCCAGAGTCCCCAATCGACGACGAGATTGTCTACCCGTGCAAAGGCTGCGGAGAGGTAAATGCCACCTGCGCGCCCGCTGCTGCTGCTGCTGCTGCTCCTCCTCCTCCTCCTCAACCAACAGGCGTCTCCGCTTGCTGACACTGCCCGACCAGATCCTCGAGGAAGGAAAAGCATTCGAGCTTGGTATGCCCTCTCCCTACTCGGCACCCGCGACCCTCACCACCGCCACCGCCACCACTACCACTACCACTACTAACCCGACCCAGCTGGCAACCGATGGCACATCGACTGCTTCCGCTGCAACACGTGCGGCACCCTGCTCGACTCGGACGCCAACCTGCTGCTCCTCGGCGACGGCTCCCTGATATGCAACAACTGTACATACAGCTGCAACCACTGCGGCAACAAGATCGAGGACCTGGCCATCCTGACGGGCGACCAGGCCTTCTGTGCCAATTGCTTCCGATGTAGAAACTGCAAGCGCAAGATTGAGAACCTCCGCTATGCCCGCACCTCGCAGGGCATCTTTTGCATGTCGTGCCACGAGTCGCTCATGGCTCGCCGGCGCAAGAAATCTAAAAAACCCCCCTCAATTGCCCCCAAGGTCGACAAGTCGCTGCCCGCCCTGCCTCCCCAGGAGCCCTCGACCACGTCCTCGTCCTTTACCCCAGACATTGACACGCCCTCGGATGCCTTTTCTGAACCCCCCACAACCGACGTGTCTCCCAGGCCCCCTCACCCAAAGAGAGGCGACTCGTCTTCCAACTTTAGGCGTGATGTATCTCCCGCCCCGGAAAGTGCTCGAAGAGGTTCGTCGGCCGCCTGTACTTTTTTTTTGTTGTTTGCCAAACTCCAAGCCTCGGCCGACTGACTTGATTTGCATAGACAACACCACGCTTCCTGCCACGACGTACGGCAAAGACACCGCTCGCTCAGATCCCGCCGATGCTGCCGACGACGGCATTCTCCTTCCCTTTGCGCTTGACCCCAATCCAGCGCCGGGCCCCTCACCGCTAGGTCGGCCCGCAAGCAGAATCAATGAGCGAACACCGGGAGCAAAGCCGGCCGGAAACGGAGAGGCCAAGAACGGCCGCGACTATTTCAACCGACCCACCGCCGACCATCGCGAACTGCTCAAGGAAAACGGCTCGCGCGACGCTTCCAGAGAGCGAAAGTCGACGCAGCCAAACCAGTCACAGAGCCCGCACATTGCGTTCCAAGAGAAGGAAAGACAGCCATCGGACACAATTGTCGATACCCTGAAGAAGAAGGATGGCGTCAACGAGTCGCCTTCAGCTGAGCCCCGGTCAAGAAGTCAGCATGCCACTCCCACCTCGGCCTCAGCCGCAGAGCCCTTCAAGCTGCAAGACGTTCCAAAGGGCAAGAAAGCAGACGCCAAGCGCAAAGAGTCAGATGATGGCAGTCCATTGCAGAGTCAGCAACAGCAGCGCAGTGTTTCCAGCAACATGATATCCAACCGCCTCAGCCGGCCAGTGATGGAGTCAGCATTCACATCCTCTCCACCTTTGGGCTCGTCAGACTCGCCTGATAGTTCGGAATCCTCTTTTGGCTCCAGCGCTGTTGTTGAACGGCCTGCACGCGGCGATTCACTCAACCCGGGTAGCCTCAAACCTCCCGTTTCTCTCTCCCACCACGACAGACCTGATGGCTCGCCTACAACCCCGACCATGAGCCATCCGGAGCGATCTTCGTCTGCAGCTGCAGCTACGGCACAGCTGAATGCCGGTCTGGGCATCACCGCTCCCATGGATCCACAATCGGCCAAGTCTCTGTCGGATGTCCCTGTACTTCCAGCACGTTCAGGTGGCCGACCGCCCCCGCCGCCTACGGCCGAATCATTCACCTCGCCACGCGCTCCACCACTGCCACCTGGTTCACAGGTGCACAAGCCCAACGAGTCTTTGGGCAGTGCTCATAGCGAAGCTTCTCGAGATGCAAGCACTCCCGGCGGTCTGCCTCGCTATAGCCACCAAGGCGACTTCTCCATGGACGAGGACTTTGCACGATTGCTTGGCAGTCAAGACGGCAGAGATGACAAAGACAGTGGCGTTCTCAGGAGAGTCTCGAATGCCGTGTCAAAGCATGGACGCAGTTTTAGTGATCGCAGTTCAGTCACCTCGCGAGGAGGCCATAAGAAGTGGCCCACCAACGGCTCCATTGATATCAGCAGTCCCACGGTGGCTTCGCCAGACACCAAGGAGGAGGGCGCAAACTTGAGAAACGAGCTCCGTCGCGCACAACAGCGCATTGCAGAGCTCGAGACGGAAAAGAATGGGTTGCAAGAATCGATGCACAGTGCCGCCGACATTAAACAAGCCAACACGGTGTTGCGAGAGAAGCGAAACACCATGGCTGTCTTGGACACACAGCGCGAAATGGTGATCCGCGAGCTGGAAATCATGACTGAACACCTCAAGCGCGCCAAGAGCAGTCAAGGTTCCATGGACATTGGCCAGCTCAAGTCAGACATTCTCAAAGACTTTGGCATCTCGTTGCAGAAGCTCAAAGACAACTTGGGCCACCAAATAGAAGACTTGATCACCAAGCGCTCAGAACTGACCGAGGAGATTTCCAATCTAATACAGATGAAAGACAAGGGTTTCCAGGAGTACGAGTCGCTCACGGCAGCCAACGCCAGGCTATCTGCCATGAACCGCGACCTGGTAGACAACATACAGACCAACCTGAAGAACAACAAGAAGGGTGGGCAGACCACGGAGACTGCCCCCAACGGTCTGGGCATATACAACGCGCAGCAAAAGGGTGGCAAGTCCGAGGTTTCGGTAGAAGCTCCATCTATACCCCACGATCATTCGTATGCCAATATCCACGAGACCGAGGCCGAAGCAACGGTTGCCCAGCCACAAGTCGTCAACATCCGGAAGACTGGCAAGCCTACCAAGTTCTCGACGTGGAAAAAGGGCAGCCAGGCCATCACAAAGAACGTCACCAAAGGCTTCAAGGGAGCCTTTGGGTCAGACCAGAAGCAGGACGACTACAACACCATCAAGGTCATTGGAACTCCCTACGGGTCAGTGCACCAGCAGCCTGATTTTGCTTCCATGTCCAGCATGTCCAGCTCCATCAAGAGCAGGGAACAAGATCAAAACGCCCAACGCGGTTGGTTCAGCAACAAGCCTACAAATACCAGACCGGGTCAAACGCAGTACAGGCCTATGCAGCACAACGAGAGTAACATCAACTTGGCCGCTGATGCCAGCACTGTGCTATTTGGTTCCGATTTGACGGCGCGATGCGAGTTTGAGAAGCAGATGATTCCCCGCATCGTTAGTCGATGCATTGAAGAGGTCGAACTACGCGGCATGGATGTGGAGGGTATCTATCGTAAGAGCGGCGGTACCTCTCAAGTAAATCAGGTGCGCAAGGGCTTCGAGACAGACTCGGAACACGATATTTCCGACCCGGACTTGGACATCCACTCCATCACCTCTGCACTCAAGAACTATTTCCGCAGGCTTCCTGTGCCGTTGATTACATTTGATGTCTACGACCAATTCTTGGAAGCTGGCCGTAAGTGGTTCACCTTGACCTTTGTTCTGATAGTCACTAACTCTCTTCCAGAACTCGAAGAGCCAGCTGCCCAAGTCAAGGCTTTGTCTGCTGCTGTGGGCGAAATCCCCAAGGCCCACCGCGACACTCTTCAGTTCCTCGTGTTTCATCTGTCGCGCGTCATTCAGCATCAAAGTGATAATTTGGTATGTGCTATCCGTACATGTTTTGATATTGGCCTTTACTAACATGTCTTCAGATGACGCCGTTGAACGTTGCTGTCGTTTTCGCCCCAACCATTATGCGACCCATGGATATTCAGCGCGAGCTCACCGACGTTCAAGCGCAGCGCGTTGCCGTGCAGGCGCTTCTTGAGAACTACAAGGCCGTTTTTGGTGACGAGTAGACGCCTTGCAGCAGCAGCCTCAGTTCCGGCCTGTACGGCTGTCACAAGTCTACAGAGCAGTATATGCATCTCTCCGTACAATACGAGCTACACCAGGACAGTCTCTACATACTGATTGTGTTTATAGACTCTCAGTCTAGCTCTCTTTTGAGAGCCGGCTGTGTGTCAAGGGTCGTGAGACGCTGGCCCAACCAGGCTACGTCAAACGAGGGGAAGACCCTTTGATATCAGAGAGCACGTACCCCTTCTTGCTTGTCTTCGCAGTTCTACCTATCTTCAATCTTTCCACGTCAAAACTGGTGTTATAGTCTGGGTGTCGAAAGCTTGTTCTCTTCTATCTTCTTGTACCATACAACCCTGCACTCGATTTTGGATGACTCTCATACCAACGCATGTCAGGGATGTATCGACGGCGATGAAGGGGATTGTTATTATACCCTTGAGGGCTTTTTGCTTGGTCAGCTTAGCGTAACGTGCGGCGTAGTTATAGATTCATGAAAAAAAGCAGCATATGATGCGCTTTCTGTTGGTCGACTCGGAGTAGACTCAGGGCTGAGGCAGTACGTGTTCTAGAACCTGACAATTCACATGCTCCACCAACGTGTGCTGTTCCTAGGCTTGGCGGGTGTGTGACGATGCGCTAGCGCGCTCACAATGACGTCACGGCATTGTCCACTAAGCGAACAGACATGTGAGGGGAGCCTGTTTCCGACATCACACGATTGCTCACCAACTTTTCACAGCTTTCCGGTATCCATCAAAACATCTGCTCCCCGTATCGCCGTCTGCCCATTGCCGCCTCCTCGCACACCCCCAGATACCTCTCATCTTACTCTCAACACCATGTCGTACGCAGAGATGGCTGCCAAGGGCCCCAAGCAGAGCCCCGAAGAGGTAAGAATCTGAAGATTTGACGCATGTGGTAGCTAACGATGAGCAGGCGTAAGTTTATCGTTGCTGTTTTCGGATCAATGTCTGGTACATGTAGGATTAGGATGAGGGCACATAGCAAGAAGCACCGCTTGCCAGCACAACTCAATCCTACATCCAGGCATTGGCAGCTCCAAGCAGAAAGCTGACACAAACAACAGTCGTGCTCCCGCCCCGCCACAAGTCGAGCACACGCCTGAAGACAGTGTTCACTCGCTCGTCGACGTAGACAGCCCCCACATTTCCTCTGTGCCCTCCGACTACGAGTCTCAATCCGTCAAAACCGACACGCAAGCTGAGCGCATAGCGCGCGAAGAGGAGGTTAAGAAAGAGGCCGAGCAACTGAAAGAACAGGCCGCTGCAAAGAAGGAATCTGCAAAGGAAAAGGCCAAGAAGAATGCTGATCATCCTGTTGTGATTGGCAATGCTGTTGGACTTGCTATTATTGGTGGTGTCGTCGGACTCGGCGCATACAGACAGTATGCGCGCGGCGAGTTGACCGGCAAGGTTGTCGCTGCCTGGGCCGCTGCAGTTGGACTGTTCGGCGTTGGCGATTACTACGTCAGCCAGTATGTTGAGCCCTTCTTCTGTATGCTGCAATTGGTGCATGTACTGATATTTCGACAGATACTTCTTCAAGCGCAACCCCCCGCAATAAATATAGCTGTACCATCTTCATCTAGGATCGCACACCATTCCATGGTGACCACGCTTCGTACGGCGGATCTGACGATTTCATTCCATCTAGCATTTGATGGCCTGGCCAGTCTTTATCAAGCATGTCAGTACTTTACAGCAAGCTAGGAGTTTTCGACTCGGGGTGGTCACGAAGGAATGCTTCTCCAATTCCACTCTTGTACATACAAGCCAACGTTCAATATACCCTTTCTACCTCCAATGTGCCTTTACTGCTACATGTGAATGATGTACTGTTATGATCGTGATGTGAATATGCGAATGCTTATGTTTTGCCAGCTGGGCACGTGACGTCGATTGCCAGTCGCGGAGATCCCTGCTCTGTCCGCTTAGAAATGCAGGTCCCATAACTTTTACCATGGTGACGACAGAGCCCTCGCACCCCGTCAACATCCGCCACGACTCTCGTTGACCATCTCTTCTTTGTTTCATATCTTTCTGTATCATGTTCCGAGCAGCCCCCCGATTAATTGCGCGTCCAGCGCTACGCACCGCGTCACTGCGCCCCATCGCACCCGCCAGGCGGTACATCAGCACAGCTCCGCCATCACAAAAGTCGAGAAGTTTCAAGAGCTTGGTTGCGCGGGTGGGCATTGCAGGCGCTATAATATACTACTACAACACTACAGATGTGTTCGCGGAAGAGCCTAGGCGTATGTTTGAAGTTGGAAAGACTTGTTGGGATCAAAGAGCTGACGAGGGTTCTAGAACTTGTCCAGCCACTCCCGGAAACCGAAGTCGAATCTGAGCATCTCCCCACTATCGAGTCCATTGCCGAGGAACGCAAGAGAAGGCAGGCAGTACAAGAGCAGCTAGAAATTCAGAAACAGAAGGAAGCAGAAAACGCACAGCAGAATGCCGAGCAGGGCGGTATAGAGGGACTAGAAGAAGAGGCGGACCAGCAGGGCGCTTTCAACCCCGAGACCGGCGAGATCAATTGGGACTGTCCTTGCTTAGGAGGCATGGCTCATGGCCCTTGTGGTGACCAGTTCAAGGCTGCATTCAGCTGCTTTGTCTATTCCAAGGAGGAACCAAAGGGCATGGATTGTATCGACAAGTTCAAGTACGTTTACACTTTGCGGGCGCTCCAAATGTTCGAGCTGCAAGATCGGACGAGTGCTAACAAGCCACAGGGATATGCAGAATTGCTTCCGTGAATACCCCGAAATCTATGGCTCAGAACTTGATGCCGATGCTGATGACGATGCTGATGAGGAGACGGCTATCGCTCCAGCATCCGCTGAGACACCAAGCCAGTCTTCCAACGCTTTCGCCCATCAAGCAGACTCGGCACCCAAGGCTACGCCAAGCGACTACTCTGCATCGGCTCAAGGCAAGGTTTCTGGCGAGCCCAAGTCGAAGCCACAAATTCCAGACGGCGGCCTTGTACCCGAAGAATACAAACCCGCGAGGACACATAACCCCGTTTTTGACGCCAGGGACGACATGAGCAGCGTGGAGAGCGAGAAGAGCAAGCAGACGCCAAAGGGCTCAAGCGATACCGAACGAGCAAAGAAGGCCGATGCCCAGGTCAAGAGCCAAGAACCAGTCAGTGAGAGCAAGAAGATTGTGCCCAAGGCCAGCCACGATGCTGGTGAACAAGGTACTGCGAAGCTTTCGAGGTAGGACCCAGTCTTGAGAGAAATCTCACCCGGAAAGGTCTCACCTGTCTTGAAAGATTTGCTCTCCATGTACTATATTCAAGTGGCATAATCAGTACATCTTTTCATGGTTTTTAGTCATGGCGACTAGGGGAAAAGAGAGCGTCTCTCCCGTCAAGTATTGAAACCCTTCTCTCTGCTTGTAGCGACTGGAAACAAGTGTATATTAGTATATGTACTTTTGAACATGACGATGATATGAAGTATATCCAGGTTTCCCCAGATGGTAGCTGTGTTATCAAAAAGGTGCAGACATGTAACGTCCAACTCGAACGCAATTACAACGAAAGGTATGATTATGCATCCAGCGCTTGAGCTTGGCACTAAGAAGGATTTTAGTATATTAAAGGCACTTGTAAAAAGAGGAGGAGGAAGAAGAAGACATACCATCTGCCAATAAACACCCCTCTTCTTCAGCAAAGCCTGATGGTCGCCCTTCTCCAACACCTTGCCACTACCCAGCACAAATATAACATCAGCCTTTTGAATCGTAGCCAGGCGATGGGCCACAGAAACCACAGTGCGGCCCCCCTCGCCCGCCGCGCGCTCAATCGCCTCCTGGACCAGCTTCTCCGACTCGGAGTCGAGAGACGACGTCGCCTCGTCGAGAAGCAGTAGCTTGGGCTGCCGCAGCAACGCCCGCGCAAGCGATAACCGCTGCTTCTGGCCTCCGGACAGCGACATGCCCTTGGGGCCCAGCCGCTGCGCATAGCCCTCTGGCAGCGAGGTGATAAAGTCGTGGATCTGCGCATGGCGACACGCCTCGTGGATGTCCTCATCCGAAGCCGCGTCCACGGCCAACGCAATGTTCTCCCGAATCGTGCCCTGGTACAGCGTGGGCTCCTGGCTCACAAGCCCCATGTGCCGCCGGTACGCAGCCGCATCCAAACCCGCAATGTCCTGGGCGTTGCACAGGATGCGGCCGGCGGACGGCTCGTAGAAGCGCTCTAGCAGCGCGATGACGGTCGATTTCCCGCTGCCGCTGGCGCCAACCAGCGCGGCGAACTGGCCGGGCTGGATGCTCAGGCTGAGATTCGAGAGCACGCGTGTCGAGCGGGTTGGGTACGTGAAGCTCACGTTTTGGAAGTCGATGCCGATGCCGTTGCGAGACGGGTTGAGGTCGAGCTGAGTGGACGGGGAAGAAGAGGCCTTGCTGCTGCTGCTGCTGCTGGGCTGTGGACGCATGCTCAGGATGCGATTGGCCGCACCGGTTGCCTGCGCCATGTTAGGCGCAAACGAGAAGAAAGTGCCTGCAGCCACGGCGCCGGAGATAATGGCCTGGTAGATGACGAAGAAGTCGACGTTGGAGTACTCGCGCGCCGCAAGCAGCGTGCCGCCATACCAAAACGTCAGCGCCATGCACGCCAGCTCAATGCTGTCGCTGCCCGCGAAAACAAGCGTACTGTATTTGGCCCTGGAAACCGCTTCGCGCACATGGCGCCGCAGCAGCGCATCGTACCGGTCGCCTATCACGTCGTGCATCAGCAGACTGAGCACGGTGCGAAACGCGCCGACAGCCTCAGCGCCAAACTGGCTGCTGTGCTCGAACACGCGCGCATTGCTCTTTTCAAACTCCATTTCCAGCCGCATCCGCAGATAGCCTGCTGCGAGGATCAGGGGGAGCGCAGTGAAGATGCCCACGAGCGAGAGTTTCCACCCGTACATGAAGGAGATGATGATGCAGCCTGCGACGTTGACGACGGCGATGAGTGCCATGCCCATTTCCGTGGCCATCAGCTGCTGCAGCTGCGTCGTGTCTGCGCTGACGCGCGAGGTCAGAGAGCCCGGGCTGTGCGGCTGCTCGTCGAAAAACGCCATGTGTTTGCGCATCAGGTTGCGCAGGTACTCTTGTCGGTACTGCAGCGCCACGGCTACAGCCATGAGATGGCACGCGAAGCCCATGAGGTAGTAGGATACGAAGGTGCCGCCGGCCAGCACGCCGAACATGCCCGCCCAGAAATTGCCTTTGTCGACGAGCTGGTCGGGCGGGAGTGTGAAGACGTTGACGACTTGGGCGAAGATCCACGCTTGCAGTGGCCATACGGCGCCGCTGGCTAGGATGCCCAGACTGGCCATGATGAAGAGCGCCCAGTGGCTGCGTTGCTCGTATAGCAAGCGTCCGAGACTCGCAAGGAGACCTCGTTGCTTGTACGCTGCTTCTTGTTCTTCTGTTTTCGGGGCGTCGCTGCTGCTGCTCGTCATGGTTGTAGTCATCTTCTGCTTGTCCTCGACCACTTCGCTATCCGCCGTCTTTATTTGCCGCAGCACCAGCTCATCAGTCTCCGTCTCAGTCTCCGCCTCAACAGCGATGTTCTGAGCGTGAACGAGCCCCGCATACACACCCGCGGGTATACCCAGTAGCTCATCGTGAGTACCCTGTTCGACGCGGTAGCCCTTTCGCAACACGACGATTTTGTGTGCGCGCTTGATAGTCGAGAGGCGGTGGGCAATGACGATTGTGGTTCTGTTCTTGGATACGCGGTCGAGGGCCTGCTGGACTATGCGTTCTGTGCGGACGTCAATGGCGCTGGTGGCTTCGTCGAGAATCAGGATGGGCGGCTGCTTGATGATGGCTCTGGCGATGGCGATGCGCTGGCGTTGGCCGCCGGACAGCTTGATGCCGCTCTCGCCTACCAGCGTGTCGTAGCCGTCTGGCAGCTTTGCGATGAATTCTTCGGCGTAGGCTTCGCGGCAGGCTGCTTCCACCAGGGCGAGCTTGTCTTCTTTGGGTAGGCCTTCGTAGCTTGTTCCGCTGAGCCCAAAGGCAACGTTGTTGTAGAGCGTGTCGTTGAAGAGAAAGGGCTCTTGTTGCACAAGCCCGATTTGAGAGCGCCACCACTTGCTGTCGACGTGCTTGAGGTCTGTCGTTCCGATCTTGATGCTGCCGGTACATGTGTTGGGGCCTAGGTCGGGCTCTTCCTCTTTACTCTTGTCGTCGTTTGTCTTGGTGGCTTCGTTGTCTTTAGCCTCATCAGCGCTACGCTTCTTGAACCATCCAGACTTTTTCGCGGGCTCATCGGTCTTGGGTTCTGCAGCGCGAGCGTCGGTGGGGTTATCGATCGGTGCAGCTGAGGCTGTGGTACCAAGGAGGTCGTACCATCTCTGCACTAGGCCGACAATCGTAGACTTGCCTAACAGTGAAGATATGTCAGCTCATACATCAAAGGCTTCATCCTGTCACTTACCACTCCCTGATGGACCGACAATGGCTGTCACCTTGCCCACTTCAAATTCGACATCGAGCCCCTGAAGTATCTGGACATTCGGTCTGCTCGGGTACGAGAAACAGACATTCTGGAACGTGATGTTGGCATCGGCGGTGACGTCTGGTTCTTTCAGGCCAGAAACATCGGGAACGGGTGCATCGATGGTGCTGAACAGGTCCGCAGCCGCAGTGGCAGCCTTTGCAATGGCCACGACGGGGCTAACCACTCTACCCAGGTTCATGACTGCCATCATGACCGCAAACAAGACGATTACAATGGTCCCGACATCAGTATTCTTTCCCTCGGAGTACTGCTTGATGCCGAACCAAAACGCAATGCCCATAGTGCCGTACTGGCCGACCATCATGGGTGCAAAAAAGAGGCCCGTCAGAGGCGCCGCTTTGCGCAGATTCTTCGCCCCTTTCACCAGCAACTCCTCATGCTGGCGTGCGAGCTTGGCCTCTGCGCCAAAGGCCACCACCACGCGGATAGACGAGAACATTTCAAACGCCACGGCAGTGGCTTCGTCGCTGTACTTTTCGCTCGCCTTGTGGATGCGCATAAACGGCGGGATAATAATGCCGCTCACAATCAGGATAAACGGCATGCATGCCGAAGCAACCAAAGTGAGCAGTGGGCTCTGGATGAATGCCACGACGTACGCCCCGATTATGAATGCGAGAGCCTGAATCACCGTGGTGAGGTGCTGTGATATGGCGAGTTGGACTGTGTTTGACGACGTGGTGATGCGTGTGGAGACTTTGCCTGGGCTGATGGTATCGATGACGCTGACGGGCTGTTGGAACAGCGCGCGGAGATATGCCAGGCGCAAGGCAGCCGAGATGCGGAGGCCGCTGATGCGGATAGTAAACTGTACCTTTTTTTCAGTACCCTGGTGGTGTAATTGTATAGCCTGGCCCATACCATTGATATGTAGGAGAAGGCGAATTTCGCAATGAAGAGATACACCAGGTACAGTGTCAAGTTGTTGACTTCATCTTGGAACTCGCCGGACGTAACGCTTGTCCCTGGGGTGAAGTAGTCGGTGAAAGTTCCCACGAGCTGGCCTGGAGATAAATCAGTAAGCTTTGCAAGTCGTACTGCTGGGTTTATCGAGTAGAAGCTCACCAAAGACGACAGTCATCAAGGGGAACGCAACACCCGAGCCAACGGATGTTATTGCACACAGCAGGATGAGCAGATAGTCCAACTTTGTTCCGTAGGAAAACACACGCTGCATACCTCTCTGTTAGCAATGCACTGGGCCAGCCGATCATACTGTACGTACAAAGTAGTTCTTGAGGCCATCGTTAGATGTCTCCTTTGCCTTTGTCGGTACCACGCCCTCCTTCTCAACACCCTGCACAACACCCTCTCTCTCCACCTTCTCCTTCTCAACACTCAGTGCCGCGACAGCATCTCGATCTCCGCTCGGATTCGCAGTAACAGGAGTAGTCAACGGACCGTCTTGAGCCTGCTTATCCATCATAGCCATGAACAAACAAGAAGCGTAAAAAAGAAAAGAACTCAAGTTCCAGCTTCACGCCAAAACCCGTACAGTAGATGCATTAAATATATATAAGACGGAGAAAATCGTTTCTACAAGAAACAAGGGGGGGGAGGACGGGAAAAGGCGGCAAGAGTGTCCGAAATGTTGGTGCCTGAAAACACATCGCGCGACTTTGACCTTGGCTTTTGCTGCATTACTTAGTAGCGTGTATCACGGGTAAACGCCACCACCACCACCACCATCACCACATACACAAGCCAAGTCGGAAACGCATCCATCCAACCGTTTTTTTTTACAATCCCAATTTGTTTACGCCCGAGCAGCAGACCCGACCTCGTAAAAGTAAAGCGCTTAACTGTGGCCTTAGCTAGTCAGTTCTCAGTCATGATTCTTCTAATATGCCCTCCCGAGAAATCCATCCCCCAAGCACAGGCTTTGAAGGAGGGGGGGGGGGAGAGAAAAGGGCGCGTGCGAGGGATACACTAACCATTGTATATCTCGCTTAAGCCGGGAAGGTTTGTTCCTAATCGAGCGACTACATGCGAACTTGGCAATTTCCATGGGGGGGGGGGTCATTTGCGCGTGTTATTCGACAGCGAGTCTATTTTTTTTCTCTCGATTATTATGCAGAGAATTAGGGCAGTTCATGGGGCTGGGATGGGTTCTTCTGTGAGAAGAAAGAAGAGGAGTACACTGCGCTTGTGGCATGTTAGGTGCAGTTTGTACGTAGCTGGAAAAGTAGGAGATACATTGAAACCGAGCAAAAGCCAAAGCCAACTGACACGTGATCCCCGCTCGCTGGTCGGCACACCGATGGCTCCGACATTTGCGCGTGATGGGCGCTTTCTACCCGTTTTCACGCGATGTTTCTATACATGGCTTGTGCTAGTGCGAAAGACTGGGCACCCGCTCATCATGGCTAAATCGAGATAAACCCGCAGTAAGTAAGGCAAATCGGTTTGCCCATGTAACCGAGGTGGGTCCTACTCTATTCCGAATCTGGATATGCTTACGGCCAAGCGGCGGTACGCGATACAATTTCCTGATTAAGTATGACGTGTGATGGTCTACTATATCATTACCGCCTTTGCCAAAAAAAAACGGCCAAATATAAAACGCTACTCAAAACGATCCAACCATGAAACGCCTCAAATTCTTAGTCATGTTGCCGCGTTGCTATCCCTTCTGCTCTTACATTCCAACTCGCACTCGCATCTCCCATTCCTTCTCTGTTCTCCATGCCCCTCAAAGCACTCACATCCAGATTGCGTCTCGCGACTTCTTTTCGCTTCTCCAGTCTCACTAGGCTCTCTATTAGTCGCTCCATCAGCCACTCGCTCTCGCTGCTTCCTGATACCAAGGGACTGTGGTCACCGAGCCAATCCCAATTCACTAGCCCCTCCTCGTTCTCATCGTCCATTGGAACGTGGTCTGTGCCGAGATAGCGGTCGAGGTAGCGATCGAGACGGTCGGGATGTGTAGCACGGATCAGGCGTGTGAATTCGACCCATTCCTCGTACGTGTAGCGTTTACGCGGTTGCTTGAGGTCCTGGGAGACTTTCTGGATGCACAGGGCGAGTTGGCGCGATGTCGAAGTGATGCTCGGGGTCTGAGGAAGAATGGTTTCGGGGGATGCTTCTGCGTCGTCGGTGGGTGTGTCGCCAAGTCGCTGACTCTCTGCATCTCCAGGTGCACCGGTATTGCCTTCGTGCAGACTAGAAGCATTCAGAGCTCCGTCCTCGGACCCCGTGCCCCCTATTTCAAACCCTTTCTTCATGCGCCGCCTTCGCGCGCGGTTTTCAGCCCAGCGTTGCAGCCAGTAGAGGAGCCAGGGGTGCTTGTCGAGGAATGCACGCCATATGCCTGCTTTGGGCAACACGGTAAAGTCGGCAAACTCATCGCTCCATTTCTTGAAGTTTGCTACTACCGTGTCTCCCAGGTCAGACACGAGAATCGTCATGGTTGGGACGGCGATTAGGCTCCAGATGACGAAGAAGCAGCGTCCAGAATTGCTCTTGGGCGCGAGATCGCCATACCCAATGGTGAGCAGGGAGACGTAGCAAAAGTATAGAGATTTAAAGTACGTCATTCCCTGGTTGTCTTTTTCCGTTTGCCAGAATACAATGGCACCGACGCACCAAAGGATTAAGAAGGTGGTGACTGACCAGAACAAGGCCATCCATCGCTTGAACCTCTTGGACTCGGCTTGAATTTTACGCATAACCTCGAAACGGTCCTTCTCTTCTTTCAAAAGCAACAGCTTCGATTTGGGCGCGATGCCCAGGGCTCTCGTGACGCGCGGAAGAGCCGACGTACGATGAGCGCCGGCATCCATGGGTGTACGAAAAGGCCGTGGTTGACTAGGCGCAGAGATCTGAGGGAACCCCAGTTTGCGCTTCCTCAGGAGGTGATGGGCTTCGCGTTCACGGCAGCGAAGATCAAAGGAATTAGTCACGGTGCGTTCGGCTACGCTTTCGCGCATGCGATCGATGTGTTTCTGGACAACCTTCTGGTCACTTAACTCGCGGACCGCGGTATACAGTGATGAAACGATGAGGGCTAGAATGATTGTGCCTCCAACCGAGTAGGGGAAGACGATGCCCCTCGTCACATTGGTCGTCGGTACCAAGTCACCGAAGCCGACTGTGAGAATTGTGACATCGCAAAAGTACAAGGCATCCGCGAATCGCCAACTCTGGTTGCCAGCGTTTTGTTCAAGTTTGGCAAATACCGCAGATCCGCCTCCTAGCCAGATAAAGAAGGTCATGGTCTGTAGGATGAGCGTCCTTTGGCTCTCACTCAGCGCAAAGTTGTCCGGATAATGGCCCAGGAAGTATCCCAACATATTGATCATCAAGAGCATGGAGCATACCGTGTAGAAGACTGCTGCCGCGATCGCGTACCAAAATCCTTGAGTATACGTTTCTTCCGGACGGAGCGGAGGCGTGTAGACTTGCATACATATGGTAATTGCAATAAGAAATCCGGACGACAAATACCAGAGTATCACGGTGGCTGGCAGGGCAATGATGTATCGGATTCTTTGTGTAAAGTTTAAGAGCAGGAAAAAGTTGCCCAGGAAGCCGCAAATCAGCGAAACAACGTTGATCCAATAGCACCTGAATCTCGTCAGTCAAGATTATCCTGAAAGAACTTTGGGGTGGATTGAGCCAGTGAGAGTTGAGGGAAGTCTCTGGCAATCCCCAAACTCGACCTACCATCGTGGATCATCAAAAGGTACCCCTTCAAAATCGGTCAGGACTTCCCCGTTGATGATGTTCCGCTGTCTCCAAGGCGTTACCAGGGCAGCAATAGAGCTCACGTTGGCCAGCGGCCCCAGAGTAGCCGCCAGAAGCGGGATGCCGGTACTCGCAAACCACCAGTCGGTATCTTCACCTTCCCATTTCTTCCACAAATTCCACCATTTTTTGTTCTGCTTCTCTTCCTCGTTTTTCAAAGCTCGCGACCCCCGGGTTTCTGTCTGAGCATGCTCCTGTCCATGTTGGGAGGCTGTCGGCGTTGTCGGCTCTTGGTCTTTATGCGGCATGATTAATCAGAGGCAGCTTCATTTACCATCCCGGCACTTGAATGGAATGCAATAGAGTGTGTCGCGCGCCCAAACACCGGATGTAGACTGAGAAGATGGAACCGCAGGAGCTTGAACTCGTCCACGTAAAAGTCCAAGAGGGGTATGCCGCTGCAGTTCCATGTGCAGATGCAAGTGCTGGGACAGTGGTTTCCCTGATGACTAGCAGCGGCGCTAGTGCTGGAAATCACCAGATGCTGTGTCAGCGTTACCAAGGCACGAGATGAACAAATCGAGGAAAGGAGAAGAAGGAGATTGGCCTTGGACGCACTTCCGGGCGCGCAAGCATCCCAAGAGTACGTTAATAACATGGCCCGACTCTCGGCTAACAGCGCATGGCGGAGACAAATGGCAGTGCAAGGCTGCTGCTAGGGCCGATCAGCCGCCTACGAATGCCAAGCTTTCGTATCGAGACTGGCTTGACGGATGTCATGACATGGGTCGAGTGGTGGAAATGCCTTGTGACGGCCTGCTCTACTGGCGCTAGTGTATATACGTCTTGTATTGTACATGCGTTAATTCTGGTATCTATTTGTTCTCTACTGCGACTTGAGCTTCTCTGTCAGCTCAGGCACTTTTTCAAACAGGTCGCCGACAAGGCCAACATCTGCAACTTGGAAGATTGGCGCATCGGGGTCCTTGTTGATCGCGGCAATGACCTTGCTGTCCTTCATACCCGCCAAATGCTGAATGGCGCCAGAGATACCGGCGCAAAGGTAGAGCTGCGGCGCAACGTTCTTGCCAGTCTGGCCGACTTGCAGACTGTTGTCGGCGAAACCGCTGTCGACCGCTGCTCTTGACGCACCGATAGCCGCACCGAGCGCGTCTGCCAGCGGTGTCATGAGCTTGTCAAACTCCTCCTTGGACTTGAGACCGCGTCCTCCCGACACAACCTTTTCTGCTGAGCCGAGATCAGGGCGGTCCGACTTTTGGAGGTCTTCAGATATCCACTCGGTGAGGCACTCGGCCTTGGGGTCGACGCCTTCCTCGACGGTTGCGTTTCCGCCCTCGGTCTCTGGCGCAGGGAACGCGGTGCCTCGCACGGTAATGACCTTGGTGCTATCGGACGACTGGACCGTCATGATGGCGTTGCCGGCGTAGATTGGGCGAACAAAGGCTGCCAAATGTCAGCACTGCACCTCGTTGTGTTGTATGTCTCCACCCACTATCTTCACTCTCAATGCCAGTGATGTCTGATACTTGCTGCGAGTCGAGGAGCGCCGAGACACGGGGCATTATGTTCTTGCCAAACGCCGACTGGCCAGCAATGACGTGTGTGTATCCGCCCTTTTTAATGTTCTCTACCAGGAGGGGCGCATAGTTCTCGGGGAGAGACTGGGACAGTGTCAGCTCATACGACACAATGCCTGCTTGCGCTACTGCTGCTGACCTTGTCGTATGCGCCATTCTCTACGTAGACGACCTTCTCTACTCCCTTGGCTTTGGCGGCCTCGTCGGCGGCAGACTTGACCCCGCTTCCAGCAACAAAGGCCGTTATTGAGCCTCCAATCTTTGTTCCAGCTGTGATGGCGGCCAATGACTGAGGCAAGATTTTGCCCTCCTTTTGCTCGAGGATGGCGAGGGTAGATGCGAGACGGGCAAAGGCCGAGTACTGGGGCACGATGGTGGGTTGCGGCTGGCTAAGCCGAGTTCGAGCCACGCGGAGGGCAGACTGGCGTGCGACGGAGAACATTGTGGGCGGAATTGGCGCAGCACCCGGATGGCTGAGATCGCAATCGAAACGGATCCAGAGTTGACGCGGGCAGACGGAGGATCTGGTCTCGAGACGGGTGAAATCAAGCCCAGCGGCGCGAGGAAGTATGCATGGAGAACCTCGGTTTGCGGGGGCTGGATATCCGCCGCTAGCCCGTCGATGCGGAGCGGCGGGTTGGTCACGTGAGCGGCTGCTCCTTAGTGGACTTTTGCGTGTGCTTGGGCGGTTGGAGAGCATTGGCACCGCATCGCGAACTTCAGACGCGACTTCAACAAACCCCATCGCTCCCCCCCCCCAAGCCCCCGCCCTCATTTGCCCCCCCACACGGCTGCAATCCGCCCGTTGCCCTCATCGCGATCGCGCTCCGTCTCCCGTCCCCTGCGCTCCGCGATTTCCTCGTGCAGCACCGCGTAACGCCTTCCAGCGCCCCATCGCAACGCAGGTGTTGCTCACCACCCTCCCAGCCATGTCTGATGACGCGACAGCAAGCGCATCCGCGCAGGACTCTGCCCTCGCTGGAGAAGGCGCCACAGACGTGAGTGCGCTTGATCAAGGTACGTCGCAGCTCTTTGCACGGGCGCCGCTGCACGCATCCCCGACCGCGTCTGCGACACGGACATGGACAATTCTCCATACCACGATGCCGGCAGCCATCAGCCCCATCCTTTGATCGGGCCCGACATGCCCGGGCCGCTCGAGGATGCAAGCCTTTTCGGCTACGATTGGCTAAACCTGCTTGCAGACACAAACATGCTCGAAGACGGCGTCAAGGAGTCGTCAAATGAGCCCACGGCCGCAACACCTGCCGCTGCATCAGACAACCCGCTAGACGCACCCGAGGGGCCGCGGCCCGAAGCTGAAGATGCCGACGGCCAGGAAGATGAGGAAATGGGCGGCGTCGACGATGCGAAGAAGGACAATGGCGAGAGCGCCGAAGCTGCGGACCCCGAAGCACAAGCAAAAGCCGACTTGCAATCGGCAGCACGCTCGCACTTTGTCACGCAGACGTATGCGACCATTATTCCCAGCTACGCGACTTGGTTCGACATGCGCTACATCGACTACCGCGAGCGCAAGGCCCTCCCAGAGTTCTTCAACGGCCGAAATCGCAGCAAGACCCCGGCCGTCTACCGCGACTACCGTGATTTCATGATCAACACATACCGCCTCAACCCATCCGAGTACCTCACAGTCACCGCATGCCGAAGGAACCTTGCCGGAGACGTGTGCGCCATCATGCGCGTGCATGCCTTCCTCGAGCAGTGGGGGCTGATCAACTACCAGGTACATGCTGCGCCGTCATGTGCCCAGATAAGAATTAACAGTGTTTAGGTTGACCCACAGGAACGCCCATCAAACATTGGCCCACCATTTACTGGCCACTTCCGCGTCACAGTCGACACTCCCCGTGGACTGCAGCCCTTCCAGCCCGGGCCAGGCTCAAAAGTGACAGAGGGAAAGCAACTTGCAGCAACCGACCGTGCCGCCAGCCAACAACCGACCGCAAAGAGCGAGACCAAGTCTCTGGCAGGACGGAACATCTACGAGCCCAATGGCAAGGAAGCTTCCGCTGAGCCCAAGACAGCCAATGGCGAAGCTGCTGCAAACGGCGGAGCCGTCGATGTCAAGGATCTCGAGGCTGCCGCGAAAGAGCCGACCAAGGTCATCAACTGCTTCAGCTGCGGTGTCGAGTGCACACGTGTACATTTCCACGAGACGAAGCCTTCTGAGCAGCCAGGTCAGCTCAAGGCTGCAGGGGGTCTCAAGCGGGACTTGTGCCCCAGGTGTTTTGTAGAGGGCAACTTTCCCTCTGGCACATCATCAGCAGACTTTACCAAGATCTCAAACCCAGAGGATTTGGCAGCCACCGAGACTGAGGAGAAATGGACGGAAGAGGAGACTCTTTTGCTGCTTGAAGGCTTGGAGGAGTTCGATGACGACTGGAACCGCGTCGCAGACCACGTACAGACCAAGACCCGTGAACAGTGTGTGATGAAGTTTCTTCAGCTGGAGATTGAAGACAAGTACGTCGAGTCAGATCCACCAGAGTCGCAGTCGGCAGCTCCTTCAACCAAGTTCCTGCGCGACTTGGAATACCTCAGCGAAGGCCGCGTTCCAATTCACCACGCAGACAACCCCATCCTCAGCGTGGTCAGCTTCCTAGTTGGTCTTGCACCCGCAAACGTCACGGAAGCTGCAGTGGCTTCAGGGCGCAGCGTCAACGAGATGAAGCGCATTTTGCAAGAAAAGATCAACAAGGCTCCCACAGCGCCGTCTGAGAAGGGCAAGGAAAAAGAAGGCGAGCAGTCCACACCTGCTGCCACCGCTTCGGACATGAAGCCAGAGGGCGGAGATGCTATGGACGTCGACGCTTCTGAATCCAATGCCGTAGCCACAAAAGAAACCGAGTCTTCATCAGGCGTCAATCCCCTGGCAACCCTTCCATTTGCCCTCTCCGCGGCGCGCTCCTCTGCGCTTGCTTCGCACGAAGAACGACACATTACACGTCTGGTGTCGGGTGCTGTCAATCTGCAACTCCAAAAACTGCAGCTCAAGCTCGCTCACTTCAATGACTTTGAGAAGCTGCTTTCAGCCGAGCGCCGCGACCTGCAGCGCCGCCGTCAACAACTCTTCATGGACCGCTTGAACTTCCAACGTCGGGTACGCGCATTGGAAGACGCAACCAAGAAGATTAGCAGTTCCATGGGCGGCCAAGGGCTGCCTGGCAGCATGAGCAACGAGGACGCCGTACAAGCCCTTACCGAAGCCATAAGAATGTTTGGCGTCGGCAAAGGCGACGACAGCATGGGCGTCAAGGGCGACAGCATCGACGCCAGTGTCGCGCAACCCATTGCCGAGGGTGCAGATGGTTACAGCAAGATAGAGATTTAGAATCCCCCCTTTCTTCCTCCTCTTTATTCACGCATAATCGACACGAGAAAGACGAACGGGCGGCGGGCGGGGGCAGAGAAAGAGAGGAGGTCCATGATTCACAGACGTGGCAATAGCGCGTACGTGGTTATGCGTGGGTACAAAAGGAAACTTCTTCTTCCGCTTTCCTTGAACTACCCATAGTCATAACCACAAGCAGCAGCAGCATCTAACCAGTTGATCCGAAATTCCAAGCTTTTTTTTGGCTCCATCTTCCTCTTCCTCCTCTTCTTCTTCTTCTTTTGGCTTGTCCCTCTCCCTCCCTCTCCCTCCCCTATACGATGCTGGTTTGCAACGCGTTGAACAAACAAACAAACAAACCTTTTTTTTGTACATGCGGTCGAGCTCCCAATACAAGAGAAGAAGAGAAAAGAAAAAATGTACTCAAGTCATCATCATATCTTGATCTTGATCTTGTTCTTGTTCTTGGCTGTCTGTGTCTTGTATATCTCGGATCCCCCCCCCCTTTTGGTCAATGGTGTTTAAACGGCGTTTTTTTTTCAACTGGCCAAGGCTTTGTGGGAGGGGCAAGGCGAAGCAAGGTAGGCAAGGCAGCGTAGCTCCCACTCAAGACGGGATTTTTGTCTCTCTCTCTCTCTATATATATGTGTGTGTGGGCTGGGTTAGGTTGGTTAGGTTAGTTGTTGGAGTAGGAGTAGGAGTAGGAGTAGTATTTCATCATTCCAAGAGTCTTTTCTTATTTCCTCACTTGTATGCATCGCGTGCTTTGTATGTATGTATGTATGTATGTATGTATGTAGTTATGGGTTTTCTAGTAACGTGTTTTACAAGCGAGCGCCGCGTACAAGCGAGCGCCGCACCCCACTAAACCTGCGCACCTCTATAAGCCTGTAGTTCCACCACAATATAGTTGTTTTACTGTATATTAATATAATAGATTAAGCAGTACCTAGAGTATCTTTCTTGCACGTACGCGAGTTGTGGCCAGTTTCTCTACACCTACTGCAGCGCGCCAAAGCCTGGCGGCTGACACCTGATCGCTCTCCTCCCTAACGCTCTTCATAAGCAATCTGCTAATTAGCCTCACGCTAAGCAAGTAGATCCTCTCTAGCTCCCTTTATTAGCACTCCATGCTTCTATATCCGCTTCCTTTTACGCTGCCTACGCTTTGTTGCTGCCTCGTTAGCCCTCTTAAGGCTGGCGATCTAATCGCGCATTAGCTTAGCCAAGAGCATTATTCTCTCTACCCCCTTCTTAAGCTAGCTAATCGCCGCAATAATTAACGCTAGTGACGAGCTCTTATGCCGCTGGACCTAATTACGTATTAGCGTTAATTAGGCTTTAAGCTCGCGTACGTTGCTTAGGGTATGAGCCTGCTAGACGGCCTCTACAAGAGCAGCTACTGGAGTAGGCGTACGCAGCTGTACGTCAAGCTTTGATAGAACAGTGTCTAGCTAGAAAGGAACAAGGCCTGCGCCTTAAAAGGCTGAGCAGATATTAGCTGCCGTGAAGGATCGATCGAAGGCTACCTTGAACGCTGGCAGAAACTCAAGC